CTGCTTTTAATATTAATGTATATTGTTAACAGAGTATCAATATCATACCTGTACAGTCTGGGGCAGTGCCTGTCCATGTCCCATTAGCTGTACAATGGCGAGTTGTCAGGCCAGAAGTCTTATAGCCTTCCCAACAAGCATAAATAACTGAGCTAGAAAATGAAATCCCATCACTATAGATTATCTTGCCATTGGCCGGTGTTCCAGGATTTCCACAAGATACAGCTGCCAAAAGTGGAGATGGGAGGAGCAAATAAATAAATAAATAAACTTAATTAGAAGTAAATACATTTAAAAACAAAAAAACCCAATATTTCCATTGTTTGCAACTATTAATGGGTCTATGCTATATATCAGGGGTCTTCAAACTTGGCCCTTTTATGACTTGTGGACTTCAACTCCCAGAATTCCTCAGCCAGTGTGAATAAAAATAGTTTTTGGATTGGGCTAATACAATCATAGTAACTCATTAGTTTCACTCTGATAACAATCTCCTAAACAGATTTGGAAACATGAAGCATGAATCAAGAAAACAGAAGTGGGAGTTATTCAAAACATTATAATATTTTCCACCTTTTACAATGTGCATACCCACATGTACAAAGCAACACTCCATGGTTTGTTTCTCAGGATATATCCTAGAAATTGTTAGAGTGATTATCCATAGTAAAATTCAGTACTCGATGTTTAAGTTTGAAGGAACAATAGTTTTTATTAAAATGAACTCAAATTCTTTGCAATTTTTTTCACATGATTATTTTCAGACATACAGCAGCTTCCTTTTGATGCTGCATAACTCCTAATCAAACAATTTCCAATTTAGAAAGAGTTACAACTCTAGTCTATTGTCTCAAGAGTATGTTTCATAATTTCCCCATCAATAGCTCTGTTGTGGTAAAATAAATGACAGGATGGAAGATTCATTTTGTTCCCAATTATATTTGCTCTAAGAAAATCATTTAACAATAAAGCTGAGTCAAAAGAAAACATTCCAATATTAGGTAGAGGGTAGGGTGAAGATTTGAGGAAGTTAATTCACCAGAGAAAAATGGAAAATGGCTATTGTGTGCATACAAATATAATTCTGGATTTTTTGTTTGATTAATGATGTCCAGAAAGGGCACATATTTGCACAAGAGACTTTACAATGCACCCTATTGTGTCACATATGAAAAAGTCCATAGATATGTAATATTTAACTACTACATACCAATTCAACAGATGAAGAAACTGAGGAACATTTTACAGATAGGAAAGAAGCTTTAAGAAGATGGATTGCTGACTGGAAAGGAGAACAGGTGCTTATAATAAATTAAAATAAGAGAGGATAATAATCATTTCTATACATGGGATGAATATATACTAAGATATAGTACTTTTGGGAAGGAGAAAGAAAAGTGAGTAAAGGACAAAAATCTGAATCTAGAGCAAAAGTTCCCTGCAGCTCACCTTTCTACTGATGTCCTTAGTTTTCTCTTTTTCTTTTTCACTATTTTAAAGCAAATGCTTTGACAATGCCCATTAGCAAAGTTAAAAAAGACAAGATTTTTTTTTCATTAATCCATACTAGCAATTTGCATCTACATTCAACTCTCAAAGCATTCTCAAAGCAGCCTTGCTTGGAATAATGTGAGCTTCTGGTTATCTTTTGTTTTCATAGCTTGAAAGAATGCAAGTTAGATAATACAGTACACTGGTTCATTCAGACAGTTTCCATTAGATTAATGAACAACAATGAAACATAGTACAGGTAATCTTTACTTAATGGCCACAATTGGAATCAGCAATTCTGTCACTAATTGGCATGGTTGTTCAGCAAGACATTTACTGCCTGACTTTCCATTGCTTTTCTGAAGCTGGCTGTGAAGTGCACAAATGGTGATCACAAGAGCTCAGGGTGTTTCAATGATCATAAATGTGAAGTGCCCAAATCTTGACTGTGGCAATGGAGCAGGTCTAGGACAACTCGCCACAGATGACTTGCTGCAACTGACTTGCCGTGACTGACTTGCCATGGCCAACTAGCTGCAGGATAATTTGCTATGGCCAACTAGCTGTGGAACAACTCACCATGGGACAATTCAATGCCAATTGACCAACAGGCCCTGGGGCTCCACACTCTGGCTCAACCCAGGACTTCTAACTGGAGAAGGTTTAAACCTAATGCAAGACAAAGCCTGCTGCAATTCACTTGTCCCTCTCTTGACTTGTCCAGTGTTGAATTGTTCCATAGCAAGTTGTCCCATGGAGAATTGGCTGCAGTGAGTTGTCTCGCAACAAGTTGACTGGGGTGAGACAGCCAGGGCGAATTGGCTATGTCGAGTTCCGAATGGTACGATGATTGTAAGTGACAGGAGTGGTCATAAAGTTATTTTTTCAGTACTGTTGAAACTTGAACAGTCACTAAACAATGGCAGTTGTTAAACGAGTACTACCTATATGTTATTTTGGACGATAACTGTAAGCCAAAGATAAGCAGTTTCATATTGGGGTATATTTGCCAGTACTATGCTAATAAGTGCATATCATCAGTTTTCATTTAATATACACATATTTTGGATTGCTAAATGTATTCAATTTCTGGGAGATATTCAGTGTCACATAAGTAGAACTCTGCTTCACATTAAGATTTTTTTTTCCTCTCTTCCCTCTGCCACTCCCCACCTACTTCAGAGTCCTTTCTCCAACTTTAGAGTACAGGGTTTTGTTTGCTATGAGATAAGGGATCGCAGGTAGATTGCATTAGGTTTCAACACGTATCTCTTGTCCACATACCACAGACACATACAATATATTGAGACTAAACTTGGTCTACATTGATTAATCTGAGGCATAAAAAAGAGTAAATTCTAAAAAATATTTATGAAACATTTAGGTAGCCTAGAGTTGGTTTCTTTCTTTCTTCTTGCAGAGTTGCAAATGTATTGGGAGGGAAATTTTTTTTCACTGGAATGGTAAACTCTGCCTTCCCTGAGAATCAAAAGAATGGACCGGAACATAATATCTGGATTAGAAAACAAGTTCCTAATTAGAATTAATGTGAAATTGGATATATTTAGAGCATAATAGGTAGTTACCACTTATCCAGATCAAGAATCAGGTTATGAGATTAAGAATATTTAAATATGAGATTAAGAATATTTAAATATATTTTTAAACTGTATTTTTGAGTAAACGTAGAGTACAGTAGTTTAATTCCCTCCCCCCACACACGCACACTACCAAAAAGTATATTTATAAATCACATAAGTTGGAACTTGCTATTTCTATTACAAACCTTCACAGACCGGTTGCAATCCAGACCAAGATCCATTAAGAAGACATGTTCTTTCTGGGGAACCTCTCAACTGATAGCCCATTTCGCAGGAAAAACGTATTAGGCTTTTGATCTTGAACTCATCACCAAGTCTAGAACTATGAGAGGGCATTCCGGGATCATCACAATATCCTGGATTGTTTCCTAAAAATTGTGAACAGAATTACATTTAAAATTGAGAAGTGCACACTGTTTCAGATTCATCTTATTTTGGACTACTGTAGTAACAAAAGTTTTATGCTTTGATTCCAATATCGAGGCTCACTTTGATTTGCAATCACATGTAGAAATGTTGGAAGTGCTAGTTTTGTTTTTGACTTTTTTTAATACACCAAATTAGCTGATTCCCTAATTACCTATTGTCTCACTGAACAGTCTTTCAAATATTATGTCAATCATATTTACAAATGTAAATTTGTTAGTGCCTGTCAGATTTTCTATTACACAGTATTATATTATCGTTCCCATCTTACCCCTATAGGTGGTCTGTGTCTTCCTCAATCCTGAATCCTGTACTAGAGGCCTCAGAATTTGAGATTCTGTGCAGTATCTTAGCTGTTCCTAGCACTTCTGGACAGAGAGCTCTGATCTCATTTCTGGGATCTGTTGGAACAACTTACCCATCTTAGGAGTCACAGCCATGGAAGCCATTTTTGTTAAATAAAATAATGAAACTTTTGCTAAAAATAGCAAATGAACATTAGGAATATATTAGAAGCTCACAATTAATCTCTCACAAAATTACCTGAACAATGAGGGAGTGTCCCACTCCAGCGGCTGTTTTCCTGGCACACTCTGCTAGAGTTTCCCAAGAGAGTTTGCCGTTCTGTGCACGAGTAGTGAACAACAGATCCAAATGTAAATTTGTCTCCTGATAGAATTGCATTTGTTGGCACTCCAGGATGTCCACAAGATATTGCTATGATGAACAAAACACAGTTTTAAAAAGTTTATAATTATGAAGTCAGTGCATAAAGCAAAAATGAACAGATTAGAGAAATTGAATCCACTAACTGATATATTCCTTCCATGATCCCCATTACATGTATGCAGTGAACAATTTCACATAAACATTTTACCCTCTGTTACTTGGATATTGTCCATGAATTTTCTTGCTAATTGACTGTTCTAAATAAAGTGAGCAGGGAAATAAGTATGAGGTGAAAATTAAAGAAAGTTTGTCACATAGTGAGTTCACTCTAAGATTAGCTCACATGCATCCTTGTAATAAGTGAGATTTCTGGCCTTCTGATGAAAAAAAAATTGAAACAGTTGTTGGATACTTACGCAAACATTTGGGTAATGATCTGTCCCATAAACCATTGGCTTTACATGTTACAGTGGAAGATCCTAGAAGATAGAATCCCTTCTTACAGTGGTATATGACACTGCTTCCATACTTGAAAGATTCAGGGAAATTCTGCTGTCCGTGACGAATAGAATTTTCCATAAAGCCTGGATCTGAACAGTTCACCACTGTAAAATCAAAGAGAAGTTTTCTCACTATGTAATGAAGATTGAGAAAACTGGTGCACTATACACCTTTGCTCCAATTTTTCACTTTAATGAAATCTTCCTTCCTTCCTGCCCTCCCTCCTTCCCTTCCCATTGCAATCAAAATACTTTCTATGGTTTGCAATGTAATAGCCCACTAATGCCTTTCAGTTGTGTATATACCGGTAAGTAACAACAAGTAAACATTTTTTTAACTTGTTCCAGTACTATAATCTGTGTTTTAATACATTGGAAGCCAATCTTTGCATGGAAGAAGAATATGGGTGCACAATTTGGGACTTCCAAAATGGTTCTTAAGAATTTATTTTGAAACAAAAACTTGGTCCTTTTTTTTTTTTAAAGTGTGTGTGGGGGGGTATTAGTAAAATGAGTTTATTTCTAGGTATCTTAAAGTTTAAAATTATAACTAAAAGAAAACCTTTCCTTATACAATGCTAATATGAGTAAGATAAGCAATACAATGGATTTTTATTATGTTTTTCAGATGATTGTGTACTTTGCATAGTAGATTATGAGTCTATCATTTAAAGTTTTCAGTAGACACTAGGTCTCACTGTAGCAGAGTTGCCAATATATACAAAATATAAGGGGAAAGAAATCAAAATCTTAATGTTTAGTAACATGAATAGGACTAGGCAAATCCACCTTCAAAAAATGCTTTCCTACCTGAAGTCTTGGACTGGTTTTAAGAAAACTGCATTTCATGGATAGAGTAATGCACTAATCCTATCACAGCTGACTTACCTTGACAACTGGGTAAAGAACTGCTCCACTGTCCATTGCTTCTGCACTGTGCTCGGGAGACACCCTGAAGTAAATATCCTGTATTGCAGGTGAAGTTGACTACATCGTTCAAGTTGAATTCACTGCCGTTGGTTACACCATGCAAAGGGTTTCCTGGATGGCCACACGTGATTGCTGTTGAAAGTAAGTTCAGAGTATCTTGTAAACCTAAGACAGGGACTTGTCTTCAGGATAAGTGTCTATGCTGTCATTTTATAAACCAGAAGTTATGGGTGAATTGAGAGATTAAGTCAACAACATATGAAAACTATGAGCACATTTGATATTTTGGAAATATGTTGTGATCCATCTCAAGTCATAGTTGCTACAGGGAAATTCCCAAATTAACTGCTACAGCATACACTAAAGGGTATAGACATCTCGAAGATAAACTGATGAGCTTTTTTGTTAAAGATCCCTTCTATCTCTATAGGAAATTCCTTGCTCTTTCAATTTATTTTTTGTCCTTTTTTTCTGGTGGGTAAAAGAGCTTGTTTCGACACATATTTTTTTTTTATTTTTGAAAAATGCTTTTAAATGATTAATAATTGTTGGCTTCAACAAAAGTCATGCAAGCTGACTTTTCTAGGTGTGCAACAACTTTTTCCTTCAATGCACCTACACTTTTTTTTTGTTCATAATTTTTTATTAAAAGTTTTAAACAAGGAGATTAAAAACTAGTACAAACTAAAAAAGGGAAAAAAGAAATCAAAGAAAAAAAAAGCTGAAGAAAAATAAAAAAGAAGAAAAAATATAAAGAGGTAGTTCCGATATTCTTCACAGCAGTTTGTAAGTACACCTCTTTCTCTAAAGTTACATCATATTACATCTTTCTATAATCTATACTTTCTAATCATCAAAACCATAAATCACAAGGTTTCCAAAACAATGAATCACAAGGTTTTTCATTTTGCACAAAAAGTCCATAAAAGGCTTCCAGTCTCCATTGCAAGATCTTAATACCTGGAAGATATTCCAGAGGATTTCCCAACCCCCAAGGTCAGATGGAAGGAGGAAGGAGGGACAATCTAATCTGCTCATGGTGTCTCATTTCTTGCTAAACTGATACAATTTGATATAATCCTTGGTTAGGAATTTTTATATGTAACAAATAGAAGTACTGTTTATTGCCTTTTAGTCATTGATCAAATTGGTAAAATGGAAACACAAATATTGTTTTCCCAGATCATATGGTTTTGCTAGGCCAGCATTATAATTTGTTAGTCCAGAAGTATAATAATCATCAAGTGTTCTGCTTCCCCCTTTTTTCCTTCATTTATTTTTTATAATGTCAATCTGACAGTTAGAGGCATATCACTTTGCATATGTTTATTCCAATCTTAGCTATTATAACTGATAGGTATTAAAAATCAGTTGTTCTGAATAATAATCTGCATTGGGCTAATAACACTGTAAGGATTTTGCTACCTGACATGTTCTTCACCAGTAATCCTATAATTTGAAAAATTGCCAGAATAGATTATATGTGAAATGGTGTTACAATATAAAATTAAGTTTGTCAGTAAAAATTACAATAGTGAAGACAATTGTGTTTAGATTATTGCCCTTTTTGGCAAATGCATATTCCACTCAGTCAACTCCTGTTTATACCCCTCATTACTCTTGACAGATGGTGTTTTTGTGATGCCTTTTAGAAACAAAAGGTCTTAAACCTTGTGTCTAGTCTTACCATATCATCATTACTATTGTCACACATTGCCAACCTCTTGACAGATCAACGCTCTGCAACTATTGTATTGGAAAGTCAGAAAAAAACTGCCATGTTTTTTTATTCTGCAGTTCTTTCAATGCCCTTATGCAAGGAACTTTTTTACAATAGTTGTAATTATGTGTGCTGTCAAGATTCATGACTGAGTGACATAGAAGTTGATTAAAAGAATAAAGATTGTGGCCCAGGATATTTTTTATATAAAACCATATTTATGCTTCTACTTAATGTTAATATAATTATTATAAATATAGTATTCCTGATTTACATACCACATATAAACATGCCAAAACTATGCAACTGCATTAAATACTTTGAATAAACTAATAAATTTCATATCAGATTATTCATTTTCATAATTAAAAGTAAATATCAAATTCTTAAAGTATGCTGCTTTAACAGCTACATATTAAATATGAGTTATATTCTATCAAATTATATCACCCTGTAATATAATTCTTTTAGACACTGTGAATAACAAAATGGAACATTTTAGCAAAGAAGTTACAGTTTATAAATACAATAACATAACTGTTTATATGTAATGTAACTTTCACCTAAAAGTTAAATATGTTCTCTCTTTCTCTGCCCTGAGTTGTTACAGGTAATCCTCCACTTACAACCATAATTGAGCCTGGAATTATGGTCATAAATTGGGCTGATCATTAAGTGCATTGTCATCATGTTGATCATTCCTAATTTTATGATTTTTTTTGTGGTGATTGTTAAGTGAACACGATGGTCATAAAGTGAATATGGCAGTTGTAAGCAAATCCATTGTCTGCAATGGGCGTTTATTGTGAGAAACTGGAAGTAAATGCCTGCTTCCAGAAAAAAAAACATAAATCGCTGTCAGGTGACTGCAGGTTGTAAGTAGCCCTGAGGAGGTCCATTTTAACTTCAAACAGTCGCTAAATTAACTTCAAACAGACTTGTTATAAATTGAGGATTAACTGTATGTCCTATTCTCCCTGCATAGTCTAAGAAGGGAGTGATGAGTATATTAAAGAGAGCACGTGCAACTTAAGATTTGAACTGGCTTTTTTATCTGAAACTAATATAATAAAGTATCAGGGCTGTTTGACTCTCTTTATTATATTTTAAACTATGTCAAATACATTAGCAGCTCAATCATGTATTATGGAATTGTTTGCAGAAAAGCATGGGAAACTAAGTTATAGTCTGGATTTCATGGTATAGTCTTATATGAGAGATGAAAGTACTCCTACACTAGGTCTATGTAACAGAAGCAGTGGCTACCATTGCACCCGTGTAGTATAATCTCATCAGTGCTTCCTCTTGCACATGTGACTCTCATTCCTGTGCAAAGGGTTATATCTTATCTTCGTTACCTAACTATATGCTTAGGACATATAGGATGAAATTATCACTTACGGACACAAACCGGAGTTTGCCCAGACCACTTGTGATCTTGTAAGCATATCCGAACAGATGTGCCAACAAGTCGAAAACCGGGATTGCATTGGTACACCACAGTATCACGGTAACTGAAACCATCGCCACTAATGTGACCGTTTACAATTGGATCTGGAGAACCACAGTGTCCAGCTAAAATAAGAAGGAAATAAAAAGAAACAGTAAATTTGCATACATGCTGAGACACGTATGTAAAAACCACATAGACGTTGATAAAGGTATTAAACAAACAGGCAGTCTTGCCCTCTTTACTGTGCAATAAATCTACCAAACTGAAAATGTTGCTAATGAGTTATTTAGTTTTTCATTTACAATATTTTTCTCTTGCCAATAGGCACTTGTCATAAAGAAGAAGGTTTGGTAACTTTAAATAGATAGTTAAGACTAATCTTGTTTAACAACAAGGAAATTTGTAAATTCCACTTCGAAGACATATTTATACCTTGCCCTTCCTTAAGAAGCTCAAGGAGGTATAAATAGTACTTTTTCCTTTAATTTTCTATCACATAATGGTTTATCTGAGAAAGATTGATTGGCCCAAAGATATTAGGTGAACTTCCAAGGCCAGGGATGGATTTTAATCTGGATTTTACCTATTGTTCCACAACCTATGAGCGACTAGTCTATGTTCTTTGGGAAGGAACAGATTTGGAAAAAGGAAAGGATGCATTATAAAGTAAACCTGTATAGAAATTAATAATCATATGCCTCCCAATACGTAGCTTTATGGAAACAAAACACAAGATATTTACATTCTTTTAAATCTAATATTTCTATACTAAATTATTTTTTTATTATTCCTGAGGACATGTAATATTGAAATGTAATAGTTATCATTAAGTTAGAAGTCTTCATTCAGGATTAAGACTAACTCAAAATATATTTTGATCTGTAAAAGAAAACTTAGGAAGCATATCCATTGGCAAATTGATTCATTTCAGTTACAGATTATAGCAATTGGTAGATTTAATAATTTCCTCTCAGTTTGAATTTGATGGAATTAAACATCTAAACAGTCTAGGGATTCAAGAATCAAAGCCAACACAGCAAAGGATATGTAAATTTTAATCAAGCCAAATTACGGCTTAAGTAAAAGAATCTACAATGCTTCCAGGGGACATAAAAAAACTATTAACTTTTTCAAACTTAGGTCAGCAGTTATATATGACGTTAACCAAAATCATATACTGTACATATTAAAGTTCTCCTTTCGAGAGATCTGCAAAAAATACTTTGGCTTTCACAGATCATAAACATCACATATGATTTTACCATAATATAAAAATGAATCTCCTAATTGAAATTTATTATTCTTTTGAATGAAGACTGGTAGGCTTCAAAGAAAATATAGAAAGTTAGCACGATGGGGAACTGAATAGTGCAACCAATTTTAGAATGCAGGAAAAAGAGAGCAGAAATTTAAAAGTAAAATGAGATGATTTATAAAATTTTCCTTATCTAGATTATTTCCTAGTATTTGGAGTTCTGGATTAATTGATATTGTACCAGGCAACAGGGATCCCTTATTCTATCTCTCTTTCCCTCATACTAATGTATAGCGATAAAACATTGGAGATAAAAAAAAGAAAGAATTTATGAACTATTTTATTAACTGCAATTAGTATATTTGCAGAAGATAATATATAAAACAAGTCACTGTTTTTTTTCATTTTTCACATGATATATACAAATGGATTCTATTGATTCAGTTTTGAGAGGAGATTTAGCAATGAAATCTATGCAGCTATTCTGTGATTCACATACTTGAATTAAATTGTGACAACTATCATTAATTTTTCATAGTACATTAGTATTTTTTAAAAGGGCAGATTTTTTAAAAATAGTTATAATATGCCTATCACAATGACATATCACTGATTTATGAAGTTCAAATTAAAATTGATTTAAACTGACGATCTAACAATAAAGAATTTTGTTGGTGAATCTGAATGACTGCATTATAATGTACAGCTTTTAGAAGATGCCAGCTTCAGTGATTAAAATAATCAGAGACACTTTTCTGTATGCCTTGTTTGTTTTGTGTAGTACCCTTTGATAGAAACTGCTAATTCATCTATAATAAATCCAGATAAAATAAGAATTAACATCTTTGCTTGATGCCCCTTTTTTTAAAAAAAAAATAATCATAATTGCTTCAGTAAAGCTATTTTGCTTTGCAGGTGAATACAACTGATTAATTAGGGAAATTAATTCACTTTCAAATTCTATTTCCAATAATAATTGGCTTGGAAAATAATTTTCTGCTCAATTGAAGTTCTTTAAAAATATCCAATGTTAGCAAAGCTAGTGAAGTTTTATTGCATTTTAGGTCTTCCTTCAAACCTTCAAGGAAAGGGGGGAATTATACAGCAGATAGATGCATGGCAGCAGATGAACACAAACCTTCTCCATTTATTAGCAGCAGAATTTCAGTCTTTTCCACAATCTCCAATTTAGCAGACTATATTTAAAACACGTAGCATTATAGCCTTATAACTGGATTTGCTAAATTTCTTTTAGGAATGAACCCAAGTTGAACTAAAGAGTTATAATACTGGATTTTATCTTTTAACTAATAATGCCATCACTATTTTAATCCTAACTTAATCATGCAGTAGCCCTATATTTCATGATTATCTGTTGAAACTCTCCATCATCTTACAAATCAATAGGTTATTTTTTATATGTATATACTCTTTCCAGTATTTGGGGTAAAACAGGAGAAAATAGAAACATTTTCTTTCTTTCAGAGGTTTAATGATTTCATCTCCATTCTTATTTCACAGAAATAGGAGCAGTAGTGTCAGTAACGGAAAACATAAAATTGGCTGTAGATGCTTTGTGATTATAAGATAGAAACTGATAACTCCAAGTAGCTGAAAATGGTAAGTTTAAGAAGCCATCACTTGACCAATTTCCGTTTAGTCTCCAGACTTCACTTTTTGGGAAAGATTGAGTAGCTGGTTGGACAATATATCCAGATAATATTGGAAGAACTGTTATGTGGATCTCTTTTCATCTGGTTTCAGGCCAGGAAACACTATGGAGACAGCATTGGTCACCCTTATCAATGAGTTTTGGAGGAGACAGGATGGGAGTGGTGCATCCGTCCTACTGCTCTTGGATCTCTTAGTAGCTTTCAGCACTATTGACCATAATATCCTTATTGTAGGACTCAGGACTCAATGTCCCCATTTTTTTTTGTTTAACACTAAGAATCTGCAGAATGAGATTAACTGTTGCTTTAGGTTTAGTTGTCTTCAGTATATGCTCCACTGAATTAAGGTGGAACCAGCCTGAGATTGCCTCACGCTTTCTCTGCTTCCCAGTCTTCATGCCTGCTTTTGTTCCTGTAACATTTTATGCACAGCTTCTCCAAGGTCATTTCTATGGGTCTCTGCAGTGTTTGGAGACTAAACCTGGATGGGAGGAAACAGAGTCAGGCTGCATTCCAGGTCTCTAAATTGTCTCTGCATAACCAAAGAGATTGAGAGAGTGGGCATTCTTCAGGTCTCTTGATAAAACACTGTTATTTACTCAGACCAAAGAAGCTTGCCTTCTGTGTTACAGCACTGCTCTCGGTGACAGTATCAACTTGTTCTCCCCCCCGCCCCCGATGACAGTCAGAAAGTTATAGAGAATTTGATTTTTTTTCCTCAGGCCTTGGGGCAGAGTGGTAGTTTAGCCCTGTAAGTTGTTGTATTGTTTAGAATGTATCTTCTAGGGCATTTATGTTCTGTTTCCTTTTAAATTGTTTTTACTTGTTAATGTAATCCATACAGGGTCATTTGAGTTGGGGAGTCTCTATATTGATAAATAAATAAATACTTCTGTATATTCATGGCCCCCTTAATATCTATTGTACTTTTTAAATTATTTTTGCAACTGCCTTGATCATAAAATTCATTAACTGGTGGTGCTGAAGCCATAAAGTCTAATCAATACTATTCATTCATCAATTATATTGTGGTCAAGTAGTCACTTGTGATTTATGAATTATTTGAAATTTTTTGAGAAATGTCTTTTATTTTTCTTAAGGACCTGATTGCTATAAACTGAATGGCTAAAAACAAAACAAAATGTCCACATGGTGAGAACTCCCAACTTTTAATGGAAACATCACTTCCTAAAAAAAAGTTCAATATGAGAAAATATCCTTCGGCCAAGATGTTCTATTTTTCAAATATTATAATTCATCCCTTTATAAGTATTTACCAAGACACCGTGTTTCAGTTCCACTCCAAAGTCCATTTGCTAAGCATTCTCTCACGTGAGACCCAACAAGTGTATATCCAGTGTTACAGGTAAAGATTGCTGTGGCTCCATAAATTGTCATGGTCCCAATCTTATTTCCATTTGGTGGAGAGGGAAGACTTCCACATGAAATAACTGAAAAGGGAAAATAAAGTAACTACAGCATGGCAGCAACAAGAAGCTCATAAATTAACATTTGGGACTGGATGCATTAAGCAAACAAACAAAAAACAACTCTGGAACACTTTGAAGTCTCCATTTTTTTTATTGAGCTAGAAAAAAAGTGAATTAAAGAGCATTATAATGATATTCAGCATAGCAAAATTTGAACTAACCATTTATTTAAAAAGGCATTTATAAAATCTTATAAGTATTTATGAGATTTGTATGGTTTCGTGTAATAAAAATTTTAGTGAAACTTGCACTAAATGTAAAAATAGAGACACTCTGAGAACTAAACAAGTCTTGATAGGAACATCCAAAATTTTCCTATTATTTCAACCAACTAAAATTGATCATCATTTGTCCTCCTTACAACATTCAGAAGCTAGAAACTGATACTTTTTCCACTGAAAGTGTTAGGAGTTGATAAATGTATGTACTGTACATGCAAGGCTCTCAATGGGGCTCTTAACTTACATACAGGCATTTCTAGTTCTAAAACCTCTATTCATTAGAAGTTACTGAACAATGTAATCTCTATCATCTATCTATCTGTCTATGTCTGTCTGTCTGTCTATCTATCTATCTATCTATCTATCTATCTATCTATCTATCTATCTATCTTACCTACCTATCATCTATCTATAGCAAGATTTTTACAAAATATTAGTAACTTTTTGAGATATTTGGTGATAAGTATCTTTAAATAGAACTGAACAATGTATGAATAGAGATTTCTTACCCTTACACGTTGGTCTCTCATTAGTATCACTCCAAGTTCCATTAGTTGTACACATTATGAGTCTCTGCCCCTCTAAATAATAACCAGGGCTGCAGCTCAACATGATTTGTGCTCCAAACTCATTCACTGACCCAGAAATCAGTCTCCAGACGACATGTTCTGAAAGCCGACTTTCAATGCTGGGGCAAATCACAGCTGGGAAAGAAGGAAAGTCCTGCATTAGGGTTTTCTTCCTGAAATTATTTCTCAGAAGGGGAATCATTACCTAGATGCCAGTAGATTTTCCCTTGTGCAATTGAGCATGCTATAAACATTATTCAGCTGCGTATTATAATCCCCATCATGTTTCTTTTTTTAAAAAAAAATTACTAAGAGAGAAAACTGCTTTTAGGTTTAGACATGGAAAATCATAGATATCCACAATTCTTGCATTTTTTTTTTACTGTAGAAATAAAAATGTATTAATTGCTTGTTTTAAAATTTAAAATGAGCTGTGATGAAGCAATATTGTTCTTTGATGCATATTGTGGTATGTTTAGGATCACAGCTGGTGAGGACTATAGTGAAAAAGTAAATTCCTGCCTCATGAGTAAGGCAGGTGGAATTTTTAACAATACATTTATCTCATGAAACTTTAAACTGCATGACAGTTCCTTTAAAATGCTTTTTAATATAATCTATTCAGGGTTCTTTGTACCAATTTGAATATCAAACCTTTCCTTTCTGATAAAATGGGGCACATGTCATCACTATTTCATTTTTACATTGAAGAAAAGTGGGATTAAGGTTGATACGTTTGTAAATATGGGGATATACAAAGCATAATGATGGCACAGAAGCTGATGAACAGAAGAGCATTCAGAGACAGAGAGAACAAAGAAAATAAAGATATAATGGTTAAAATAGAAAATGCTTATGAAAATTGTGAATGTGATAAAGTATCATAAGGAGAAAAAAACGAAAGATTGAAATAAAAATGGATTTTGAAGAACCTTTGGTGGGGGATGAACTGACATCATCTTGTTGATTAATTAATGCGTAGAGGTTTTTGATAAATTGCTCTTCTGTTATTTTACTGTGGATAGTTTACTGTATTTCTATTGATGTATATGAACTAATGAGGTTTTATTTTAATTTTGACAGTGTAACCATCAAATAAATAACCAAGTGGCCTATAATCTTCTCTTTTGCAAACAAAAAAATAAAAAAAATATCTTTTTTCTAACCACTCCAGGAGAAAAAATGGGGGAAAAAAAGTCTTCAAGTGAGGTATTTGAGCTTTCCAGCTGCCACTAGATTCTTCCTTTTGGGGGGGGGGAGTTTCACTGTCAATCATTGACCAAAAAGCCTATTAAGGATGCAGAGCCTTCAAGAATAATCTAGGAGTTTTTTGGCTGAAGAAATGTCAGTCGAATTATATTTAGAGTGCCACCTCATCCTATCTCATGCCTTAAATGAAGAATACTGCAATATCCTTATGCAGAACATTCCTTTTTCCCTTTGACTATACTGAAGTGATTGTAAGTTTTTGGACAAGGAATCATCTTACAGTGGTAATAGGTCTATTTTTAAATGTTATAATTATCCCACTTTTCTGGCTCAGAATGGGAAAAATGGTTCTTCTATATCAGGGGTCTTCAAACTTGGCCCTTTTATGACTTGTGGACTTCAATGCCCAGAATTCCTCAGCCAGCATGCCTGGCTGAGGAATTCTGGGAGTTCAAGTCCACAAATCATAAAAGGGCCAAGTTTGAAGACCCCTGTTCTATATTTTTATCTTTACGATGACTGGGTAAAGGGTGGCAATCTGGGAAATGTGACTAGCCCAACGTTATTAGTGTGACCTTCTCTGCCACAAACACTTTGCATGGTAGATAAATTAAAAATAAGGGAAGAATAAAAAGACTAAAGCATAATAATTAATATGAAGCACTGTTCATAGATATGTGTGACACTAGAAAGTTCTGTATGCATTAGCATCCCTTAATATTTTGTGGTAAATTCTTCTGATTTATCAGAACTACTTAGATTCTTGAATAAAAACATAAATTGTTGTACAGATGCCATATTTAGAGCAAAATACCTAGATATCTATTAGTCTTCCTCTTGTACATCATAGACATTACTGACACTATTTTTACCCATGAGAGCTGATACAGGAAAGTCAAATTCATGTAAATGAAGAGAAAAAAAAAACCCTCTCCTCTTTCTATGCTGATTTATTTCTGCTGACATTCTTATGAACTGATGTTTACGTTCATGTATAGTGCCCCAAGTGTATAGTGCTTTCATCATTATCACACATCATATCACTAGAATGAGATTACTTTTCTATATTCATATACATGGTCAGACTTGGAATAGTCCTGATTTTTAAAAAAAAAATCTTGGAAATAGATATCATTCTATAATTTCTAGTGATTTCAGTAGAAATTTGCTTTGCTATCCTCCTAGACAAATGACTGTTAGAAAGCTAAGTCTATTATTATGGTGTAATAACATTTAACAAAAACTATTTTCTGCTGCATTCCTTCTTGCTACATGTCTCATGTAGACTCCAAATTGTGCCCATAAGTTTATTGAATAAAAGTCATAGTGTATTATAAAAGTGATTTTTCATTAATAGTTAATTATTAGGAACCTGTCTCTTTCTCTCCATTTTTTTCACACTGGAAGCACCTGGGAAAAACCCAATACTTTTTCTGTTTCTCCCAGGCAAGAAACACCATATGTCATTTTACTGCTATGTTTTCTGAAAATTAATATATTTAAGATAGTAAAAACCTATGATAAACAATAGCTAATTTCTCTTTTGGAATAGAATTATATATAAATAGAATTACTTGGCCACATATCTGCTTCCAAAACTTTTGGAAGCTGATTTTAATCATTATTATATATATACTCTCCCAACAAAAAACAATTCAGTTTCAAGAGATTTACAGAACGATAAACAATAAAAGCATAATAAAAACTGAGTTGATGTGGTATAGACATGTAGGACAGGAGAGACTCAGGTTTCTACATAGATGTTCATTGGGTAATCTTTTCTTCTTCTTTTTTTGGTGTAAAGAATATTTAGCAGATGTTATAGTATATTTGCTGATAAGCACACTTTGCTCCACATACAGTACACAATTTGATTGACAATTATTTGTTTCTACAGGGAAACAAGGAAGGGGATGCAATTTTATTGTCAGCTGAAATTGTCAAGATATGTCTTGCTAAAAGACAAAATAAGGGAAATATGTTTTATACAATATAGAGAATAGAAATATCTAATGACGTCAGCTTAAGCTTGTTCTTAAGGTAGCATAAAAATAATAATTATATCAATCTTCCAACTTCATCCAATTAAATCAACAGCAAGTAAACCACCTGCACACACAAAAAAAGAGAGAGATTGTGCAAATGCAGATGGGTGTGATCCTCTGCTGTATCAGGATTCCAGAAGCACTGCAGGAAAAAAAGGTTGGTGGTACCAGCTTTGCACTGGAATCTATTTGAGCAGAATGCAAAGAGGCAAGCGTCAGTGGGTACTTGTTCATCCTACTAGGATGCCAATTCCGACATTTAAGGATTGCATATCCAAAGAATACTTCCAAAGCAAATCAATATGATTCCCAATGTGTAGGAAATTCAGAAGCTAAAGTTCCAGTTGGACATGAAGAAGATCAATGTAAGCAAGTAAACAGGAAAGGAGAACATCATAAATGCAATCCCAATTTTTTGAACAAATGAAATAGGGTAGTTGTGATATACCAAATTGATGTTTTCACAAGTTTTTCTATTTCATTGGGTTAATATTCACCGATTATCACTGAAATAAGATTATCTGAAGGGAGATAATCATGGCATAAGAAATGCATTATCTAGCTAATTTTCTATTAACTCGTGAATAAATTAATTCTTTACTAAAGGAATACTAATAATAATAGTAAAGTTGGAAAGGACCTTGGAGGTCATCTAGTCCAACCCCCTGCTCAGGCAGGAAACCCTATACCATTTTGGACAAATGGCTGTCCAGTCTCTTCTTAAAAACCTCCAGTGTTGGAGCATTCACCGCTTCTGGAGACAGGTTGTTCCACTGGTTAATTGTTCTAACTGTCAGGAAGTTTCTCCTTAGTTCTACGTTGCTTCTCTCCTTGCTTAGTTTCCACCTGTTGCTTCTTGTCCTGCCTTCAGATGTCTTGGAAAATAGCTTGACAACCTCTTCTTTGTGGCAGCCCCTGAGATATTGGAACACTGCTATCATATCCCCCCTCGTCCTTCTCTTCATTAAACTAGACATACCCACTTCCAGCAACCATTCCTTATATGCTTTAGCCTCCAGTCCCCTAAGCATCTTTGTTGCTCTTCTCTGTACTCTTTCTAGAGTCTCAACATCTTTTTTACATCGTGGTGACCAAAACTGGATGCAGTATTCCAAGTGTGGCCTTACCAAGGCATTGTAAAGTGGTATTAACACTTCAAGTGATCTTGATTCTATCCCTCTGTTAATGCAGCCTAGCACTGTGTTGGCCTTTTTGGCAGCTGCAGCACACTGCTGGCTCATATTTAGGTGATTGTCTACTAGGACTCCGAGTTCCCTCTCACAGTTACTACTATTGAGCATGGTGCCACCTATGCTGTACTTGTGCATTTGTTTTTTCTTGCCTAAATGTAGAACCTTGCTTTTTTCACCATTGAATTTCATTTTGTTAGATAGCGCCCAGTGTTCAAGTCTGTCCAGATCCTTCTGTATCTTAAGCCTGTCTTCTGGAGTGTTGGCTATTCCTGCCAGCTTGGTGATCTGCAAATTTGATGAGTTCCCAATCTATCCCCTCATCAAAATCGTTGATATAAATATTGAAGAGCACTGGGCCCAGTACAGAGCCCTGGGGCACCCCACTACACACTTCCCTCCATGTAGATGCGGTTCCATTGAGGACCATATGCTGAGTACAGCCGGTCAGCCAGCTACGGATTCATTTGGTGATGGTGCTTTCTACCCCACATTTTTCTATCTTGTCAAGTAGTAGGTTGTGATCTACTTTATCAAATGCCTTACTGAAGTCCAAGTAAATTATGTCCACAGCATTCCTCTGATGCACTAATTTTGTCACTTGGTCAAAGAATGCAATAAGGTTTGTCTGGCATGATCTATTTTTGACAAACCCATGTTGGCTTTTAATAATGACTTTGTTTGCCTCTAGGTGTTCGTTGATTCTTTGTTTTATCTTTTCCAGGAACTTCCCAGGTATTGAGGTCAGGCTGATAGATCTGTAATTTCCTGGGTCCATTTTTTTTTCCTTTTTTGTAGATGGGAACTACATCAGTTCTTTTCCATTCCTCTGGTAATTCCCCTGTGCTCCAGGATCTTTGAAAAATATAGTTCAGTGGTTCGGAGATCACATCTGCCAGTTCCTTGAGAACCTTGGGGTGTAATCCATCTGGTTCTGGCGATTTGAACTCGTGTAGGCTGGACAGGTGCTCACTTACTATTTTCTTGCCTATCTTAACTTGCGTTTCTATTCTGTTTTTTATGGCACTATTTTTGATAGGTTGGTCTGTTTTTTCCCTTTTTGTAAAGACAGATGCAAAAAATGAGTTAAATAGTTCTGCTTTCTCCCTGTTGCTTGTCACCTTCTTGCCACTTTCACCCACTAATGGACCAATCATTTCCTTCACTTTTTTCTTGTTTTTTACATGTTGAAAGAAGCTTTTTTTGTTATCTTTGACTTTGGTCACAAGCATTAGTTCATTTTGAGCCTTGGCTTTCCTCACTTAATCTTTGGAGGCTCGGGCTATTTGCTGATATTCTGACTTAGTTATGTACCCCTCTTTCCACTTTCTATACTTGTCCTTTTTATCTTTCAATTTGTCAGAGAGTTCTTTATGCAGCCATGAGAGCTGTTATTTTTCCTCTTTGTTGGTATTGTGCTAGACTGGGCTTTTATTATCTCATTTTTCAAAATTTCCCAAGCTTCTTGAGTTGTTTTACCCTTGAGGATTCTCATCCATGGAATCCTTCCCAAGCCCTCTCTAAGTTTATTGAAATTAGCTCTCTTGAAGTCCAAGATTCTAGTTTGATTGTGTTCTATTGCTTGTGCTTCCATAATGTTGAATTCCAATATTGCATGATCACTTCTTTCCAGGGTTCCTACGGCTTCAACACCTTCTATCATTTCATCTCTGTTAGTGAGAATTAGATCCAAAATGGCTAATCCCTAGTTCTCTTCTCTACTTTTTGGGAGAGAAAGTTGTCTGCTAGGTTTGTCAGGAACCTATTTGATCTTCCACTTGGTGCAGAGTTTGTCTCCCAGTTGATGTCAGGGTAGTTAAAGTCCCCCATTACTATTGTGATGTGCTTCCTACATACTTTAGTTAGCTGACTAGCAAAAAGTTCATCTATTTCCTCTGTTTGGTTGGGTGGTCTGTAGTATACACCTATGGCAATGTCATTTCCCCCCCCCCTTTTATATTAACCCAAATGCATTCAAGACAGTTTTTATCATTGTTGTGCTCTATTTCTGTAGAGATGTAGTTATTTCTTATATAGAGAGCAACACCACCTCCTCTTTTATTTGGTCTGTTTCTTTTAAATAATTTAAATCCCTCTAGCTGTGTGTTCCATGTGTGGGTTTCATTCCACCATGTTTCCGTAATGGCAACAATATCATATCTGCCCTCATTAACCTGAATTTCTAGTTTACCCTGTTTGCTGTTCATACTCTGTGCATTGGTGTATAGACATTTGAGTCCTTTATGACCGACCCTGTGTTTACTTTCTACGTAACCTGTGAGGTGCCTGAGTTCCCCTATTGTCTTACCATCTAATTGGTTAGTGCACTTTGTGTGGCACTCACTATTAGAGGCTTGATTTTGCCTGACAGCAAGGTTGGTATTCTTACATGCACTGATAGCCCTATAATATTTAGATTGCTGGGGACAGGGTTGTTCTGTATCAATTAACTCACTGTCCCCGCTGTTTAGTTTAAATTTTCCTCCAGAAAATCTGTGAATTTATAGCTGAGTAACTCAATCCCTTTCTTTGATGGATGCAAACCATCTCTTTTGTACATTTTTTCATTGGACCAGCTACAGACATCGTGACTAATATATCCAAAGCCTTCCCCTTTACACCACTCCTTTAGCCACATATTGAATTGTGCTATGCGCTGGCCTTTTCCGTTTTGTTCTTTGTACACTGGTAAAACCTCTGAGAAAGTAAGCCTACAGTCTTTTCTGCTAAGTTCTTTCCCCAAGCTCTGGAAATCATTCTGCACAGAGAGTACATCTTTTTGGGGCAGATCGTTAGTGCCAAGATAGCCTCCACATCACAGTCCTTGCTGCCATTCTTGATTATTTTAGAAATACGCTTCTTGTCCCTACTGGCAGTCGCACCTGGAAGACACCTGACCTCTTTCAAAGCCTCTGTGTCCTTTCCTAAATTTACATCCCTTATAATTGAATTACCTACCAGAAGGTAGCTTCTCTTTTTGGATGCCTTTCTGTTCTTGCATGACTGATGTGTAATACCTGATTCACACTTCTCCCTGTCAAAATCTAGTTCTTCATCTCAAACCACAATCTCCTGCTTATTTGAGTTATCTTCACAAATACCTTTACCTGTCTCCTTAATGTCCCTATTAAGGTCAGCAAAGGCACTGTAACTGTTGTGCAGGGACACAGTGAAAGCTTTGCGTTTATGGTTCACAGCTCTCACCCTGCCAGATCCCACGGTTGTCCACACTGCCCTTTTCCTGCAGGATCTTTGTGGTAGAGGCTTACTTGAGTAGAGGGGCTGAACTGGACACCTAATTTCTGCCTGAAGAGCAGAGATTACAGATCCTAGATAGATAATCTGTCCTTGTAGGCTAGTGATTTGTTTACAGATAGGACAGTTTTCAAGTTTGAAAAGGGTTCTGTGGAAGACAGCTGCAAAGCAAGTGTTGCACTGAACTAAGGCAGACATTCTTAGATACAGGGAATCTCAGATGCGCTTGCCCTGAATGTACTGCTGTTTTTGATTTTTAGTTATATAATTATATAATTCGTGCGTTGTTAGGTGCGCGGGCCGCTACTTTGAATTGGAGTATAGCACGTCCCGGCCGCTCTGGTCACTACTTTGAAATGGAGTTTAAATGCAGTATAAATAGAATATAAATACAATGGAGATGCAATCAGAGCCTATCTACTATCCTGGTGGAATGTCCCAAGACTTACAGTATCAACACTATATATATATATTTAAAAAAAATACTTACGCTTACAGACAGGTGGTCTTCCTTTATTACTCCACAATCCATCTTCTTGACATACTGCTGTTGTTTGTTGACTAGATTCTAGCTTGAAGCCTTCATTACATTCATATATCACTCTGCTACCCAAAATAAATTCATTACCCCAAACTGAACCATTTCCCGGAGACTCTGGAATACCACAGGATACAGCTGAAAAGGAGGATTAAGGGGAAAAAATATCTTGACTCAGAAGGTTATCTACTTCTGTAGATTAAAAAAAACCCAATATATGTGTTACACGCATCATGTTGCTGCTGAAAAAATACATTTAGTAGTTGTGCAAAAGCTGATATAACAAGGATATTTTGAAAAGAGGTACTTTACCACAATTAGTACAAATTTTCTACTCCATATTCCATAGTTTTTCATCCTGTATTCTCTTGATTTACTGCTTCTATTATATTAATATGAATACATTAAACAATCTTGACTTCCTTGACTTATTTTTAAATATATTTTAAGTAGTTTTTCCCATGTACTTGATTTTCAAGTATATGATACATGATATTCTCTGGCAATGACCAGGCTGAGCCCAAGGGAGGGGTCAAACATATCATAAGTCACAAATCCCTGCATGCTCTCAAGAGATCTAAGTCCAGCACATCTTGAATGTCTTTCTTATCTCCCGCCCACTTCCCTTGACCATGAGTTGGTCAGATTCTTATAAAGAGCTTAAGCTTGCATTAACTTTTTATACTCATTTGAACTGCCTGAATCTCCCAATTTCCCCAGTGCTTGACATTCTCCTTGTTTAAAAATTACAGTTTGTGGCCCATATATAAAACTCAGAAACCCTTTGTGCCCTTTCTTCTACTACAGGTGATCCTTGTTTAGCCATCATAATTGGGAGCAGTCACTTGGTTAAGTGATCACTAAGTAAAACTGTGACTGTGTTTATTATCTTAAGCTTTCCTTAAGCTTTCCTTTGTGAAAGTCATATATGTGAGAATTGGTTGTAACATTATTTTTTCATCATCAAACCATTAAGAATAAAATGCATAGAATATCTCATGGTATTATATACCTAGTTCAGCAAGGGGACTGTGCACATAACACCACTGTTACATTGTAATTGCAAATGGTCACTAAATGAGGATTACCTATACTATTATTGCACTTTGAAACATTTCCATATATTATGACATAATGTAGCCAATTAGACAATGGTACTTAACGTGAATTATTTAAAAATATTACTGTTTTACCATTTTACAAACTTTGGTGTATTTGTTCTGTAATCTGTGTGTATAACACTATACATTTCTTCTTAATGGTTTAGAACCAGGCTTAGTCTCATTAAAATCAGTTAAACTTTATTTAGTCCTGAGCAATTTAAGTCTACTGATTTTAGTAGATTAGCACTAAGGATTATTCTATATACAATTACTTGAAAACATTAAAACAAATAACCTCTTAAATATAGATTGAATAACCATTGTTATTTTCTTCAGATATAATTATTCTGAATGCACTGTCAGCTCTGCAATTTCCACTGTTTGTAATCACTAAAAGTAACAGCAGTAATAATAAATTATAATACCTTGGAAGAGAATAAATCTTTTGTGCAACAGTAAAAGAATTATTAGCTGTCACTTGACCAGATGAAAATTTTTTGTATAAAAAAACCCAAGCAACTAGAGATGTGTGTCTATGAAAATTCAAACTGTTATAAAATAGGCAGAGAAAGGAACTACACAATTTTCTGTAATAATGAACAGAGGCACATCCGATTCCAGTCACTGTTTATGGTACAATCATAGTGTTTAATTACAGGTTATACCAGAAGAATCAATACTACAACTTCATACATAATGAAATTGCTCCAGGGGGAAATCCACAAAAGTACCGGTATAAAAAATAAACTAAAATAAGTCTATGCTGATCAGTTTCAAGAGACTGGTTAGTATTTTAGGACAGAACAACGTTGTTTCCTAAAAATGCTGGGAACAAAATTATTCTGTGTGGATTTGTACTTTAAATACAACAGGAAGAAAGTCAGGTATGGTTCATGTGTGCAAGTGCAGGAAGGCCCAGGGAAGGAGGAAGGATTGTAAGTGAGTGAAGGGGAAAGTGGTATACGGTACATGTGAATGAAGTCGGAGAGGGGGAGGAGAAAGTTACCTGAATGATTTGTGACTTCTCTCATGAATTCCCATTGACTTTGCTTAGGGAAACCAGCAGAGAAGATTGGCAATTATAATCACATGAGCATGGAGTGCTGCTACTAGTCATAAGTGTGAGTTGGCTGCCAAGCCCCCAAATGTTGCTGATGTGATTGCAGTGGCAATGCAATGACTCTAATTTCTTTCTCTTTTTTTGTAATATATTTTACTAATTTTTTTTAAAACATAAATCACTTAATAATTGGTGAACAGTGTGTTGTCTGGGTTACATTTGTAAAACAATAACTAACAATTAATTTCTATACTCCATAATCCACATAATAGTTTTAGTTGATTTCCTCTTTTCCCAAAATATCCTCTTTTGCAAACATTGAGTTAATACAATTCTTATTGTTTTGATAGATAACAAATATATATATATTTCCCAATAGTCCTAAAAATAATAATCACATCAATATAATATTTCTTTTCTATCCAATCATTCTGGTTGCTTTATCATAGATCATGTTATAGTCCTTATTTTAATTTGTTTCTCCCACCAAATGATTTTCTCAAAAAATAATTACATTTAAGAATTTAACTCTATTTTTCCATATGAACCACCTCACACTTTTACATTTCTTAAGGAATAGATAAAACAGTAGAAAAAAAGAAAGAAAAGCAAGAGTAAAGAAGCATAAAAAATAACATACTACTTAAAATATATATCCCTCCTAAGCTAATAGGTATTTATTTCCTAAATTTCTTATTCTTTTTAACCATAATTAAAAATATGTTTAATCTTTCAACATTCCATTAATACATCTAGTCATCTAGTTCTTTAACTCTTATTCAAAACATTTTTATCCATTATAATTTTCTTAAATTCAATCACATTTAAATATCTAAAAGCCAAGAGCCGAGGTGGCGCAGCAGTTAGAGTGTAGTACTGCAGGCCACTTTAGCTGACTGTGTTCAGCAGGTCAGCGGTTCAAATCTCACCGGCTCAAGGTTGACTCAGCCTTCCATCCATCCGAGGTAGGTAAAATGAGGACCCAGATTGTTGGGAGCAATGTAAATATATATATATATACATTGCTTACTGGTGTACACCGCTTAGAGAGTGCTTGCACTTAAAGTGGTATATAAGTCTCATAAATAAATAATAAATTTCCTTTATCTAAGTCAGGCATGTCAAACTCGCAATGTCATGTGATGTTGTGTGACATATTGCAACTTTTTCCCCATTGCCGGCAATGGAGTGGGCGCCATTTCAGCGTGACACATCCGGTCTGCGGGCCGGCAGTATGATATTCCTGGTCTAAGTCATTTCAACTTTTTTATATTACTTATATCAAGAAAGAGAACAAAAAAGGGAAAAAAGCATAGTATATTATACTTAGAGAATTCATCCCTCTTAGAGTGACATATATATTCCAAAACCTTTCTATTTCTTTAACCATATTCAAACAAATGTTTCTTTTTTAAGTATTCTCTCTGGTAAGTCCCATCATCTATTTTCTTAGTTTCCACTTTAGTCTTTTTCTTTTGTCCAGTGTCTTTTTTAATCAATGAATTTTGCTGAATCAGAAAGTTTTTCCGTATATTTGTAAATGTTGCTGTAGATATAAAAAGTAAATCTGGACAAGTGTCTTTGTAAGGGACTTCTGCCTTTCCATGTTTGTTGAAAATCTTTTTCTTTTTCTTTCTCTCCACTTCTCTTATTATTTCCTTTCTCTCCAATGTTCCTGACATCTCTACAGTCCTTTTTATCCAATCTATTGTCTTGTCCTCAGATTTATTTTGTAGTCTTAAGGGATAAGTTGTTTTTTCCAATTCTTGTGAATTTTTTTCCACTAGGATTGAATCACATTTCCTTGTTTTGTTAAGTTTCATCTTTAAGTCTCTATTCTCAATTCTATATCCATTTATCTGTTTTATCTGCTCCTTCTCTGTTGTTTTTTTCTGGGAATTTTTTTGTTGTAGAGTTAACTTGGAAATAAATTGATTTATATTTTCAAAGTTGTTTTGGATTTGTTTGTGGTTTAATGTCATTGTTGTCTGAATTAGTTGCAGTATACTATATATCTCCTCCTGTGATGTATTTATGTTTTCTTGATATGTTCTTTCTACATGTCTCTGATCCATGATAGCCAATAACTTGAGTTTTTCTCTTCCTTTCTTTTCTTTGTAAATAGCTTTAGAGTCCCAGTTAGATAGATATTTGTAATCCAAATAGTTCAAAAAATTTTTTTTTCTGAAATTTATTATTCTCTCTTTGTCTACAGCCCAGATTATTGTCTTTTTTTGACGCAGCTGGTCTTTGTTGTTAAAGCTTTGAAGCTCATAAACACAGATTAGCTTTTCCCAGATTTTGCCAAGTCTTATATTAAAGTATCATAGCTGTCATAGTCTTCATCTGCAACTATTTGTTTTTCAATTTCCGAAATAAACAATTATCTTTGAAATGAGAGTCTTAACCATTAAAACAATTTTAGATTTATCCAGATTTAAATTTTAAGTTTCAGGTTTTGTATTTATTTCACTTCTATATATTTTGATCCTCCATAAAAAGATTAATTCACCACTTCTGTTAGTATAAGGGTGGGGCGGAAATCCCCCTCCTTCCCTTTTGGAAGTATTTTGCTTCTTGGGGATCTTTTCCAGGAAATTAAATGTAAAATAGAAAAGAGAAGATTGAATTCCTCACCCAGTTTCAAGCACACTGTTCACAGTTATGCTGGTTAGTGCTTTTAGATTTTGGTTGCAAGTAGTTTGGGCTGGTCGATGCAATATGGCCAGCCTTTCTCCTGTCGGCTTAGAAGGCTTTCCCCAAGTCAAATGGAATGGCCACTGCCATTCCAGAATTGCTGGAGCACCCTTCTTTCTTTGTCGCCTCTCTGGGGAGACTTAGACCATTTAGGGTCCCCTGGCAGGGCAAAATTAGCTGCGAGGGTATGGAGAATTCGCAAGGCCATGACCAGTCGCTACCGCACAAAACTCAATGACTCTAATTGCAAGGAGCATTTATAATCTCTTCATTCAGTACAATTGTAACTTTAAACAGTCACTTAACAAATGGCCATAACTCGAAGACTACTATCTATTAAGGAAGTTATTTCATATGAAATAGTCCAATACAAATCACTTTTGCTAATGACAGTATTGTTTTCAAGGTGTGTACATATTATTCACTTTACAGACTTTTGTAAGTTTGGAGTTATATAGGTCCTATTTTTTCCCTTTTGAAAATAGGGGAACATTGGCCCTTCTGCAGTCAGTTGACACTTCATTTTAGAATTTCTCAAAGATATTGAAGAGATGTTTGTTCAGGCCACCCAATATAAATTCCCTCAGTTTTCAAAACTTCATTAAATCCTTTAGTATTTTGGTTCCTTCCACTGTATCCATTGTTTTTCCTCATTGGACTTGAACTTTTAGTGCCTGGAGGGTTTTTTTGGAACTCCTGACCCATTTTTCTCATCAGATGCTGCCACAGAATCTTAATTCTCATGAAATCATATTTGTTGGCACAGTTTGCAAGCAAATTTTTCATTCTTATATTATAAGCAGAAATTTCAAGATTAGAATTGCTGATGAAATGATATAATGGCTTGAACATTTGATAAAGCAACGCTTTTTCTTCTTCAATGTTTAAGTTGCCATATTAACTGAAAACTTTTTGAAGCATGCCCTAGAGAAACTTTTCTGTTTTGTTGGTTAGAAACTCAAATGGTACAATACATAATTATCTTGAAACAACAGGATCAGAAATTTGTTGGCTCCTAAATGCCAAAATCTCTGTCTGTCTGTCTCTCTGTCTCTCTCTCTCTCATACACACACACACACACACACACACACACACACAGAGTTAAGTCTTACCTTGGCAAAGAGGTGGAGGAGAATCCCATTGATACATGCCATTTGGGTGATGTCTGCATGTTGCATTGCTATGACCAATAATCCTGTATCCAGATTTACAATAGTAGTGAATTATGCTGCCAATTGTGCCCTTGGTTTTATTTACAATTCCACCATTCTTCACAATATGATTTAAGCTGCAGTATGGAGCTATACAGGATCAAAGTAATAAAATTAAAAGCAATATATTACTAAAAAGACAGAAGACAACTCTTCTAAAATCTAAATTTCCTTGAAAGACATTTAAAGAATGATACTCAACTTGTCACTTATATTTCCAGTCTAAAGATTAAAACCAGGGATTTTTTTTTAATTTAAGAAATGTATCTTTCAGATAAGAGGCATTTAAATCCACTATTAAATTTTAAATTTTAACTACAAATTTGTTTAGGGAAATATTAAAGCTGTTAAAATCCTTGCGTGTAAAACATCTTAATGACATTAATCAAATGGTATGCACACTCAGTACTGGGGTGGTCCCAGAGTGCTTTCTTCCACTATAAAGTCTCATTTTGTATTGATGTAATATTAGATCTATATGGGTTGTTTCCAGGTTGTTGCACTGAATAAATCACTACACTATACTTATTTACATCCGGTTTACTACACAGGCAGAAGAAATACATTTTCATAAACTGTATCGTAATTTATTTCTCCTTAAAGTACAATGTTTAATAAATAAATAATTAAATAACTCATGTGGCTGATGAGCAATACATGCACTAATCTATTCCAAATCAAGGCTTTTGATGAATTACAGCAAGCTTTTTTTGGGAAAACTTGAATATCAGAACAGTGAACACTATTGTCTCTGGAAAGCTTACAAATGTAATATAAGAACTAAAAAATTAAAAGCACACAAATATAATTAAATATACCACACTATGAAGACATATCACAAAATGCAGCAGAATCAGCAGTGTATTCTTTGAATTATTTCTTAGTCTAGTCCAGTAATCTAAAATGCAGTCAAATATTATCTGACATGTGTCCTCAAGACTGCTATCCTGAATCTAATCCTGATCAACTTGGAGAAAATGGTTGAGGAACTAAAGATAATTAGGAGCCTGGGAGGCAATAAACATACTATTCTGGGTTTTCAGAGAGCACAGGGAGGAGAAACTGTAGTCATATTTCAATGTTAGACTTCAGAATAGTACACTCTGATGAACTTAGAAGGATAGTCAGAAGGATCCAATGACTTGATAGCCTAAAAGAGAAACCTCAACTCCTCCTCTTCCACACTCTTCACATCCACACACTGTTTACTTTGTGGCAGGGGGACAGGAAGACTTTCAACAATTGTCTCAATGACCACACCACACCAACCAACTCAATTCTGGCAAGGTGTTACCTGAGGTATTCCAGAAATGTGCAATATAGAGTTTTAGAAGTTCAAAGCACTTTGAAGTGGACACTGCAACAAGTCTAGGTGTTATTAGGTGTTATTCTACACTGGCAAGCTTGTCCCATCATAATTTGCCTGCTGCATTTTTGCATCAGCTACAGCTTCCCAGTTGCCTCCAAAGGCAGCCTGATGGAAGGCACTACAATTGTCCAGCCTCATGCTGATTAAACCATGAAGTACTGTCACCAGGGCTACAACACCAGATGGAGCTATAACTGGTAAAGCAAACAAATGCTTTAGTTACCTCTTCTGTAAATGCAAGAGGAACATATTTAGGATGTCAAATTCAACTCAAGATATTGCACAATTTAAGTTCCTTCTCTATGGTTTCTTCCTCCTCTCACAACAAAATTGTATAAGACATCCCAAAAAAATCTGGAAGTCAGAAACATTTGTTCCTACACAGGGAAAGAAACAATGGGTAAGAAAAAGGAGGGGACATCCTGCTCAATGAATAGAATCTAAGATGTTCCTATGTCCTTTAAGAGGATCACTGCCTTAAAAAAAAAAAATCACTGGAAAAGGGGAAAATCGGAAAATTATCTAATGACTGACTTTGTATCAGTTCTACCAAAATTTCTGTTTCCTACACACACAGCTGTATTTTCTTAAACAAACACATTGATATATGACCTTAAGGAACACCATAAGACACATCTTTGGTTCTCCAGCTAGCAGGTGAGTGGAGATCAAATGAATGCATAAAAATATTATGCAGGAAATAATAATATTTATAACTTTGCAAAATAAAGATATCTCATTGCAAAAAGGTTCTTACTGTATGTATTAGCATATAGTGTTAGTAGGGGTTTATCAGAGCTACAATGAATAATGAAGTGCTGTAGGAACCCACTTTAATTTCAGTCTATTTATAATCAGAGTTGTTTGAGCTTTTCTCCTCCATAGTCTTTTTGTTCTTAGTAATCATTAATCATATGCTTCTTTTCAGTCATTTGCACTGAAAAGATAAGAACTTTTTTTTTAAAAAAAAACTTGTAATAAACTTATCTCTCAATAAGAAAATTGTGGATGACCCCCTTCTGCTAATAATTCTAATTTTTTATCTGACAATTTTGTCAAAGCGTTAATGGCATTTCCAATTTTCCCATTTCATATTTTTTATATGAAAAAGCCTTTTCTAAAAAATAATCAGTAACTGCCTGAATAATGAAGTGACACTATCTCTATAGAAAAGCTGCCACAGAAAGTGTAAACAGCCCAGTGGAAAACTAAAAACCTCTCTTGTTTACCACATTAGCTTTTCATGTCACTTACTACCAGTTGCATGGTCAAATTTTCAGTCAAGGTTATATCATTTTTATTGATAATTTTTCTTTATCTTTTTCTGGTGTTGCTATTTCTATGCAAACACATTTGTTATAAAAATGCTGCATTTGAATTTAGATTGAAATTCTATGCATTTTTATTTAGAATTAAGAGCTACTGTATATAGAGGAATACCTCTTTTAGAAAACATACATAGCATTATGTTATAAAAACATCCATGCATAAATATAATATTGTGTATTTAAGGCAGAAGACATTTTATGCCAATAAACATTCAATCCCAAAGTATGCAAATATTTGAATAATAACATTATTCAAAATCTGAATAAAATAGTTTGCTTCAGTAAAGTGCTACAGGGGATACTTGGGATATATATCTGACCATAAGAAATCCTGCTCTCCTGTCTATGTCTTTAAAGATTTAACACCAGGTAGTGTCAACACATTTTTCAAGCACAACTTCTCAAGCACTGATTATGTTACCTAATGTGGTAATGAAATATCTGCAAGAAAACAACCAAACTCAGAGAGCACCAAGGACCCCACAGTTCAAGCCTAAGCTGCAAATATTCTCTCCTATCAGTACATCTTCTCAATAATAAAATATTGGTATTAGAATATCAGAGCCACTGTATTCTGCAATCATCAAATTATGAATATGTAATGAGTAGATATTTATTATTTTATTTATTTCAGATGTTAAATTTATATTTCCACCCATCTCACTTTTGTAATTATGGACGCCCAACAAAATTAATTTGGAAATGCAAACAAAGCTCCAAGTAGTCTTGAATAAACCCATCAGAAGATTCATAGATGTACAATAAACAGTGCTGTCTCTAAAGAAAATTTCTGTTTCAATATCACCATCTCCAGGTACCGCTGTGAAAAACTCCTATGAAAAATTGTATAGTTCAATTACAGAGCTAGGTGAGCAATAATCCTACTTCTTAAATGGGACATTGCGTCAATGGAAAATAGTATATTTTACTGTTCCTTTTTTGCTTTCAGTGCAAACATTCATATTTCATTTCTTTCCCCCAGGTTACTGTTGAGAAACCTGATATATTTCCATCTATCCTACTGGGAAGGTCATCACAGAATGCTTAGCAACCTGATATTTATCTTCCCCCTTTCCATCGCTCATTCGTTCCTTCACCTAGCCAACAGAAATCCTTAGTATATATGCAGACACTCTGTCCACCTGTGTTTGCAAAAGTGTTTTCTAACAAATCTCTGAAAATACATAAGAACATCAGTGGAGATCTGAGTGAAAATTTAATGTTAAAATGGTGTTCAAGCATTGACTATAAAAGGAAAATTATTGTTTGTGGCATATAAATGTCTCTGTGGAGTGGTTTGGGACAGTATGGTGGGAGGAAGGGAATCAGGTGGCTCTCATTGCTATTGAAACCTTCTCCATTAAAACTAAAAAGCTAAAATATTTAGAACATCCACAGCTTCAGAAATTTAGTCATTCTGTTTTAGGCTTTGCACCTGAGTAGGTTATTTCTGTTATTTCTTAGTTTTAATCTATTTAGTTCATCAGAAAAGCCAGTTTGGTGTAGTGGTTATGGTACCAGGCTAGAAACCAGCATATGGTGACTTCTATACTTGTCTTAGGCATAAAGTCAGATGGGGGACTTTGGGCCACTCATTCTCTCAGCCAAGGAAGAAGGCAGCAACAAGCCACTTTTGCAAATGCTGCAATGCCTTCTTCTTAGGCTAATGCAGAAGCTACTTCTGTAAATCTTGCCAACTAGTCCAGGTAGTTGGCAGGGAGTCCATTCTCATTTAAAGATATCCTCACTAAAACGTTTTAAAAAATGATCCAGGTGCATTGTTGTCAACCTTGTAAGGTAGCACACTGGAAATGCCTAGAAGTATTAGCTCTAACCTTATTATAAGGTCACATGAACAGAATCTTGCGAGGCTCTCACTCTTTGCCCTTGCAGTCCAGGAAATTAGGGAATGTCCCTTGTGAGATGTTTTCCATGGCCCCATTCCTTCTGCAGACTCAGATGCCTCCTATCTAAATGATGTCTATCCTGTGGCTCTTCCTCTTGTTTCCCAAGGTCATTCCTGAGTACCATTAACTATATACCAAAAGGTTCATCTGACTGTTACTAGATACAGTTTTCTTTCTTCATGAGGCTTGTTTGCATCTCTCATTACATTTTGTGACAACACAGCTGAATTCTGCAACAATGCTTTTGATTTTAGAATCTGTAACTGAGCACTTCAACAAATTCCACACAATATTCTGGACATATGCTGTTTGCCAAACCTTGTGCAAAGTCCCGTTTGTCAAAACAAGGAGGAAGGCAGGGAGGCAGTAAATCATTCCAATAGGCTGATAGTTATGTGGTGGCCTGCTGGCTCCATCACAGCTGCCATAGCATCAATAGCTTTTCTGGGCCCCCCATTTCCTTTCCCATTTTTTATGCTATTGACTTTTCTTATTAAGATTCAAACCCAATTGCTTACCCTGCTGCTTGCTGTTATTTCTTTCTCCTGCTGTCTCCCCTGCACTTGATGTAAACTTACATGACATGAAGAGAACTATGCAGCTTTTCAGGTCATGCTGTTTGTGAAACAGGAGAAAGTTTAAGCTGAGCTAGTCTACTGAGTTGCTTGCCTTATGCATACAGTTAGGCATTTGTATTCTAAAAAGCTATTCATTTGCAGTTTGAAATTAATAGTGCTTCATATGTCTTTTCCAAATTTTCAATATCCATAGGAACATTTTATACTTTTTAACTAATCCTTGAATAAGATAACTATACAATATTTTTTTTTTTTTTACATTTTCAGAATAGTGTTTTTCTTTTGTGCTTTGTGAAGGCCAACATCATGTCAATTTAGAAGGCAGAAAGAGAGAGGCCTTGTCTTATTAGGCATCCCTGGCATAGGAGAGATGACTACAAAAAAAAAAGGAAGCTCAGCATATACACCATTATAGGATTAGCATCTCAACATACTTGCTTATAAATATAAAATCAGAATTATTCTGATATCTTTCCAGTAGGATAAACAGTCAAAATTATACTTAAGATTAATCTAAGTTGAATTGTAAAATAATTCTGGAAAGAAAAAAAATATCTACCACTCATTCATTCATTCATTCGTTCAATTTATATGCTACCCATCATGATACCCAACGTGATTCCTTAGAGAGGGAGACAGAAATGAAATCTTCTGAATTTGACAAACAATCCATTTCAAGACCAAAATCTATACAACATATATATTTATATTAAGCCAGTTATATAACTGTTGTTTGTTAGAGCTTATTATTTGCTAAAAATCAGAGCAGTGTATAAAAAATAACCTGCTGAAGATATTTAGCTTGCTATTTGTTCAGCAATACTAGCAAAGATGTCAGACAAACAATACTGATAGTCTTGTTTGTGATATTTTTCCCTTTTTCATCTGCAATCCATTGAGAGATTTTTCTTTGGATGCATTAAACCACACACAAATCACACAAACATAAGAATTATAATTAGCTTTCGTTTAGTATGCTTTCAGATAGAAAAACGTATTGATTTCATACAGTATTACTGAATTTTCTAAGTTGTATTGTGGAGGAAATTGAATTGAAATTCTGAAATGTTCACTTTTAAAAATAAAAAGTAAAACATTATGCTAAAATGTTCACATATGTATGTATTCATATATGGTTATTAAATTTTTATGCTGGCCATATCCCCTACAAAACTCCCATGTTTTGTTTTTTCATATAACTGGCATATCTATTTAAAAGTAACATATTTCTAAGTGGGAAATAAATTTCATTTAAAATAAACCCATTATTATATGGCACAGATTTCAAATAGTTTTTCTTATATACGGTCCTTCTAAAACCTGCAAATTATTTTCACAACACAGAAAAGTAAAAAGTAAACATGTTTATTACAATTCTACAATTGCATTGTGAAATGATATTTATTTCATAGGTTGGTTCCTTTCTTATCCCCCCACAGAGACTTGCAGTTTTGATGATGTAATTATTCAACATCATGCCCTTCGGTTTTACCTCTAAATAATGATTTCCTTTCAGATTTAGCCCACTTCAACAGAAACTATTTTGGTAGACTACAAAAAGTTGTTTGTATTGAATATCAGATTTAATTCATAATTCTACATTACTTTTTAAATTGGCATCGGAATGTGTTCTCTGCAAAGAATGCACATCTGAATATTTTTATGTAGGTTAAGAATAGGACAAAGGAATCATGCAAATGCTTCAATATCTGGCAGTGAAAAAGAGTTCACATGAGTAGAAAGGGGTGCAGTCTCTTTGAAAACCATTAATCATCCAAAAGTACATTTTCTGGTTGTTGATTTTTTGGCTCCATCGGTAACTACATTTTCATACAGAAATAACACACCATATAAAATATCAGCACAGTAGAAAATTAAAATAATCAAGGAACAATGATCTCTAGTCATTCACATATAGTTAGTTACAATAATGGAATATATTTCCAGTTTTCACCGTTCCCTTCATTCCCTGCAGTGGTGTACAGGAGTTTGGTTGCGTTGTTTTTTTTATTTGTGCAGAGCATTCTATAAAGTAATTTTAAATAAGACAATTGGTTACTTCAGCCCAGTATTATCTGTTCTGACTGGTAAAGCTCTGGAGAGGCTTAATAGATGTCAATAGTTTATCAGTAGTTCTACTAATTAAGTAGACATCAGGTAGTGAAAACCTAGAAAATTTTGCTAGAAGTATTTGCTATTTATTGGTATGGGCTCTCTGCATATTGTTATAAATCTTCTCTTCTTAATGAGCACATTATAAACAGGTCTTTAATGCTGAATTTACTACATACCTGAATAACGTATCTTGAAACCTTTTTTAGTAGTTGCATGGTCAGTTGACCAACGCAGATACAACTGGTTGGATTTGCTTGTATAGTTAAGTTGCCCAGTATGATTTCCACTCAAGGCAACCAACAAAGGGCTTTGTCCCGAAGAACCTGTGCAAAATATATCAAAATGTTAATAATCCTGTCACATGCCTTAGGCTTATTGGAAATGCCTTGAAATAATATTTGTTTTAACACCAAACAGACATTTTACCAGTGCTTGTCAAATTAAAATGGGGTCTGAATTGCAATATGGATTCATGTAATTAGTACCATTTGGACTAATTTGAAAATTGGATGCAGTGCATTATTGGCATGCATTAGAACACAGACCTGTCATCAAATTCTATAATAAGGTCATCTAAAGTATTAGTAATCTTTCTTTTTAATAGGTACCAAGTGATCAAAATCAGTTAAAAATCGGGTTCCTTATGATTTGAAACCTGGATCGGTAAACCAGTAAATTGGTCTCAGTAGGTAGGTAATATTTGATGAAAGAAAGAAGGTAGGAAAACCTTTGGCTTTTGATTTTAACAAAATACGCAGGTTTGTTTTGAAAAGAATTGGAAAAACATTAAAAAGCAGGGTAGAATATACTTGAAACTTTTCTCCTATTTCATATTGAAAAAAACCTTAGGTTTCATGGGGATAATAAACTCTTCAGTACAAGTGGAGGCCACTATAACAAATTCAAATAAGAGAAAACCCAAACATTAAAAAACTAAAATGGTAAGTAGACAATTGGGTTATTAATCAATGTTGAATGACTAAATGAGGATAAGAACATTGGGCTGGTTCATTTGAAAAGAAATGATTTTCAAAGGCTGAAAATAATCAACAAGAAATCACATTTCTTCAGGAGGGATTGAAATGAACCTATTTAGGAAGTGTAACACAGGGCTTTTCAACCAGTAGTACAGGTACCACCTGTGTACATTGGCACCTGGCAGGTGGTACGCGACCATCCTAGAAAAGTGGTAATGGGGGAGGGGAATGAGCTGAACCGGTGGCAGCAACGCACAAGTCTGAGCGAGAGATGGCTAGAGCTCAGGGCTGTCAGGGCTCAGATGAAGCACCAGAATCAGTGCCAGGCTCCAGCTGGAGCTGTGCGCTGATCCTGGCGCCTCTGCTGAGCCCAGAAGAAGCACCGATCATCTGGAATGTTGCAGCCTCTCCAGGGTCTTGTGATTTACATTCAGATGCTTGGCAACTGATTCATATTTATGATGGTCACAGTGTCCCAGGGTCACGTGAAGTGACCAAAACCTGCTGCAACCACCCAGCAGACAGGGGGGAATAAAAACCAAACACCCCTCACCCCACCCCCACTGCCAATCCTCAACAGAAATGCTCACAACAATGAAAACCTTGGACGGGAGGAAGAGCACCGCCGGGTGCTGTCTTGCTCGGCTATGGCTTGGGGGGCACTTTTTTCAGTGCCATTGTAACTTTGAACAGTCACTAAGAGAACTGTTGTAAGTTGAGGACTACCAGTACTTTATCACTTTTTTCCTCTTTTTTGGGGGGTCATCAAGTTTTTGACACCTTGCTAGGCAACTGGTGGTACTTGGATGTTGCCATATTCTAAAAGTGGCACAATGGGTGAAAAGGTTGAAAAGCCCTGGTGTAACACATTTAAAACAGATTCTAGATTAGCAAGAGAAAACATTTCTCCTTGAAACACAAAAGCAGCTGTTCCCCTTAAATGTGTTCTACAGCTGCTTCAAAGTGTGTCTATGTGTGTGTGTGCCTGCCGAACCAACATTGCTATTGGTACTACCAGTGAAGGAAACTAACACTGTATGTATACACATCTATAGGCAGCTGAAGACGACTTTGAAAGATATGCTGATATCTTCCAAAAGATGTACAATAGCTTCGATGATGCTTCAAGGAAGAGTGCTTCACTTCCACCAATATATCCCTTTTGGATACTTTGCTTAGAACTAAAAGATGTGGATCTATTTTTTATAAACACCAAAATACACAATTTAATATGAATTAGAGGTGGACCTTGTTGTTGCAGAGGTTCTGTTTTATGTATTTGGAAAATGAGATTATATTTAACAAGGCCATGAAAAAAACTACTGAGGTGCAAAAAGCTGACTAAAATTTAGTGCTTTGGGGGAAAAAAAAGACAAAATCTGAAGCTATGTAAACCCCTTGGATATCAAAGCTTGGTTTTTATTTTACAAACTTAGATATGTGGAATTGCAGATAAGGCGACTGTAAATAATGAGGGCCATATGAACTTTAATTCCTTCCACATTATTGAATCAACAAATAAAAAAAGAATCTCACCATCAAAGATTTCCAGCTCATCAAACTGCTTTTCGCTTTGAAACGATTCTACGAAAACAGTGATATTATAGTTTGGCTCAACTTTAAGAGTCCAGGCACATGTTTGTGAATTGAGATAGTTTCCTGGATAACCTGGACTGAGGATTACACCAGATGACATTGTATGAATTTCATTTGCTGGGCACTGTGCTATAAAATACAAGTGAGATAGGAAAAATAGGGGGGGAGGAAATAAAGGAGTTTACTTTCTTAAATTGCCACTTTTTCATAAATATGAAGAGAGATGTTCAATCTATTTTTGAAATTTATTGCTTATTGAAGCAAAATGTAGATTTTCTCCTCGAAACAAGATATATTATAACAGATGTTCTTTCATAAAACCCTGCATGCTTCAGAAACTAGTTCTGAATACATGAATTACCTTTACCTTGATGGTGAACTAAAATTAAAGGAGTGTCCTCTTAAACAGGGGTGTCAAACTGCCGGCCCGTGGGCTGGACGCATCAGGAGAAAACTGCTCCCACCCCATTGCCGGCAATGGGGAAAAAGCTCCGATACTAAAGTGCTGAAGTCTTATAAAATTTTACAGGGATTTCAAACATTAGACTTTTATTTTTATTTTATGTACTTTTAAAATTTGAACAGTGATGAAGAATATTATCTTGTTCTTAATACCCCTGCAATGTTAAGTTGGGAGATATCAAGCAACTTTTAGGGCCAGCAATATCTGAATGAAAAATTGAATGCAATTGAGTGAAAAGTGAGTACTAAATTTCAATAGATGAACTTTATTTTCTAATGCTCCCTCACTTCCTGACTGAAAGGAGTCCAGATAATCCAGAAGCTGCAGAGTTTAGAAAGGAAAGGTTGGAAACTGGACAAAAACTGTCCAGACTAGCTGGCTTAAGTGATGACTCCTTGAGAAAGAGGCACAACACCAGCTCCTTATCAGCTGGCAGAATCACTCCTTCCTCCAAACAAGAGTTAACCACCACTGGACCCAAGCACATGTCGCCCCCCCCCCCAGATAGTCTTGACTTGACTTGACTTGATGACTTGACTCAGGAGGGGATCTAATATAGGCATGGCTGAACTAACATCAGCAAGAGTCCTGTCCACTTCCTCAAGTTCAGCAGGATCAAATTTTTTCTCAGATAACCTTGTAAGATATAGTCCCCATGACCTCCAGTGGCCCTGCTTTAAGGCTGAATCAGCCTTTGAAGAAATATATAGTAAAGATCTTGCATGAGGTTTCTCTTTTTTCCAAAATAGCTAGAATATATATTGGAGATATAAATCTGAATATCATTTACCATTCTATTTCTATTAATAACAAAGGCCCAACATAATTATGATTTGATTCAGTACTTTTATCCACATATTCTTTGTATGCAGTTTGACTCAATCATGAAAAAATTCTCTGATTCACAAGCTGATGATTGGTTTGTTCAGCTGGAACCAGAAGGTGAACAGAACTAGTGCAAAAATTGTTCATTTTTAATTTTTGCATAAAAAGTGAGCATAGACCTACTAATTGCAAGGAGGAAGTTTCTGTATTCTAGTTTCAGTATGTCCATCTGTGAGTTTATACTATTCAGTGTTTTTCCTTTTAGTTTTAAAATACTAAATATTTTTCCATTTTTTTAAAGTAAAGGACTGGCACTTTCTTGGATATTATTTCATTTTTTCCCTTGGCCCAAGAAAATATGTTTTAATTAAAAATAATGTTTATATCATTTTAATAGCTTCATGGAATTTTAAACCTCTCACATATCAATCAAGGAGAGGATATTTAAAAAAAATTAACTCAGTATTCTCACTAATAAGGTTAGATTTTTTAAAGTGAAAATTCCAAACTTGTGAGGAGAGTTATAATTTGGGTTAAGATGTCTTCTAATTTGATTGCAGAATAAGGAAAATTGATACTAGAGGTTTTGATTTTTGTTAATTTTAGCGATTAGATGATTGTCCAACTGAATAGTTTTATTATTTACAATTATTCTAAAAACGATAAACCCAGTTTACCAAAGATGGTTTGCTCATCTTTTTTATTTTATTTTTGCATTATATTATTATTGCTGATGATTTTAATAGCATTTTAGATCCACTGATCGACTTTCAAGTAGATTCAGATTCAGATCACACTTGGAATATGCTTCAAGGTTATGTACTTGATTTCAGTTTGGTGGATACATTGTGGCATTTGATGAAGATGGCCTTTCTCACAATAGCTCAGTTTGCTGAAAAGTTTGGAGGTCAGTGTCAGAACCCTGTGTTCTATGTGCATGGGATTTCTTATTCTTTTGGGGTTCTGTCATTCTCCTGTGGGAGAATGAATATAGAAAGCTGTTTCCTAGAAACAGTTGTCCTCTACACATAGAAACTCAAATAAGGAGTATGGACCTCAGGTGGATATAACTATTAGCAGTAAGCATAAGTAGACTATTCTTACTTTTAATATATCTTAAGAGGGAAAAATCTACCTGTTTCACTAATAAATAAAAGAAAACACTGACTTAAACTTATATAATATGCCGTATGCCAAGAATCCAAGAGCTTCTGTGCAACGTATGGAAGTCTGAGCACATGCATTAAAACTATTACAGCATGGTTCTAGAATTTTCAATAAAAAATCAGATTTATTGTGCTTTTCATATAAATCTGAAATGCAATTGATTCTATATTTTGTCATCTGAGTTGCTGTCTCTAATATTATGCCACATTATCCTATATAGGGCCCAATATCTATTGCTAAAAAATTCTTCTATTTTGGTTCTGATATTTGTCCAATATTCTATGATAACAGTAATTTTTCTTATATTTATTCTGAAATCATTCCATTTTTGTCCTTTCACAGCTAAAACTATTCCCTGTTTTTTTCTCTAATTTAACATATTGCTATGTTACCCATAGACAGAGATTGATAGAAATCACAGAGGGAAAACTATTTTAAACTGTTTGATTAAATGTCATTTTATAATAACATATAACTCCTTTAAAAACTCTGACAAAGAGACACATATTGGATTTAAATTTCTTCTCATCCATGAATAATGAAGTGTAAAACAAGGTATAGAAATAGCTTGTTTCATATAGCAAACTTCTGAAAACAAAATTGTCTTATGCTGAGAACCCATTTTAATACATTTTCATTATAATTCCTAATTAGCACATTCTTGATTTAAAGCAAATTTAAATATCAAATAGAATATGTGAAAACCTCTTTCATAATCTCTCTATACCAGTGGTTCTCAACCTGTGGGTCGGGACCCCATTTGGAGTCGAACGACCATTTCACGGGGGTTGCCAAACAATGCAGACCGCCATTTTTCCCTCTTTTCCTTAGCTGTGCTACTCCCTTTTATTCTATTGGCTTTTGAAAGCCAATAGGAATTGTCCAGGCTGTCTCTGCCCTGCTGAGCCCGCCAAAAGTCCCATTCTGCAAACGGTGCTGCACCAGTTGAGTAGTCCTTGACTTACGACTGGTTGAGTAGTCCTCGACTTACGACCGGTTGGGGGGTCGCGGCATTAAAAAGGTTGAGAACCACTGCTCTATACAGTATAGTTATTGCATACATACCTTCACAAACTGGAGAAGACCCCTCAAACTGAAGTAGGGCTTTTAACTTACAGAACATCATGTCATTTCCAACCAAAGTATAGCCAGGGTGACACTTGTATTTGACAAAGTCTCCTGAAATAATTTAAAAAGAGAAAGGAAAGGAAGCATATTGAAATCTAGATTACAGAAACATTACGTGTCATACCTTTCCATATCTTTCTATCATTGCTTCAACCAGATTCACAAATCAAATATTTTTAATATCATGAAATATTATGGAAAGTTTTAAAAATGAGTAAAAATTAACACAAACCAAAATAGAACAAGGAGAAAAAAAGAAAAAGAGGAAATAAAAGAAAAAGCTGAAGTACAAAAACAAAGATAGACAAAAAATAGAAAAGAAGAAAGGAAAATATAAAGAAATAACTTATCTTCTTTACAGCAGTTATAAGCACAATTCTATATTAACCTCTTTCTCTAAGATTACATCATGACTTTCTTCTTTCTATAATTTATTCTAATCTAATTGTCAAAACCATAGATCATATTCTTTGTTTTTGTTTTACCTAAAAGGTCTGTAAAGGATTTTTCATTCAGCAATAAACATGCTGCCTTTTTTCTAATTAAACAGAACAATTTAGCCATCTCAGCAAGCTCATCAATTCATAAGCTACAGTTTTTTCTTTACTTTGTATAAATGTGTGCCAATACACATGTATGTCTTAATGAACCAGAATACTGGCTTGCTATCTTAGTTTGAGAGCATACTTGAGTTAAAACTGGACTTTTGTTGTGCTTGCAGCACATGGCCAAAAAGTATAAAAAATTACTACTGGCTTAAACATGATCAGTGAGTGCTACATGGCACTCGGATATATTAAGGCTGATAACTTAGTCAGTATCTACTGTATCACATTAAAATGTGATATGAAAAATGATCTATCTATCTATCTATCTATCTATCTATCTATCTATCTATCTATCTATCTACCTACCTACCTACCTACCTACCTACCTACCTACCTACCTACCTACCTACCTACCTACCTAACTATCTAGATAGCTCTCTCCCTTCTGCCTTTTACACAAGGGGAAATTGGTTTTCATACAGCATAAGAGTTCCATTCTTTCAGTTTAGAAGACGAAATGATCACTTTCACATTGGCCATTGTATCTAATTTTCAGAAATATATAAATTAATTAATTAACTAAAAGTAGGAAAGGCACCGGGAGATTACAATATTCCCTCAGGGTCAGATTGTGGAGCACAGTTTTGGCTTCTTTCTTTAAATACAGGGCTAGATCAACTCAGATTCCTAAAGTCTTGGGATTTCCTATCATCATTCCCATCTTTACTTTCGACAAAACTGAGACTTTAGAATCTTTACGACATATGACCATAAGAGGCAGGCTCCATTAAGGTCATATGTCAAGGACTACCTGTAACAAATTCAATTTGTTTCCACTAGAATAAATAGGGCTCAGATTTCTCCTGAATACCATACAACTTTTTTTGTTAAATTCAATGGGATTTTAATATAATTTTGACATGCAGTTAAATCTGAAATATGTTTATGCAGGACTACATTCATCCTTCTTTAACAAGGCTTTTTCAGCAAGATTTATATATACCTTTAGGATTTCATCATTAATACAGTTTCAATTTCTAGACTTTTAATTAAAGGAGTATCTTGTAAACAAGCTGGAATGATTGCTAACTACATACTTCTGCTTTTTAGTTACAATTTCCCCACTGAAATGCATTTGTTTTACAAAAGAATTTATTGTGTACACATTCTTTGTTTTCTCATAACATTTTTCTCTGTATCTGGAGTTTGCTTTCCAATCTGACCCACTACCAGGAGAACTAGAATTTGGAGTCACTTTTTTAATGAAAAATATGTCACCATAAGAGAAATAAAATCATGTAATATAGGTGTTTTGGAAACAATCAAATAACATAAATGTGTACTATATATCTACACCTGTAGCCTCAGTGATTGTTGCTTTTGATTGATTATTTAATACTGGTATTTCTACACTGTTCTATGCCCCCCCCAAAAAACTCTGACCAGAATACAATGCTATAAAGATTGAAAAAAGGATAATTAATATAGATTTACTAAGTTTCAGTTTAAGAAATTTAATGTTTAAAACATTAAGCATTCTTTAAAAAAAAAACTGGAATGCTTCCATATAAGTATATTTAGGTGCATAGGAATAAAATACACTGAGAACATTTAGTAATGATTACAATTTTCAGGAAAATAGAACATTTTAAATGTATTAATAATATCAGTTAAGTAGCAGTCTGAATTGACAATAAGTATATACATGGGGTAATATAGACATTTTTACCTATTTCAAAATCATCATCTTCAGCAAGCAATTCAGCATGCAGAACTGATGGAGGAGACTGGCATTTCTTAAGCTGATATGCTATGGAATCAAATCAAAATTGGATTAGTAATGGTTTGAAGACAAATTTTACTATAAGGTGAATGCCACCTAATAATGTTTGGGTAAAAGGTGCAATGGTGTACAAGTATTATAACACAGATGGCAAAATAGGCATTGTGAAAAAAATCACGTGAAAAATCTGTTATTTACAGTTACTGATCATATGGGTTTGTATTCCCATGTGGAATATTGGGATTACAGTGTCCATATATGCACAAATCTTTGCACAAATCAAAAGAAAATATTTTGTTAACTTTAATTTCTTATTGAGAATATGTACGTGGATGTATAGAAATGTACATATGTCATACATACTCTCCTTCATTACTTCCTTGCCATTTCTACTTTCCTTATAATTAGTGTCCTTTCTCAAAAATAAGATGGTGAGAAAATGAACATGAATAAAAAGCATCTTAAATAATACAAGCAGTCTCTTTAGAAACTTCTTGCTGTATGAGTCTCTTTTTTTCTGACAATCAGCAAAAATGATGTCATTCTATAGCTTCAAACGAGGAAATGTTCCATTTCTGAACAGTTCAAGCTTTTTTGACAGGAAATTAGAATATCAATGTATTTTGCTAATACCCCCAAGTCCTTAGGGTTTACTTAAAAGTATGTGGTCTGGGTTAAGTGCTTAGGGCTTTCCCTTAAAATATTAAAAGCCAAATAACATGTGTTCAATATTTACCTCTCCTTTTGCTGCAGATAATAATGGTTGATAAAGGTTTTCATTAAATGAAATAGCATGTCAATTGAAGTAATCAATTTATTCTGACAATAGGAAGAAAATATTCTTTTAAATAATACCATGCTGTCTGACTCTCCTTATCTTTCTCACACATACATGATGTGTTAGATGAGAAAAAGAATACTGACCATGAAAATTGAGAACAAAAAATCCTCCAGTGGAGAAATCACTGTGAAACTTGAGAAGGACTTGATTGCTGGAGCTAAAGGCAGTTTCCAGAGCTGTGTTCCCACTGAACACTCCCAACTGGGGTGAATTTTGGTCTGGGCCATCCCTAGGAACCCAGAAAGAAAATCATTTCAGCAAAGGATTGTAATTAAGTTTTATATTCACAGTACTGTATATTGATAGCAGCTTTAAACTTTCAGGATAATTTAAACAATTGTAGCTTAGTGATTCATTTGTATTCAAATCTGTCAATACATTTTAAAACAATTCTCATTTGTGAAAAGTGTAACCTTTTTTTAAAAAAAGTATATACTATTTTTTTTGTCCTGAAATTGCTTCAACCCCTTTATTTTATTTATTTATTGTATTGATTGATTGATTGTTTTTATTAAATTTGTTTGCTGCCCTTCTCACTATGAAGTGACTTCATTCATTCATATCTATAGAAAATTGCTAGTGTTGTGAAACCAAGCTACCCTTTGTAGTACTTTAGCCAGTCAGCTGTTTCCCAAGCAAGAAATAAACAATTTTTTAAAGCGGCATCTTGACAGATCATTCCTCATATAAGCAACAAAAGATTCCTTTGGATAATCCCTCACTATTTAGGTGATCGAAGTGCTTGTCTTTAAGAAGAAGGGAAGCATCATCTCTGGAGAAATTAAAGAAGTGTGGAGTCCTTGATGCTCTCTGAACCTTTGCACTGATGTCACCTAGTTGGATCCTGAAAGGACTGCAAGGAAACAACAGAGCTCAGAGAGTACCCAGGACTCTAAAACTCAGTTCTGAACTACAGTTATCCTCTTCTATTAACATTAAAGAAGAAAGGAGACATAGAGTACTTGGACTAGGAAAATTAATCCTAAGACTCCGATTAAAGGTTGCATCTCTATAGGAAACTGAAAAACTCCAGGGAAGGGAAGAAAAATCCTTTGTTTTGGGAACTCACATTTTTTTCCCCTAAGGGAGAGAACATTTTTTAGCCAAAAATCTACATCTAGATCTTTGATTTACTTCAGAATGTATTAAAATCACTTCTGATAACTGTTGCCTCTGAAGTTTCTTGTATCTGTGTAAATTTAGTTACATGGGCTTTTTGAACAGCTGATCCTTCAGACCTTGAATTTGTTTTATGCTGTCTTTGATAGCATGCTATGGGAAATTCCTTTTAAATGCTGTGTTTGATCTAAACAGCTCTAAACTGTTAACGTGTTTGCAATTCAGTGCTTTAGGTCTGAATTCCTAAAGTTAAGGAAGTTTCTACATTTTTTAATAAAATTGATTTTAGATTATTGTAAAAACTGCAGAGCTGATTTTAGGGAAACTGTAAGAGAGCCATTAAAGGGGAAAAAAGGTACAAGTAATTAATTCAATTACTTTGCTGAGGTTGAATAAGATAGGACAGAAATAAATTTGGAGAAGCTTTCAAAATCCTATTAGTATACCCTGCAAAATATATAAAAATCCTGTTTTTATATCCTTATAGATAAAACTATTTTTCTCACAAGAAGTTTCTGAAATTTCTTCATTGAAAAACAAGCTTGCTAAGCAGAATGAGAAATTTGCTAATTAAACAAAATCTACTGTACAGGAACATGTGCTTACACTTACACATCACATTTTTTTAATTTAGTTATATAAAGATGGGAAAAACACCCAAATATCATCCTTCACAATAATAAGACATTAACATACCATACTGCAATGTAGTCATTCACTAATTCTGTTTGGAGTAATGTGAAATTGATATAGATGCCATGACCCTGGGCTACAGTTATAAGCCATGTACAATCTTTTGAATTTGGATATTCATCTGGAAATCCTGGTGAATACACAGTACCATTCTGAGATGTTTCATTATATCCACAAGGGGCTGATAAAAGAATAAAATGATAACATACATCAATCTATTCTTTTGGAAACTGGTGTATCCCCACCAGCTGCATTTAATATATAACAAAATCCAAAGTGAGAGAATAGCAATATACATTATCTGTCATAACAATAGGCAATTCAGATTAAATAGTCCAGGGATGTCAAACTGCCGGCCTGTGGGCCGGATTCATCATGCCGAAACTGTGCCCACCCCATTGCCCGCAATGGAAAAAATGTTACGATACCTCGCAACATGTCATGTGACATTGCAAGTTTGATACCCCTGAAATAGAATAATCTAAGTTTTAACTATAATATACTGGCACCTTAAAAGAATTCATTAGCGGCCAACTAAACGACATGATGATGGCGTAGGGATGCTTTGAAGCTGATATGGAGAATCTCTTTTTACACAATTTCTGGTATTGAACTGGCCCAGCATATAGTTAACATGTACACAGTCATTCACGCTACAAACACAAATACACACACAAACATAAATACACACACACACACACTCCTACCAGAAATTAGGTTTATTTAAAAGAACTACTATAGAACCCATTAAAAAAAATATTACTTGCCTCACTGAGGAAAATACTCAAAAAGATCATAAAAATGTTACAGGGGAAAGGTTAATTCCATTGCATGCCATACTATTTTTTTTTCACATTGCAATCCTATCAAATTTATGTCCCCAGAGCAATTAGCTTTTTTTTTTTTTTTTTTTACTAAACTAAGTGCTATAAGGTAGGTCGAAGGGAATCTGGAAGCCAGCCAGGATTGCCTTAGTGGTTGTATTCAGTCCAGGAAGTATTGGTATCCTCACTCTTCCCATTTTAGAAATTATATCCTTCTTAAATGATCAAATCTACCACCTATAATCAATTTGCAGATTAAAAATATTATCCTTTAGTTTTTGTAGTTCTTTGAATGTATTACAACTTTCTGCATTTACAATTGCTCTTTCTCCTTTTTTTCTATGCATGCTTAAATTTTTTTTTGCTGCCTGGCAACTAATATTACTTTTTTACATATACACATAATACTGCTGTTCATGCATATATACTTAGCACTGAGCAATTGACAAAATCGTGGGTAATCAGATGTGAAATGTGAATTAAAATGATGTGATCCATCCATTGCTAATATCAAGCGGCTGCTCCGAGGACGGATATCATACTCGGGCAACAGGAAAGAAAGCCTTAATCCTGCTGGCCACTTCCCCAACTGGCAAAGGCGTGAGTTAAAAGAACCCAATCTATGAACAACTCAGAAAAGGAATAAGAGATTTCCCCCATCAGCCATGAAATATAGTACAGCAAAGAGAGTCATGTGCACACAATAATTGCAATGAACAGCAGTGGCAGCTTCTGCAATTCACTGCCAATGACTACATCTTTGGTTATAAATTAAGTTATTGGCAGTGCACAAATCACTGTATCACTTGCCAATCTCTTTTTGCACTCTGCTGGCATTAAATGAAAAAGCAAGTAGCTGCTGTTGCAGCTGCTTCAGATACCTCGGCCTTTGGCAGGGTGGGACTTTAAAAATCAAAAAAGATGCTTTCAAGTGTACTGAAACTCAACAAACATAGCTCAGAAAACATGATAAATGTGACAGGATCCACAGAATGCCGTAGTTGCTATATAGTGTCATTAGAGAAGTATCTCATTATTAAGATTTGCAAGATATATGTTTCTTTTTAAATAAATTTGAAATGTGCATCTTGCCATTCAGTGTGGCAGTATTCCCAACCTCTACAATAAATATGCTCCTGGCAATTGCATTATTTACTGTAAACTGATTTTTTAATTGCAGATAATTAACATTGCCAGGTGGAAACAACAACAACAACAAAAAATCATGTCATATGTTTAGTTTTAAGTGGATATCTAACATGATACAGTTTATTTTAAAGATTCCCATCTGGCTTTTTTGCATGACAAAGTGGCCATTTTTACATTTTTACTTTTCCCCCTAAAGACTTTATAAATGCTAAAATATTATTTTAATTATGGCATTTAGTACAAATAATTTTAATTCTAAGCACGGCATATAATAGTTAACTCTATTCCACTATATATCATGTGTGAGATTTCAAAATAATTTGAAGAAATCCTGAGCTCATCAACTAAAATATAAGTGGCGTGAGTTAGAAGCCACTTTTTAAAATATAAATAAGGAACCATTAGCACAGTTTGGACGTTTAAATTTACATATGCAGGTGCATGAACCAAAGAGCCAACCAATTAACATGAACTATGGATATCCAAATAATCATTGCAAGCAATTAATTGAAAATAATTCTCAACAAAGAAGCATGTGCAATGAAGCTATTTGAAAACTATTTCACATTCTGCAGATCGGCTATTTAATTGAGAAGGGGAGGAGGGAACTGAATCTTTCCGGCCACTCCTTTTCCCAACAGCCAAAATTTGGAATTCAGCATATATTAAGAAAGTTTCTGGGTGAAATCACGTTGTTGGTTTAGAAATGAGTATTGCGTGCATTGGGTACTATTGTATAGGCAGTTTCTCCTTGAGCCGGTTTTATTTTTAATGTCCCTTTATTCTCTGCCCCCATTCTATTATTTATTTCCTAAAGGAAAAGTCGAGCTTAAATACCTATTATCCTACTGTCATATTTCCAAACCAATGTTCCCTCTCTGTGATTTAAAACATAAAAATCTAAGCATGAGTCTGGCATGATATTTCACCTCTCATTTATTGAGGAAATAAAAGAAATGCAGTTATGTACCACATTTAATACAATGATAGACAGGTAAGACAAAACAAATTATTTAGTTTACAACTGTTTTCAACACAAAGGTGAGAGTTATGACCCATAATTTAAACAAAATCCAAAGCCATCCTTCTCTCCTTGCTAAATCCACATCCAAAATTGTTTCCTACCCTTCCAAAAGCCTTAAAAATTAAACCCTCTTTCGCCAGCCCTTTCTGAGGCTCGTTTCATTCCCTCTTCTCCTCTAGTATCAGGAATACTATGGCAGTGACACTTGTAGCTTTAGGAATGGTAACTCCCAAGATGATCGGCATCGTCTGGTTGTTTTATGAGCATCATAGGCCAGAAAAAACTACCTCTTGAAGAGGCACAAATGTGGGTTGTATGTGAGTGTAAGGAAAGAGAGGGTAGTGATTTATCATAGGGGACATGACAGAACGTGGTCTGACTTGTATCAGCTACTTTCCACTTTTGAAGAAAAATGTCTTTGTCAATTCTGATCACTAATGAAGCTAGTATGAGGCTTGCAACAAATCATAATTTTGATATATCAACTTGATTTATTTTTAGTTTTCTTCTTTTTTTTTTCTTTCTGAACACATTAGCCACAAGAACATCTTGGAATTTAAACAGTCCGTAACATGAACAAAAGCTACCTTCACACTTTGGAAAAGGATGGTTCCAATTCCTGTTGATCCCATGATGGCAAGTGAGCACGGAGTGACCGATTAACACATATCCAGGATAGCATTCAAAAGAGATAGACTGGCCCACACTGTAATCGGAATTGATTATATATCCATTATAAAATGGAGGAGGATCTGGACAATTCTGTAATTCATAAGCTGAGGGGGAAAAAAGATAAAATATTTTTCTTCCTCAGAAAATTTTAAAAACCATAAAATAAATTGCTAAATGTTCTATAACTTGCTAAATATTTATATCAAAGTAATTCATACAGAAAAGCAATTTTCTTTCAGTTGAGGATTTCACTGTATCACTACATATATATAGATAGATATGAACATTTGTGTGTGTGTGCAGTGGTGGGATTCAGCCGGTTCACATCATTTCGGCAGAACCGGCAGATAATTTTTTGTTCCCCAGGCCCAGAATGGACTTCCGGAAGCAGCATCCACATACAGAACTGGTTGTTCACATATTTGAATCCCACCACTCTCTCTCTGTGGGTGTATCTCCTTTTGTCTTTTTGTCTTGGTTAGAGAAAAGAAAATATCTACAGTTACTGCTAACTGAAACCCATTATAGACTTTTTTGCACGAAACAGGAAATACTGAATTTATGATTTGAATGATTAAATGGAATAGATTATACAAAGCAGAGTAGTATGTTGTAAACACAGAGTAAGATTTATAATTGTACTTATAACTGCAGTAAAGAAAATTGGAAATTACTTTTTTATAACTTTTTCCTTTTTTTCCTACCTTGCACTTCTCTTTGATTTTTCTTTCTTTTCTTATTCTAACTTTACATTATTTTGTATTAGTTTTGACATTCTTTTTAAAACTCTTTAATAAAATTATAAATTTATAACTGTATGTAGATTTAAACCCTTGGTCAATAATGAACTTATAGCAATGATGAAGTTGGCATACCAAACTTTGAGATAGATTCATATAAAATATTAAATTAATCTAAAAATAGTCTAATGATTTGCAGTTTTGATATTATATTTTTATATCTATTATATTTGCCCAACAAGTGGAATCACAATTAGTGAATCCAGAGTAAAACTTCTGCAAGCAATATGCAAACACAGGAATGGATTTATGAAACTAGATGTTGATTCAAATATTCACAATCACAGAGTAAAATGGCTGCTTAGGCTGGCCTGCTCCTAATGTCATATTCCTGATAGGCCTGCCTATCACCAGGGATAAAGTTTTGTCCATGGAACACAGAGTGAATTTACAAGAACAGAGAAGGCTTTCACTTGTAGCCATCTTTCAAAAGAGTATTCACATTTTAGAACAATAAGTCTCTGTTTTATTATTTAGCTCAACACTATCATTCTGCGTACATTGAAGTCTAGCTTATTAAAGACTTGGGGTTACTACTGATCCCTCTTTTTGGTCCAGAAAATGATCTTTCTTTCCATTTTTTTTATACTAACAGAATATCTTCAGGCTCATTTTTACTTAGCAAAGGTAAAAGCATACAACAATAGTTTTGATCTCTATAAAGGTATATACTGTAAATTGAAGAATTGGAATATAAATCACTGGAATATTATGTCTTATAAGTCAGAATAGTAACAAAAACAACTCCCAACCTTGACATGTTTTATAGATAGTGTTATTGTTAATTAGGCCTGTAATACACGGCATAAATTACAATCACAACCTGACTCTTATTGTTCAATTTACAAATTAATGTTATATATTTATATTTTGAGACCTTTTTTTAAAAAAAAAGATAAGGAATGTTCCAAACAGAAACTTTTATATTTATGAACTATATAAATATTGCAGAAGTAAATTGCAGTATTTTAATCACTTTCTCAAATAGCTTTTTCTTTTAATTAGTACTAATATTTTCTACACAAATGCAGTTTTGAACATTGCTATTAATTTATTCAAGGAACTAATAGGTTATACCTACGCATGTCCAGTGGTAATTATCAAGCAATAGTGATATATAAGGATTTTATTTTTTAAAAAAGCATTAATACTGTCTTTATTCTTAAGATTTTATTTTCATATTTTGAAGTGTCTTTCAGCAAATGTAAAATTGGTTATTCTGGTTATGGTTATCCTGATCTAAATATTCTATAACTCCAGAGGAACACTAGCATGGTCACTGATTATTCCTATAGTATATGCATTAATTGTTCCATTTACATATGCAAAGATTGAATGGACATGCTTGTTTGTGGAAAAAACAAGTAAAATTTTGAATTGTTCTTGATTTCAGTAATATTTACTTTAATTTCATACATTTTCCCTCATATCTTTATTCTTTGAAAAGTACAATATTCATAGAAATATTAGCCACTGCCCGCAAATTCCTTACTCCAGAATTATGTTCAGTAGAATTGTGAGAAAATATTTATAGTCTGTCCTGTACATTACCTCTGCAGTTAATAACCCTTATGTGTACAACCAAAAGAACCAAATGATCTATTTACAGAACCAAATCTATTGAAAAGTATAATGCCTAACATAATATTAATAACAGCTTTTTGGACAATAGGTTATCTTAATTTATTTAGAAAGTCATATTTAGTGTTTTACAGGTAGAAAACTTTCAGAACAAATACCATTTAAAAGCCAAATTTTAAAAATTCAAATAAAAACCAGGAAGCACAAGAAAAAAACTGCTTATTAATTTCATTTTTGAAAAAATATGGAAATAAAAAAAATCTTGTCATGGGAAGACATTCCTCTAATAACTGAAACTGTTTATGTCATTTATTACTTACCTTGATATGCAAATTTAAATCCATGTCGGTTTTCTGAGTGATCACTATAAAAATGGATGAGAGTTTCATGTGTTGTACTTAATAAAGATGGTGGAAGATCTGTACCACTGAACTGGCCAATCATAGAACTGATGTGGTAAGGCCCATTTTGAATTTCAAGGAAGTCATGGTTAGCTTCAGTGGAGAAGTTCAGAAATTGTAGATGTGCCCCTATGTAGCAAAAATAATAAAAAAGATGAAAATTTGTATGTTGTAGATTTTTAAAAAATATAAGAAGCAGCAATTAGATAAGAAACTACACTATCCAATCCAGATGTGTGTATTCCAGCTTGGATTCTCAATTAACAAGAAACTGTCAAAATAATCAATGTAAGTAGACTAAGTATTAACTATTTATAACATTTCTTTACATTTTGCTTCCTAGTTGCTCAAAATGTTTTATATACTAGTTTTTAATAAACCTTAATAATCTGTTAATATTATTATGCCCATATTACAAAAAAAAGGCAGAGGGTACCAAAAGCCTTTATGATCTAACATAACTGAAGACTGTGTATCTTACAGTTATCATTACCCTTTCTACATACGAATTTTTCTAAGTTTATTATTGTTATTTCAATACTGTCACTATTTTTTTCACAGAGTTCATTAAAATTATTATACTAATTTTGCTTATTCTCATTAAAAGAAATGCATGTGGGAACACTATATAACCCATAACAATAACTGTTCAGAAATGAGAAAGTATACCTTTTATAGATTATAAGAAAAACTGGGTTGTTAAATTATATATTATATATTATAATATAATGAATTTAGCAAGATATCATTTTAGCAGAATAATTATCAAGTTTTAAACTTAGGAATTGCCATGTTGTAAAACTCATCTTTAATGTACACTAATGATTTTTTAAAGATTATTATTTCATCTTTTTTTCCTATACAACTCAAGATGGTGAACATACCGAATATCTTTTCCTCCTCCTGTTTTCCCCACAACAACCACCCTGCTGAGAGTTGGGCTGAGGGTTGACAGAATATGACTGGCTCAATGTTACCCAGTTGGCTTTCATGCCTAAAATGGGACTAAAACTCACTGTCTCCTAGTTTCTAAGATAGCACCTTAACTACTACACCAAACACTCTATATCAGGCACGTCAAACTCGCAACGCCACGTGACGTGGCACAATGTATTGGGCCGGTTTTGCCATTGCTGGCAATTGAGTGGGCGCGGCTTCCACGTGATGCGTCCAGGCGGTGGGCCGGCAGTTTGACACCCCTGTGTCTATATTCTTCAATAACAGAAATATTATGTATCTAGGATAAGGAGTGGGTTTTGCTTCCATCTCTTTAGAGAAGGTAGGCAATATGGGAGGGTTCTAGAAGATTCTTAGGCCAGGAAGCTGCAATCAATATATATTTTCTAAGCTGCAGTTCCATCACAGCCTCAACATGCTGTACTTATTTGACTTTTGGAGAAAAAAATATATGATTTTCAGTAAGAAATTGCACATTTTTATATTCTGTCTGCTGACAATTTGGGGGGGGGGATTCCTTTTCCATGTAAATATCTCCCATGTCATAAGATATTCTATTAAAAAAAATGTGTGGTTGCACAAGAAAGAAGGAATATGGGGAAACTGCCATTCTTGCTATATGCATAATCTATATGCACAATCTATTTAATCTTTTAAAAAATAATCATATAGTTTTTCATGAAAAGGTGACTATTTACTGTAAAGAGTCTGCATAGTTGCATGAACCAAAGGTATCTGAAAGCAATTCAAAGATAACCTGGGATTTTCTCTGGCCCATTGTATCATATATCAGAATATTCTAAGAAGGTCCACAAAGGGAAGGTGTACATTTTCAATTGGTACAGAAACAAAAGAGAACTGGATAATCTCTGTTTAATGAACTGAGTTATGTGATGCTAATAAAAAAATAGAATCTCTGTCTTTTGTAAATTGGAATCCACTTATCAACAAAAAATAATTTTGTAATTCACAGGAACAGAAATGGATGAATGGGTTTCACAGAAAGCAATTTACCAAAACCCTATTCAGATTTCTATAACAAGACATCACAATTATACAAATTTCATGATTAAGTACATAGTATCATAATAAGATTTATTTCAGGCAAACTAATTAACATAATTAATTACTTTACTGTAAAATATTATCTTTTCTTAGCATGTTATATTACATAAGTCCATGTAATGAAAGAAAGCTGTTAGTACAGGAAAGTAAATGAATACTGACCTAAATGAACTATGTTTAATTAGCTACATCTCATAATCCACCACTTAAAAAAAATTGTTTTCTATTTTATTTTAGGCATTTTTTCTTTCTTTGTAGAACATATACCCATAGTTATTTCACTGTTTTTTTGTTATTATTATTTATTGCAAGATAAATAACTACATTTACTAATGAATGCACAGAAGTTTTAAAAAGTTCAAGCTCTTTATAATATTACATTGACAAAATATAGCTTAGGACTTTCAGTCTAGCATATGATATTGAATTATTATTTACCCTTCATGAATAATGGAAAAAAACCTTCCATAGACACAGGGAAAGAAAAAGAAAATACATGCACGTGAGTGACCTGGCCTCTTTTTAGAGGACTAGGAAAGGAGAAGCCTAATTGAATTAGATATTATTTTATTTTATGCCTTTGTGTCAATTAAAGCTACTCAGAATAATTGTAATTGCATAAATAATGTTTCCAAAGATAATTTCAGGGAGAGCCTGTGCCAGTTCTTCTTTGTACCTAATATTGGGAATTATATTTAAAATAGCCATATCAGAGAAGGCAACTGGAGAATGAATAAAGGAAGGCTCATGAATCTAACACAGGAAGTTTCCAAGTGTTATTTAACTTTCAAATTAAAAAAAAATCATTGAATAAAGCAGCACATAAAAAGAGATTTTTAATAGAATTATTCTTAGTGGCTTTATTTATTTATTTATTTGGTATTTGTATCAGGCTAATGGATGGAATAAAAGAAACAACAACATGACTTTGGAACTCAGATTCCAATGGATAAATAACAAGATGTATTAGTGTCCTTCGATCAGGAATCTTACCATATCCAGTAGGCAATAATATCTTCCATGTGCAGCCTAGATTACTAGGATAATTTCCTGGGAAACCTGGGCTCAGGATCACGCCAGCCATGTTTGTCAGTGTACCACCACATTTGGCTATAATAAATAAACAATCCATTGAAAGTATATGAAAGTATAAAATAAAAGTCATCAAACAATAGTGTATCTTATGAAGAATTAGTTATATAATGTTGATGTAACTGCACACAAACACAAAAGTTCACACCCTTGTGCCAGTAAAAAACTTGTGTTAATGCCAATCCATGCAGAAGACTGTTGTACAAATAACTTTCCTACTCAATTCATTGTGTCAGATTCTTCTATCTATCCATTATTTTAAGATCAGAAAACTGAACTTATCAATACATAATCTCTATATATGTAATCAATATTTACTTTATCAATGTTATATAAAGCATGGGGGGATAGGTCCGCTGCTTCTCATCCGCCATTGTTCTTCTTTGGTAATTTTGCCTTTCTTAGTGAGGTCATTGAGGGTTCCCTTGATCTGCTTGTCTAATTTCTGGACAGTGGCAGATGAGAAGCAGTAGATCTATCCTCCCATGCTTCTATGGACACCCCAAACACACAAACTTGGCATATCCCTCCATCCAATCGTATCTGTACTGGATATCCTTACATACAATATTGCAAAAGAACTAACTAAAAAGCTTGGGCAGCTCACAAGAGGAAGCCAACACTGCATTAATTCTCCACTACAATGTCTTCAAACAATCAGGGATGTGATTATAGATGAGGATGAAATCATCGTCTCATTTGATGTCACAGCCCTGTTCACATTTATAAATCCAGAATTAACCAAAGAATCCATGACTGCATTGCTTCACAGTACACCTAACTTAATAGAATATACAAAGATCAAAACACACAGGATTATGGATCTCATAAACCTCTGCTTAACTACATACTTCCCATTTGATGGCCAAATTTACCAACAAATTAAAAGGAAACCTATGGGATCACTGTTTTCGGGAGCTATAGCAGAGGTCATCATGCAACGTCTAGAAGCCATAGCACTTCCACAAATGCAACCAAAAATATGGATCAGATATGTAGATGACACCTTCACCATAATAAAAAAGGACTCATTAGAGAACACCCACAGAACCATCAACAACATTTTTAAAGGAATCCAGTTTACTAGAGAAGAAGAAAAAAACAATTCACTACCCTTCCTGGACATCCTGATCAGCAGACACCACAGTGGCAAACTAGAAATGCAAGTCTACAGAAAAACAACCCATACAAACCAGGTGCTGCACTACCAAAGCAACAACCCAACCTCCCACAAGAGAAGCTGTGTAAGGACTTTAGCCGAAACACACTGCAGCAATCCAGAACAGCAGAAAAAGGAAATGAAGTATCTATACAACACGCATGGGTATCCATTCCAATAAAATGGATACCCATGCAATCTCATCAAAATGTCCTTGGCCACTCAACCTAATACAGCACAACCAACACAAACCTTAAAAAGAATTATACTGCCATACATCAAGAATATCTGAGAAACCTCAAATAGACTGCTACAACCACATGGAATCAGCACAAGTCAATTAAAACCCTTCAAAATATCCTAAGCAAACCAAAAGACCTAGCAACCCCAGAAGAAAAAATAGGAGTCATCTACAATGTAAGAAATACAACAACCACTATGTAGGACAAACAGGCAGAAGACTGGCAGAGTGCATCCATGAATGCCAACTGGCAGTCAAAAGGCATGATGAAAATTCTTTAATTTCACAACATATAGACAAATTTAACCATAGTTTCAATTGGGAAAATGTGACAATCCTAGACCAGGCCAAATCAAAAAATGCCAGGGAATTTCTAGAAGCCTGGCACCCTGACAAATCAGCCATTAATAGACACATAGAAAATAACAACATCTGTAGACTATGCAAAAGAGACAAATCAACAGGCCTAAAAGAGAGAAAGACTCCAGCTCATCTCCACCAGTAATCAGCACTCAGGTCAGCATAGATTAACTCCAAGGTCAGCTTCAGACCAACAATTTATTTATTTATTTATTTGTTTGTTTGTTTAATTTTATTTGTATGCCGCCCAATCCCAAAGAACTCAGGGTGGCGTACAAAATTAAAACAATCAGCAACAATAAAACAATAAAATAATACAATCATACCACGAGTCCGATCCTATCCCGCCCCCCCCCAGGGACATCAGCCCCAGGCCTGCCGGAACAGGAGAGTTTTAATGGCTTTCTTAAAGGCCGGCAGGGTGGGAGTTATTCAAACCTCGGGGGGAAGTTGATTCCACCAGGTCGGAGCCACCACAGAAAAGACCCTTCCCCGAGGGCCTGCCAGCCGACATTGTCTGGCCGACGGGACCTGAAGGAGGCCCAATCTATGGGACCTCACCGGTCTCTGGGAACTGTGCGGCAGTATGCGGTCCTGTAGGTAACCTGGCCCTATGCCATGAAGGGCTTTAAAGGTGATAACCAACACCTTGAATTGCGTCCAGAGACCCACAGGAAGCCAGTGCAGCTCGCGGAGGATAGGTGACACGTGGGCGTACCTTGGCGCGCCCACAATCGCTCTCGCGGCTGCATTCTGAACCAACTGCAGCCTCCGAACGCTCTTCAAGGGTAGCCCCATGTAGAGCGCGTTACAGTAATCCAGTCTTGAGGTGACAAGGGCATGAGTGACTGTGAGTAAAGCCTCCCGGTCCAAATAAGGCCGCAACTGGTGCACCAGGTGAACCTGGGCAAAGGTCCCCCTGGCCACAGCCAATAGATGTTGTTCCAAATTTAGCTGTGAGTCCAGGAGGACACCCAAGTTGCGTGCCTGCACTGAGGGAGGTAAATTTGCCCCCCCCAGACCAATGATGGACCATCCAGTTGACCTTTGGGAGGCAAGACCCAGAGCCACTCGGTCTTGTCAGGGTTGAGTCTAAGCCTGTTCACCCCCATCCAGACCCTCACATCTTCCAGGCACCGGCACATCACGTCGACTGCTTCACTGAAAGGACACAGGGTGGAGATATATAATTGGGTATCATCCGCGTACTGATGATACCTCACCCCGTGTCGCCGAATGATCTCACCCAGCGGTTTCATGTAGATGTTAAAAAGGAGGGGGGACAGGACTGAGCCCTGAGGCACCCCATGATCGAGGCGCCTAGGGGTCGACCTCTGTCCGCCCGCCAACATCGACTGCGACCTGTCAGAGAGGTAGGAGGAGAACCACCGCAATACGGTGCCACCCACCCCCACCTCTCCAAGACGACGCAGAAGGATACCATGGTCGATGGTATTGAAAGCCGCTGAGAGGTCAAGAAGCACCAGGATAGAGGAATGACCCCTATCCCAGGCTCACCAGAGGTCATCGTTCAGTGCGACCAAAGCAGTCTCAGTGCTGTAGCCGGGCCTGAAACCAGATTGAAAAGGGTCCAGATAATTAGTTTCATCCAAGGATCGCAAGAGTTGGGACGCCACCACCTTCTCTACAACCTTCCCCACAAAGGGGAGGTTGGAGACAGGACGAAAGTTCTTCAAAACAGCTGGGTCCAGGGAAGGCTTCTTGAGGAGGGGCCTCACCACCGCTTCCTTTAAAGGTTGCGGGAAAGACCCCTCCATCAAGGAGGCATTGATTATCGCCTGGAGCCAGCCTCGTGTCACCTCCCTACTGGCAGAAACCAGCCAGGAGGGGCACGGGTCCAATAAACAGGTGGCGGCATTCATTGCCCTCACGGCCTTGTCCACTTCATCAGGGGTCACAGGCTCAAACTCGCTCCAGATAACATGACTAAGACCAGCCCCCGGCAACTCGGCTGGCACTGCCCAGTCGGAGTCCAGGTCTCTCTGAATCTGAGCGATTTTGTCCGAAAGAAACTGAACAAACTCCTCAGCTCTCCCCTGCAAGGGTTCCTCCGCCTCCTCCACTTTAAGAAGGGAGCGGGTCACCCTAAACAAGGCGGCCGGGCGAGATTCTGCGGACGCAATAAGTGCGGAAAAGTGAACACGCTTTGCCACCCTTATCATCATTAAATAAGTCCTAAGATAGGCTCTTAATAGTGATCGGTCAGATTCAGAGTTACTGGCCCTCCAACGTCGCTCAATCAATCAAGTAAACAATACCCCAATCAAGAAACTGCCAAAGAGCCATGAGTAAACAGTTCAACCAAAGAATCCCTAAGATATCCCCCCTACTCACATAGACAGGCAAGACAACAGAATATAAACTGACAGCAAACAGCATTCCTTACTAGCACTGATGAGGTTACCTAGTCAGGGTAATGAAATGACTGCAAGAAAAGAAGGAAGCTCCGAGAGCACCAAGGACCCCTCATGTCAACCCTGAGCTACAAATATTCTCCTTCACATTATAAAATACTAGTTTCATTATAAAATTACTTTAGTTGATATTTGAAAATAGTCTTCTGACTGTTCGCAGAAGCACAAGATTCTCTGCAACCCATCAGCTGCATAATTGGCTGTAATGCAATTGGCATGGCAAAAGAATCCTATTTTGCTGTAGGAAAATGCATTTTTTTAAAAAAAATAAAAAATAAAACATACAGACAAACATCTTAATCTTCCTTGTTACAAAATAAATCTAACTGCTCTTCATGTTTCCATGAAATTTGATTGCTTCCCCTTTCAATTTGCAAACACCTGATTGTGAGAAATTATTCTTATACATGCTGTGCATTGCAGTAAAAATAAGATTTTTTTCTCTCTCTGCAATGAATTGGAGCCAGCTGAATAAAAGAAAAGAGAGCACATCCACCTTTATCATATAATTGGCACAACCAAACAATAATGGGGAAAAAAGATTGCAAAAGAAGGTTAAAATAAATATTTAAATGAAAGTTTGTAAATCAGCGATGCACAAAGTAATTTAGTTTAGCAACCAGCAGATTATAAAAACCTCAAATAAAAGCTCTTAGTGGAATCCCTCTGTCTAATAGAGTCCTTATATGCTTGGACTAAATGTTTGGCCCATTCTGGTTGCAAGAGGTAGAAGAATAACTGGATGACTCAAAAAGTGAAAGCATGGATAGTGAATATCACATTTCCACAAAGCCTAGCAATACTCAGGGTGCTCATAACTTGCTAAAAGTTTTGAAATTCCTTCTCTAATTAGCACATAAAGAAATAAGGGAAAAGAATCCTACTGAGTATTATGTGCATATTTTCTCTTAATAACACAACTGCCCCCCCTTTTTCCTATTACTGTGGAATTAGACCATGTGGAAGAAGACCCATGGTCACAACATTTCTGAATAGTGATCAAAGCTAATGGGAGGAGCTTGAACATAGGTTTAAAAGAGAGATTGCCTATGTGGGATTTAGGACTATTTAGATTGTCAAGGAAAATTATATAAGAGAATGAAAGGGAATTACTAACCATTATTAAAGTATGTCCAATGTATAATGCATAACAGATACAACCACTCCCTTGTTCTTTTTCAGCTAATGCAAGGTAGGATATCAGTGACTTATGCAAAGGGGAAAGCCATCGGAGTGAATATAGAGTTTCATAGAAAAATATATTTTCTGTTATAACACTATATATGGGATAATGTGTTAAAGATCAGCACTGTTCATAACAATATGAAGTCACAGTTGCTAGTTCTTTAGCTAATGTTGGCCTTCATATACATGGAGGTCTTCCCAAGAACCTAATGTATTGGTATACTTTATGCACGGTGTGGCCTTTTCCAATTAACAGATGGAAATTTTCTCAAGTGCCATCCAAGAGTTTTGGGTATGGCATCCAATGTACCAATAACCAATGGGACAACCACCACTGCTTTATGCCATAATTTTTCAAATTCAACTTTCAGATCCTGAGACTTTGAGACTATAAGAGCCGAGGTGGCGCAGCAGTTAAGAGTGCAGTACTGCAGGCCACTTTAGCTGACTGTGTTCAGCAGGTCAGCAGTTCAAATCTCACCGGCTCAAGGTTGACTCAGCCTTCCATCCTTCCGGGGTAGGTAAAATGAGGACCCAGATTGTTGGGGGCAATGTAAATATATATATATATATATATATATATATATATATATATATATATATACATTGCTTACTGGTGTACACCGCTTAGAGAGTGCTTGCACTTAAAGCAGTATATAAGTCTCATAAATAAATAAATAAACTTCTCCAATTTTTGTCTTCTGTTCTACTATGCCATGGTATTGTCACATCAATTATTCACACTGTACTTTCCAGGCTTGTTTATGAATCAAGCCTTTATTAGTCTGTATTTGGAAATTTTATAAAATTATATTTTATTTTGCAAATTTTGACTACTTTTTCAACTCTACGTTCCCACCATTTTTTTTTATTATTGGTACATGATAATTTTTACAGATGTTCCCGTGACTCATTTGGTGACTGTGTTATGCCATTGCTTATGTTTGTGTGATCTTCATACGTGAGCTCAATATGTTGTTTCTTCTGCTTCTTTGCACAACATTTTGAATCATTTGATTTGGACAGTGGACAGTGATTAATATTTATATGTTACTTATATGTAAGGTGTAGATCTATACATATTTTGTATATAGTATGTTTAATTGTGTATTATGTATGTGTATACTTTGAGAGCAAGCAACTAAATTTCATTTTTAATGTGTGCCATTGTGCCCACAGTAAAAAAATGGCAATAAAGGTTATCTATCTATCTGATGATTTTTTTTCCCCAATTCTGGTCTTCTTGCATTAGTTTGACTTGCTTGCTCTTGTGCAACCATAATAAAGCCTCCAGTTTTTTATTTTGAGAAAGAGAGACTGGCTCATAATTATCCAGTTTGCTTTTTGCCCAAAGTAGGAATAGAACTCCTATTCTCCTAGTTTCAGACTAGTTCTTTATCCATTACAGTAAATTGACTCTATTCTGTTCTGTTCTGTTCTTTTCCTTTGCACGCCACTCAAATGACATAGAAATTTTGGCCAGGTAGGTTTTTTGCACAACTATTGAGTTTTTCTGATACAATTTACATACACGGAATAAAGAAGATAAAACAGCTTTACATAAGGACTTTCAGATATCGTATTTTCTGTTTGATCAAAAATAGGCATTAAAGAAATGGTTCTGCCACTGAAATATGCATCTTCTTAATGCTGACTATAATAATAGTATTTATGCAGAGTATTTCATTTGCTTAAACTGTATTGAGTACTATATATCACACTGGCAGGTGGATTTTTTGCCCAAGCAAGAAAAGCTGCTAGTACTTCATGCCTAAAAATGAAATGTGAGTCAGGAGCTCAGTCATTAGCAACTTGATATTTTCTACTTAAATGGCTTTGATAACAGTGGAACAAAATAGATACATTAAATTAAACTGTTTACTTTTTACTGATGTTATTCTTAACAACATTTACTTAGAATAAAAATATGTATATATGCATACCAATACAGAGAGGAGAAGGATAATTCCAACGGCGAACTGTTCCAGGCATACAAGAAATATGAGAACGTCCCTTAAAAAAATTCAAAAATAAAATAATTATGCAACATTGTCTCATTTTTGAAGCTTTCATTTAGCAACTTGACACAATGGTTCTAACTATTGATTTTAGAAAAATCCTTTTGCCAATTAATCTTCCCTTATACTTTATTACCTATGACAGTTTTCTAATTAAGGAAAAATAAAATACTTCTAAGTTAATTAGAATTCCTTTAAAAATGGAAAGTGACTTGTGTTACAAGTCTTAAGAAGTTGTTCTAGAACCTTAAACTAAATTATTGTATAGAACTGCAAAGCAACATGACATTCTTATTTACATTCTTTGTATATTTTTTTCTCCCAAAGAATCATTATTTTAAGGAAGTTATTTTTAAACGTAATTTCCTTCTTCAAAAGTGGTTTCAGAATGGAAATGTGCCTTTATAGGAAAACTAGTAGGCACAAAATATATAGTTTAGTAATCAGATCTTCCCTTAAACAATTATTGCTAATTTTGAGGAGAGTCCTATTGAGGTCCACACACAAAAATGGCAACCTGTGAAATCAACAGGCCACCATCACCTACCACCCTTTGCCCCTTTGGTGACAGTACAAATACAGTATTTGTAGAGAAATGTATATATAACTGTATGAATGATGGCTTCCAAAAGAACTGGGTACCAATGCAAAAAAAAAAAAAAAAAGAAAGGAAGGAAGGAAGGAAGGAAGGAAGGAAGGAAGGAAGGAAAAGAAAAAAAGAAATGAACTTGGGATGTACTGCCTTGGGATAATTTGTACTAGATTACAAAGATTTTTGATCACCACTTATTCAATTAAGTTATGTGCAGGAATACTGTGAACTCAGTTCTACATCAAATAACAAATAATTGGATACTAAAAAGATAATTTTGTTCATTATTATTAAATGTTTGTATCTGAGTTCCTATTTTGTTTTCAAATAATGAAGTACTATTTAATATAGAAATATTATCTACCTATAAATTGAACTTATGCTTCCATATTAAACTCCTGAATAGGATGGAATATCAAAAAAAAATCAAACTTGGCCTTTGGGCACAACAATAAAATAGAGTCCAATTATTAATATTTTTTAAATATGCAATAAAATTACAAAATTTTTATATTAACTATAGCACAAATATTAGTGGCAATGACCAGAATTTGTGCTCAAGTTCAACTGCAGATAGAATGGATCAGCAAAAGATAATACAAAATTGTACAACCTGAAAAGATATGTCAGGGTCCTGGTAAGATAAAAACAGTGACAAAGAGACATTGTGACCTCTATCAGGGTATCTCTATAAAATGGGATAAATGTATATCTTCCTTGATTCCCTACATAGAGCAAGAAAGGAGTATATGGTTTAGGGCAGGTATCCCCAACCCCCAGGCTGTGGCCCACTATTGGAACCAGGCCACACAGGCAGCAGGTGAGCGCATGCATATGAAGTTTCCCTCGTGTGAGCAGCAACTGCTTGCCCTAGCATATGAAGGGCTGCTTGCCCTCCCATTTACTGTATAGACCTACATGAATATTTCATAATCTCTTATGTGTGTAAATGTCCATTCTCTTTTTCTCTGGATGAATTCTTATGCTATACCTACAGAACATCTGGAGAAACAGCCAATGAAAATCTAAGATATCCATCTTGTCAATAAATGAAAACATTACAATTCTATTTTCAATTTTGTAAGTCCAAAGATCACTTGTTTATATTTTGTGACTTACCTCAAACTCCCCCCCACCATTTTTTAAACAGCAGACCAAAATTGTTTCTATATCTACATCTGCATTTATATCCACATTTACATCCATATGTACCATACATGTAAAATTAAGAAAAAATTAACAGATAAACTATGTTTATTTTTGGTATTAGACTCATTGTTTCCTACTACTATCCTGTTTGGCAGGTGTCTATTTTGAAAATAACAATCCCTATATATATCTTTAAAGCTTTTTTAGGCATGGATTAGTTTATTAATATCATACCAATTGCTTATTTATTTTATTCATTACAATGAATGGAAATATTTATGCAGGTTCCTCAGCATATGCTGTTATAGAAGTCATAGTAACTGTGAAATATACAGCGGAACCTCAGAAAATGCAACTGAGCATGCGTTCACATTTGTAGACTTTAAATTGTATCATTGTCAATAAATATTTGTTACCACTGTTTGAAGTTATTTGTTAAGCTGGTTAATTTGTACAACTACAACTGCCATGTGCATCATTTGCTTTGCTTTGCAAAAGTATCTTTTCTTTAAACTTAGAGAGAGATAGTTGTAGTATTAACAACTCTGTATGAAAAGAAAATCAGAGGTCACTTTATTTGTACTTGTTTGATGAATTTTTTTATCCCTTTAATTTGTTTTGCTGTTCCTTTTCCTTCTATGTTAGTCTGTATTTTAATGTATGATGTCCAAACTTAATAAAGATATTATAAAAAATATAAATCAATGAAGGGTTCAGCCTTGTGCTCTTGCAGGAAGAAAGCTGAATTTTTCTCTGAGAATATGAAATGGGAAAGAGGGCAATAATGGTTGAATGTTCAAATGCTTCTGTTTATAGTCATCATTTTATTCTATATTACTCTCCCATAACAGAGATGGCAAGAATGGTATAATTAAATTATTTTTTTTAATAGTCAGATGAGGATTTAAGTAATTTAATCAACACTTCTTTAAAGATAATATCTCATTAATGCAAACAAAATTATAGGATGATCATACTGGTTTTGTGAATGATCTAGTGGTGGAACAATAACAGTATTAAAATCTTAGTGTACTGTGGATTGATAATCATTAAGAGAACAAGACTGAAGCTCAGGAAGCTTAACTCAATATGTATCTTTCAACTGCTGTTTGAAAATAAATGAAACAGCAACATGCATAGAGGAAAACAAGTATAAAAATATTTTTACTGCAGAGTTCTACATTACGCATTGTGTTGTAAAGTCAAACTGGCCTTATTAACCAGGATATAAAAATCTCCCAAAAATTACTTGGGAGACAAATAACAGCCACATACTACGTATATATTTTGCATGCAGAAAGGATCGGATTTAACCCTGGCTTCACTTGTTTATTTAGTGATGCAAAGATAATGCACTACAATCTAAAAAAATCAGACTTTCTGGAGAATGTGATAGTTGAAGAAATCATCTTCACTGGTATGGTATTCCTTCAGATCACTTTCATACCATTGAACAGAATTGGTGTAACTATGCTAAGAGCTGCTCACTACAATACAGAGGAGTCTATAACAAAATTCAACTAAATTTAGTTCAAACTTGCCTCATTGATTTTAATAGGCTACATCATCTATCATAAAATTAGTATTTCTTCATACCAGAGAATATATGCCTTGCTATAATCATTCCTTTAAGTCACACTTATATTCTTGGAATAAAATAAATACGTAATATTTTGAACGTATGTAGTTCTATTCAGCAGAGATAAAAAATATCAGATAATTATCTGCTTATAAATGGCAATTTCTGCATGCAAAAGAAATCTGAATACAAATACAAAATATAGTTTTTCAAAGATGAAAATATCAATAATAGCACTTCTGCTAGAACTACCAGATCTGGATTGCAAAACTGTTGATGACCAGTTGTTAAAAACAGAGTGTTCTGCCAACTAATGGTCACTGAGATGTTGGCATCCCAGATCTGGGTAGCCCAAAATTTATATCCAAAAGTGTAAAACACAAGAAAAATATATATATCATTTTAAAAAGAATTCAGGTACCTGTAATGTATATCCTGGCTCACACTGAAATGATAAAACATCATTCACCATATATCTATCACCAATTTTAAATCCATTGCTAGGAATTACAGGTTCTGGGCAGGAAGCAAGACCTACAGCTAAAATAAATAAAAGAAAAAAACAGTATGTTACGATTACATTGCTTTGGTTTTGTTGTTTACTTCCTGATTATCTAATTAATACACAAAGTTTAAAATAGGACATTCTTAACAATGTGATTAATAATCCAAAATAAGAAGAAGATTTGAGAGAGTGGCAAAAAGGAAGTATAGGATTTTTAAAATTCTTTTTACAGCCATTTACCGATAGTTTTTCAAACTGAAGCACTTAGGAATATGAGGATACAAAACTGAATAATAATATAGTAAATCAATTGATCTCAGACAAAAATTAAAGAATTAGTCTTTATACTTTAAATATACCATTGGTTGCGTGCATGGGCAAATCTCTCAATATGATAAAATAAGTTCTCTGATGATGATTTATTTCAGAATGAATTGAGTTTTAAAATGAAAAATAAATAGAGCTAAAAAAGGCCGAGAGCAAAACAAGGTGAGGAATTCTTTAGAACTCATGCTTTACATACTGTACTTCCTATTCACAACTTATGAATAGCAAGTGCTGTTTTCAAGGGTAACATGCCTTCCTTGTATAGGAAATTGCTTACTGCATGTTCTTCACAGGTCAGCTCACTCTTTTGGCACAGGACATAAAACTCATTAATGTCAATATTGATAACTCTCCTGGTGATCTCATCCCAGTTCCAGCTTATTAAATACTTCTGCCACTCCAGGTCTGGCACTAGGCATTCATCTATGTATGTCATTACAGTGACCTGTAATATTTTTCTGGCATCACTGCCATCAATGACAAGAAAGCTCACAGCACTATAATCTTGTTAATAATTCTAAAAGTGTATTAGTATAACTACACTTCACTTTCAGCTAATAAAGATAAAATTCCCTGGACAAAATGTGATGAACTGTTAAAAAAACCTGTGCCTTTTATTTTATGTATAATTTTATACCATAATTTATATTCATTTTTACAACATGATTGTAAATAATAAAATTCTGTTGTTTAGAAATATGCAAACTATAAAAAAAATCTGCTGTACTAAATATAAAGCATACATATAAAACTCCAAGGATATATAGCTATGTAGATGAATGAATGAATGAATGAATGAATGAATATTTATATGTATGTATCTATATCTATATCTATATCTATATCTATCTATCTATCTATCTATCTATCTATCTATCTATTTATATATATATATATATATATTATTTTAATGCAGGAAGTTTTTCTGAAATTTTCATTGCATGGATGCACTACTTCAATTTTTTTTCCCCAAATGAAACCATTTACTTAATTTTTATATGGTTGTCTATCACAAACATATGACTCTGGATAAGTAACAAGGAATAAAAAGAAATAAAAAACATTGTACCAAAACAATAAACTATGCATATAGCTGCCAAGATAAAAACCAAACAGCGCAATCAACATAATATGATAGAGGATCTACTATGCACTCTGGGCCCCAGGATTGCTAATGGAGCTAAATCTTCAAGGCTCTATGGAAAGCCAGGAGGATTGGAGCAAGTTTAATCTCCAAGAGAATTATGTTCTACAGAGTGGGGGCTTCAACAGAGAATGCATACTTTCTAAGTACCACAAGATGGCAATGTTTAATGGACCTTTGTTCTAATCCAAACCTGGGCATTTTATGGCCTGCGGGCCATATCCGGTTTGCAGGCAATCCCAGACTGGCCCTTGGCATCAGCAGAGCTGGTGAGAGGATTGGGGGTAGCAGCAGCAATGCAGTGGTGGAGTGGCAGGGTGGCTTCAATGCAGGGGTTGGGTGACATTAGTAGGGTGGGACATCAATGCAATGGTGGGGGGCTGGGGCAGAAGCAGCATCGGGAATGGGATGGCAGCATTGGGGGATGAGGTGGCAACAGCAGTAATGGCCCCCCACAACAGTTTCTCATGTGGCCCCTTGGGAAAAATTGTGCACCCCTGTTCTAGTCCCACCTTGGCTTAAAGCCAGCTGGTGACTTTGGACCAGCCATTCCTTCTCAGTCCTAGAAAGGAGACAGGGCAAACTACTTCTGAAAAACCTTGCCAAGAAAACTCCAGGAACTACTTCAGGCAGTCTCCAGGAGACCACATTGACTTAAAGATACAAATATACATACATATATAAGTACACACCCACACACCCACAAACACACAAACTCACACTATGTATGCATGCTCATGTTTGTGTATATCAGCACATATAAATAATATATATTCATATAAAGTTTATAGCCTTATATAATCACAATTGCATATATTTATAAAATCTTAATTATCTTACTGTCTTTTTGACTCATGAATGTAATTAATTCTTCTGTTAATCTAAATAGGCTTTTCCACCACTAATGATGGCTTGTAGTATGGAAAACAATTTGATTATATGGTTGACATCTTACATTAAATAAAAGATGTCTGTCAAGTCTAATCACAAAAATAGCATTACCATTGCTATCAGTCACATAATTATAAATGAATACACACATACACAAGTGGACATTAAATATGTTAGGGTGTTTTTAACTGTATAAGGCTTTAAGAATTGAGTTACAGTTATATTATCTATAGATGTGAGATCAGAGTCATATCACAGCACATTTAGAATATATTTCTACCCTTGCTAAGGTGAAACATATTCTAGCTTGTGTTGAAGAAATGGTAAACAATATGAAGCCTTCATTGTATCTCCCAACATCCATCACTATTAACCCTCCTGATTGTGTCACATTTGAAAGACAACGTATTTTACATCCCTAGATCTAAGCCACAGATCTCTACTGGCAACTTAGGCAAAGTGTTATATCTCTCTATATCTCAATATTAGGATAGGATAAAATCATGTATTCTCCTCCTTTTCAGATAAAAGTTTCCAAATATATTTCATCTTTAGAATTCGAAAAGGGAAAAGAAAAACAAACACATTCTCGAGCAAGAGTTAAGAAGGACCTACTGCTTTTACAACATATCAAACAATACATTTGTTTGGTATTTAGGGCAGATCCATATGTCTGCTTCTGACAAACAAAGTCAATACGTCAGCTAGCAGAAGGTTGCAAATGGCAACAATGTGATATCACAAATGGCAACCACATGACATTTCGCTTAACAACTTAGTAGAATTCACTTAGTGATGACAACAGAAGTGCTATAACTTCCATTACTTAAGTGGCACAGTCATACAACATCACACTTTAGAACCATGCTGCTTAGTGATAGAAATTTTGGTTCCAATTACTGTCGTTAACAAAGGGCAACCTTTATGGAATTGTTCTTAATTAAAGCAGGAGGCAAATACGTCTTTCCTTTTCTGAGTAGAGGAGAGCAAGCCTATTTCAGTGAACAGAAACAGTGCCTTTGTTCGGTATGACCAACCTTTTTCCATGTTGAAAAAAATCCTCTAAATTGCAGTTCCTTGCGACCTAAAACTTTAACATGAGAGCAAGTCATACTTTCAAAGACCTGAGTGGCAAATCTGAGAAATCTTTTTTCATCTTTTATCTGCGTATCTATTGGTGTGATGCTTTGCACTTGGGATAAAGACTCTTAGATGCTGTAATGACTGTATCCAGTGACGTAGAACTGAACAGAACAGAATACTTTATTTGGCCAAGTGTGATTAGACACACAATGAATTTCTCTCCAGTGCATAAGACGTGGTGATATAAATGAAGAGATATTTTTTTCAGATTTTACAAGGCTTGAAGAGGAAAAATGGAGTCAGCTATTGCACCCTTTATTTACCATATACCCATCCTTCCCCTCCTCCAATCTCCAACAAATAAAAATTGAATCATCCAAAAGTAAGAACTTCATTGCTCAATTTCAGCAGCAAGCTGTTCTTGGAGCTATAAAATGGGAATTGGTGGGTGGAAATGGTCTTTTACCCCAGACTTAAATCTCAGTAAAGTGAATGTATAATTGGGAGCCACACAGAGTTGGTTAGAAGATGGGTGGCAATATATATGTTTTAAATAATTAAATGGTTAATTGATTAATGATACACTGACATCCTTACCTTCTTTTCTCATAACATCTTTATGAGACTTTAGTCAGCTTTCATAAAGTAGTAAAGATTACAGAGTTTGTTAACTAGAAACTAGGCTATGATAGCCCTTGACTTAATTGTCAGAAAAAAAGGAGGAAACAAACTGATCTTATGATTAGAAACAACAAAAGGGAATCGGAAAAAGTTAATTTTGCTTTCTTTCTTGCCTATTATTATGGGGCACATTTATACATAAATATCTATTCATGATATCAAAATGAAAAATCTTGGTCATGTCATCATGACTTAAGCTCCACCCTTTTGCATCATAGCATACATATGATCAATTGCCTCATTAAGAATTCATACCTATGAAGCAGTGGAGCAATATGAATGGAAGTCTTTCTTGGAAACTGTTCTTAATTATTATTTTTTCTTCCTTATAAATTTTTGATCTGTCATCTCCACTGAAATAGAGCTGTACCCTTTCAAATACTGTGAGACAGATTAAATGAAGTTGAAAAAAAAGTCTCTGAGGACATGATTCAAATTTGCAGTTATCTTTAATATCATTGTACTGTAACTTATTATCCTATGCTGGTTGAATGGATTATATCTTGTGCTAGTTACTGATTCCTCTTTAGATTATAGAGAAAAAGTATTCTGAATCTCTTTGATCAATTCAATGAATATATTCAATCAATTATACAATCTATGAAAAGGAAAAATACATAGTGAAACTATTATGACTAAATTGTTGGAGGGATGAAATTGATTCAAAGAGGTCACCCAAGGAGGAGACTGGGTACAAGAAACACTCTAAGCATAAATCACAATATTATTCCAATATTATAAGTCACAATATTATTCAAACCAATCTGCCTCCATTTTAATCTGCAGATTATGTTCAACCCAAGTATGCTAACATCCATCAAAGGAATTAAATGCTGCATTTTTCAAATCACTTTCTATGTAGCCTGCTGCCTGATTGTATTATAATCCTATACCCACACTGTAAATATACATAGGGATACCAAAAAACTATTAAGGTTTTGTATAATGTTTCTATGCATTCAGAAACAGAGTTGTCAGACATAGATGGCTGTCTAACACCCATTGCTAAATATTTACAATGGATGTAAGTGCTACTTATTGTAGCAGGATTCAGCATAAAGGACTATGTTTTAGGATTGGAAATTTAAAATTATAAATAGCTTCAATATCAAAATTACTTAAGTCTTGTTCTCACACAGTATCATCTGTCTGTATTATGCTCACAGACTACTAATAACCCATGCTCTCACACACTCATACAATGTCTCTACTTGTAGAAAAGCAAAATAGAAAATGTTTGCTAATTCCCCAAACCCCACAACCTCATTTCAGAAAATATTTTCCTGAAGATTGAATAAGAGCATGTAGACTGACATAGAACTTAGGCAAGAAAAACCAAATGCACAGGTGTTAGGCAAGAAAAACCAAATGCACAGGTATAGTATAGGTGGTACCTTGCTCAATAGTAGTAACTGTAAGAGGGACCTCGGAGTCCTAGTGGACAATCACTTAAATATGAGCCAGCAGTGTGCTGCAGCTGCCAAAAAAGCCAACACAGTGCTAGGCTGCATTAACAGAGGGATAGAATCAAGATCACGTGAAGTGTTAATACCACTTTACAATGCCTTGGTAAGGCCACACTTGGAATACTGCAATACTGTTTGTTGTTATTGTTGTTGTTATGGCTATGTCAAGGACAATTGGTAAACTGCCTCCTCCTCCCTTCATCCAGCAGAAATCTCTACTGAACTAGATTCTTGATTGATTGGAAAGATGTTTCATGTATAAAAAAGAATTCAGGATGTAGCCCAGTTGGATCTATTTGCTGCATTTTTTTTTAGCAATAGTAACAAAGCATTCACTATAAGTAAATAAATATACCAGCCGTTAATTATAAAAGTAAATTGTAAGCTCTGTATTATAGATTTCCAGGCAGGAAACCCTATACCATTTCGGGCAAATGGCTGTCCAGTCTCTTCTTAAAAACTTCCAGTGTTGGCGCATTCACAGCTTCTGGAGGCAGGTTGATCCATTGTTAATTGTTCTAACTGTCAGTAAGTTTCTCCTTAGTTCTAGGTTGCTGTTGATCATTTCATTATTGGCACATGGTGTTTATATAATTCCTGAATGTGATAATAGCTAGTTCTTGATTTCCTGCCTCAAGGTCAGGTTATCACAACAAATTTTATTTGCACCTATTCTTGAAGAACATCTAGAAGCTTCATTTGTATAAGAAGCAGTATATAAATTGTTCACCAGGATACAGGTTGCCAATTCTTTTCTATTATTATTTAAAAACACTGATTTTATTTTATCCTTGAAAGTCATTAATGATTTTAGGACTGTCTAGCTAAGGGTCACTTGTGAGGATTCTAGCAGTGTTTTAGATTTCAAAGTAGTTGTTTTCTTGCTGTTTATATTATATGCTGTTAATTATAATTTAATAGTGTTTTTAATTCATCTATATTGTATTTGGTTATTTTCATTGTTAGTGTCCTTGAATGAGGTTTTTGGAAAGATAAAACATCTATGAATAATAATGATGATGAGATACATTTGAAATGACCTAACCCTAAGTATATAAACTAACATCAACTGATGGCAAATCATGTACAGAGAACAGCATCAGCAGGTATTTCTAAAATATATCATAAATTACTATCTCTCAATCTATATGCATTAAGATTCACACACTCATTTGATGTCTTCAGTAAATTGATTTATATGAATTAGAAGCTTTGCATACAATTAGAAATGAATAGAGAAATTCAAGCACAGAATTAAAATCTCCTGTGGCTAATAGTTGGTCTGAATACTTATCATCAGCTGGAGATCTGGCCTTTCCAATTTTTTTCACATAATAACATTCTATAATAGTGATTACTCCAATTATAAGTATTTCCATTGGTGCTTATCAGTATATTTGCTTGCATACAATTGCTCATTAAGAGGAGATGGATATCAATGCTAGGGGAATGTTTAATGACTTAATTTGCATACTTCTAATAAACATCAATTCATGTAAGTTCTTTATTGCTTTTCTACAAAGGAACTTAATGCTTGCATAGTAAAATGCAGCATTGTGTAACCCAACCTATATTCAACATTAGAAATGTAAGGTTATATCTATAATGAAGCTGGTATTACGTATGAATGAGTTACTGGTATATGAAAACATTTGAAAAGAATATAAAAGCGGCAAAATGAAAATTATTCTTCAGTTATCAAATATTAGATATCAAGTTGCTGACACTGAATTGATAAATTCTAGATGAATATTGATTATTAAATTGGATATTAGGCAAAGTCTACTATGTAGATAGAAGGTGGGAGTCTGATTTTATTAATTAATTAATTTTATTTTTTATTAAGAAAATGTATATGGTTGCCCAATGCACTCACAGTGATTCTAGGCAGCTTACAGAAGTAAAATCTCAAATATAAAATCCAATAAGCCCTCACTCCCCTGGCAACAACAATCAAACAGACCATTTGATGGGCTCTGTATCACCTTGGTTCCCCACGCCAAATGACAAAATCATGTTTTCAGGGCCTTCCAAACAAGTATCAAGATGGAAGCCAATCTTATCTCCGTAGGCTTGATGTTTCACAGGGAGAGAGCCACCATATAGAATGCCTGTCTTCTTAGTCCCACTAGTTGGCCCTCCTTAATAAAGGGAACCTGTAACATATCTTGCCTTCCCACTCTGATGGGCTGGGTAAATGTAACATGGAAAAGATGATCCCTCAAATAATCTGGCTCCAAGCCATGTTGGGCATGAAAGGGGACAATCAGAATTGGACCCAGAAGCAAATCAACAACAAATGCAGCTCCAGCAAGTGAGGTGACATGTGTTCAAATCTGGACTTGTACAAACATGTGGGCAGCTGCATTTCAAAAGATTTTCAAAAGCTTTAATTCATTTTTAATAGGATTTGTATGTACTTATCATTGCCTAAATCTTATTATATAAGCACTTCAAATACATAGCACAATACTTTAAAGAAAAGAGTAGGCATTTTTAATATGATAATTGTATGTAAGGTTATTAATCTAAATAATATTTTGAATGTTGTACATAAAGAACTTTCTGAAAAAAGACTGGGTTTAGTTGGGTTATGATATCTCTTTGGATATTATATTATCTTTGTGTGAATAAGTTTACAAAGACTTAATGTAGAAATGATAAATAAGTTAAGTCAGTTTCTCCTATTTCCATACTCTTTTTCTCTCTTCACACACTCACCCACCCATCCATCTGCAAGCATACGCACATGATGTATATATCAATTATCTGTCAACAACTCAACAGACACATGGAAGTGTATTTTAAATCTGTTTTCTACAATATATGTCAATAGAACCAATACTATTTCATAAATAGATATAAACCTGAGAAATATGATGGTGGTAAATAAAACACACAATGAAATAGATTTTCCAGGAAGCTGTGAGCATTGTCAAGTCCCCTCTCCTCCTGGTTTTGTCCAATCTCAAAAATATTCATTTGGTTTGTTATCAATGTGGTGCCTATTTATGGATGTCTCCAGAAATAAAGAGATTAAGAGACACTATTGTTCACAGTTTTCATGCAGCACAAATAGATAATGTACACTACATAACAGGAGAAATTTAAATTATTTTAGCAAACAAAATAATGTTAAACATCTTACTTTTATATTCCAGGTGAAAACCAGCTGCCGCTACACTAATATCAGAATGAAAATGTAAATAAAGTTGATTGGAAGTGCTGTTCAACAGTGCTGGTACTGTGGTACCTACCAAAAACATAAGTCAAATATATATCTATATTAATTAAAAAGTAAGTAAAGTATCTTCTTATGGTGAATCAAAGAATTACATGATGCTATAATAATTATTAACCTCCTGAGAATGTGTTTTAGTTTTACTAATTATATTTTACAACATATTAAATTCAATATAAATTTAAATTGAATACACATCTCCCACATCCTTTTTTAAATATAATCTCACTTAGATTCGTATTAAAATTTCAAATGCAATTTTGAGGAACATATTTTATCTCAGCATATAGAGCTACATAAACTCATAGAAATATAATCCATTCCATGTTTTCTGAGTAGCACTTTGGAATTTATTAGAATTATTATTCACTTAAGTACTCTTGTACAGCACAATAAAGATAAAACTGAGCTGCAAGTTGTGTATAGAATTAATCTGTTGCTCTACTGTCTCACTACATGTCAATTTCTGTATGGACATATTCCATCCATAATTACAACAGCTAGACTTTGATAACATGAATTAAACAAGATAAATCACAGCTGTTGCTCTATATTCAAAGGCACTCAATAAAAGAATATAATACATATTGTGTACAGAGAAGAAATAGAGAAACTTGAGTAGCTTGCATGTATGTTCTGGCCATTAAAAGGCAATATAGATTCCTACATACCTGAAAAGCTTCCAAGCCTTGGTGCAGTCATATCACCACCATCATAAATTTCAAGAGAGTCCCAATTATGTTCAGTGGCAAAGTTTATTACCTGTATCTGTAAAAACCATACCACTGAGTGTTCATTAAACATGATAATTACTAAGTTTTCAGAAAAGTACATCATAATAAGCTTGTTAACAAACACAGCAATGTAAATTACATGACCAGGGCATTTCCCCACTTGCATTTAACCACAGTAAAAATATGTCCTGGCAACATCTTGTTTTTTTTCATATCTCTGATATTGCCTTCAGTTTGTTTCCATCCCATGAATAAAAAAAGTGTTAATTATTAGCTATAAACAAATGTTTTTGTTTCTTAAGTCATAAACTTCCAATGACAATTGTTATTAGATTTAGATTTTTATCATCCACTACAGTAGAGGGAAAGTTGGATGGGATCAAAGGACACTTATTCTTGCAGTTGATGCAGAAATGTCCCTTTCTCTGTGGTTCATGGTCAGTCTTGCCTGCATTACTACAGGGGGATGCTAAACATTAAAAAAAAAAAACTTGAAATACTTGAGATGAGGATGGCCTCATCACTTCTAACTTCTGAAGGTCCCTCAACACCCAGTTATGCCAGCAGAGTAATATAGTGAGGAGGCTCTATTATTATTAACATCCCTTCATCTATTATTCTTGTTTTAGTTGTTTTCCTAGTTTTTTTAAAATGTTTTTAATACTTGCTAACAATAATGATTTTAGATATGCATTGTATTTTTTTGTTGTTCATTCTTCAGAGTTATTTGGTTATAGGATGGGTGGCTATATGGGTGGCTAGATAAATAAAGTAAATATCATAAGAGGAAATGGTATAAAAATGAATTAGCCTGAATTAGCAATGAAAAGATGAAATTACATTACTACCACTGCTCTTTTACAGAGTCTGGAAGAATTTGGAAGTCCACATTTATTGTCTGCATAAATGAAACTAAGACAGGAGAGGGAAATCTTGAATAGTACTTTTAATTGCTTTATGCTGCTTATAGCAAAACCAAAAGAGCACCAGAAACAATTAATGAAGGAATTTATTCAGAATAGGAACCAAAAATAGGGGTAGTAAATTTAATTTTAGTATAATTTTTGCTGACTTAAGGATAAATGTATAACAGTTTAACTCAGCAATGAGGAAAGTGCCCACAGAACAATGTTATACATCTTTATAATTGTAGACCAAAAGTATAAATCATATGCTAGACCAAAATAATATTGAAATGCTAGTAAAACAAGAAGAATTATACAGTTCTGCTTAAATAGCCTAATTTGAAGCACACGTAACATGAGGTAAATTTTACAGCTACTAAGAAATAATTTGGAACAATAATGATAGGGAACTACACAATTAGACCGAAACACTATTTGTGAAGATATAAAAAAAATCCAGGAACTATATTTTTAAGGTCAATTTACTTAGTTACTCTCATTTATCTTTCTTCTCCTGCTCCTCTGTCATCAGGGAGAGGAAGCAATCAATGGAATACCCTCTCTCCCCCCATTGTAGCCAACATAATATTCACTTGCTTCCTAACAAAATAAGTGCACAATGCATACTTATACACCAAAATTCACCCATAAACTATGTTGCCTATTCCACTGAATGCTATTTCCATCACTGAATAATCACTATTTTGAAATTATCCATTGATTTTTAAACAAACATTTCATTTATCACAAAGACTGAAAGATGATTATACCCATTAAATATTATCAGGGTTGTGTTTTTTAATTTTTTATATGAATACAGGAATATTTGCGGACATTAGAAAATTACTAAGACATTTCTAGTTTAAGAAAATATGTAAAAATGTTTCAAATGTTAAAAGAGAACAATCCTAATTAAATTTTTGATTTAAAAGGCCTCAATGTAATTTGGTTTAAAGGTTTTTTAAAATGTAATGTTTACATATTGAACAAGAAGTTGGTAAGGTATGGAAGTACATGCGACAAAACCTAGTGAACATTGGAAACTATTAGTTATAAGTTCCAGTGAAGCTTATTAGCATAGTTCAGGAAAGCTTCTAAACTCAAATCTTGACTTTAAATATCTTGAACTGATTGAAGAGGTTTTTTTAGATAGAAATTCCTTTTATAATCTCTGCAAATTTTCTCTGTAGCCAATTTGACTTGTAATTCTGTTGTATGAAAATGAACATTCATCAAAATTAAGCTCTGTACAAGTTGTTATTTAAAAGACATAGTTTTTTTAATGAGCTTTCCTGAATACAAAGACTTTAATTAATTTATATTATCATTGTGTGAAATAAAAGTATTTTTTCATTTTTTTAATATGAAAATATTTTTTTATTATTTCATTCTTGTATAATGATAATACACACTACATATATCTCACAGGTACATCCATATGATAGTGACATGGTTTGCCTTTTCAATCCAGAAGGGCTTATGAAAAAAAGTGGTTCATTGTCCTGAATAGTATGTTTTTTTTATTAAAGTACTTAAAATGTTTCTTTAATTTATTAATAGTATCTCAAGAATGATATGAAGGCCTTGTTGAAACAAATCTGATAAAGAAGTCACACTGATTTCATAAAAACAGCTAAGCACAATATCTTCAGTGTCAATCTGTTTCCTTCTGATAACATATGTACATAAATATATAATAAATATATCATAGCCTCATCAGTTGAAAGAACTGCATTAAGATGTAGCAATCATTAAAGCTTTATCTGGTAGCATATGGTATACCAGTGAAGTAAAGTATGATCAACATATGTATAAAACTGATTTCCAAACAAGTTCCTTTAATTAAAGTCAATTTCCACTAAATTGCATTGAAGTAAGTGTGGTGAACAGAAGTAATTTTGGCTTTTCTACTTTACATGCAGAAGAGGTGGGGGTGGGGGGCTGAGGGATTCTGAATTTGTGAATGAAATTATACAAAAATGCAAAATAAGGGTTGTTTTTCTTTTTGTTTACATTTAGCTAGGGATTTAGAGCAGGAATAATAAATTAGTAATATATTTTCTTTAATTCTGAAATACTTTATATTCCACTGTTGGCAAAATATGGACTTGCCTGAATACCTGATCCCTCAGTCACTATGATTTTCCACACACAATTCAAGCTGTTACCATAAGGTTCAGGATAACCTGGGGACAGTATAGTACCTCTGCGTTCAGTGAAATTCCGGTTGCATGGCACTGAAAGAAAATTGAATTTGAAGTAACAATAAAGCTTAAACTTTGCTAACAAAGAAGTAATATTAAAACCAGGAATTAAATCTCTTTTTTTTACTTGCTGTAAAAATTGTTTTTCCTATTTCCAGAATTACATGTAGACAAAAACAGTTATATTTTCTTTGATAATGTCCATAAATGTTAAATCCCAATAATGTCATCTTAAATTCAAGCAGTTTTTACTATTTCGATCTTCAGCTCATTTCAGATCAAGTTTTCTAAAATATAGAATATTCCTATAGAATATAGGAAAAAGATAAAGAATTTGAGGTCTAAAAGCCTGTTATTATACTCTGTTTTCCTTTATCATTAATCTTTATATCAATTATATTTCTTTTTGCTAATGATCTTAGCTATACAAAAGTTTCAACGAAAGGAAATCTTTTTGACATAACTTAATTTAGAAATACAGGTAGTTCTTGACATTTGATAGTCACTTAGTAACTGTTCAGAATTATGATGGACTCAAAAAAAGATATTTAAGAACTGGATTCGAAGTTCCAATGGCTGTTCCCCCCTGCCCCCCACAGTCACATGATCACATTTTGGATGCTTGACAACTGGCCTGCATTTATGGTGATTTGCATTTCTTGGCAGTCACATGACAGTGATTTGCAATCTATTTTACTGGAAACTAATGTTTACTTGTGTTTTTTGGCAAAATATGCCCACTGACCATGCATTCATTTAATGACAATGGTAATTCACTTTAATAACCAATGCAAAAAAGTTGTAAAATCAAGTTGGTCATGTGATGACTCACTTAAAGATAGGCATGATTTAGGACCATCATTGCAGATTCAGTTATAGTCATAAGTCAAGAACTACCTGTAGTTGTATCCATGTTAGAAAATAAAATGTCCTCCTGTATTATAAAAATACACTGCAATTTTTATCTGTTTGATATTATTATAATTCAAATAATTAAGATTTTATTTTTTCCCTTATGGGCATACCATCCCTATCAGTGCAAAGAACTGCAAAATACAAATCTCTGGAGAGAAAGAAAAACTGAATCCAAAATGGAAATACAGTTCTTATGGAAAGTGTCACACATAAAACACAACAAGCAGTTTGCTACGCAAGGCTATTCTGATTCAGGATATAATAAAACGCAACCAGAATCAGTTGTAAAGTTAAAATACTGTTTTTTTCAGTTGTATTAGTTATTTAATATTACAAAGCAAGTTTCAGTCCAATTATAGTATACTTCCACTTGCCAGAGATTCATCTTAAACTTAAGATTTTAGAGGCAGTCATAATAATAAGAACTGAGCAAAATATGCATCCACTATGTAAATGTAATAAGTTATTATGTCAAAATCTATTCTGTCTGTCAACCAGCTAGTACTCAATTACAACTGAGTTGACATATTACTCTTTTAAACTGGATGTAGCTTACATTAATCAAGGGTGAGGGATTTATTTGTTTAATACTATTTAATAAAACTAATAATGTTCTTAATTTACGTTCATAGATTCTGACTAGGAAATGGATGACCTAAAAATAATAAGCCTTACCCACACAGCTTGGCACTGTGTCGTTCCACTGTGCTAAAGCATTGGGCACAGAACGGCAGCGGATAGCTTTGGAGCCTTGGAGAAGATAGCCTGGACTACATTCAAAGCGAACTACAGAACCAGCTGAAAATTCAGAGCCAATCCTCCTGCCATATCTTGGCTCTGGGACGGAGCTGCATTGCGTATCACTTGTTCGTGGAACCGCTGCATGAAAAAAAGTATTATTGGAGAAGTACCACCACTTCAATGAATGTATTTATTTTTAGGTAAATTTGCTCAATTCATACATGTTTTATTATTTATTAATTTATTAAATTTATATGCCGCCTGTCTAACGAGACTCTGAATAGCACACAATATCATAAATAACAATACAGACAATTAGAAAGTTAAAAATAGAATGGAATAGAATGGAAGAGGAGAGGAGAGGAGAGGAGAGGAGCTGGAAGGGACTTTGAAGGTCTTCTAGTCCAACCCCTTGCTAAAGCAGAAGACCCTATACCATTTCAGACAAGTAACTGTACAGTCTCTTCTTAAAAACCTCCAATGATGGAGCACCCACGATTCTGGGGGCAAGCTGTTCCACTGGTTAATTTTCCTCACTATTAGGAAGTTTCTCCTTAATTCCAGGTTGCTTCTCTCTTTGATCAGTTTCCAACCATTGTTTCTTCTCCTGCCCTCTGGGGCTTTGGAGAATAATTTGACCCCCTCAACACGATTCCCTCTTCTTTGTGGCAGCCCCTCAGATACTGGAATACTGCTAGTATGTCACCCCTATTTCTTCTTTTCTTTAAACTAGCCAAACCCAATTCTTGCAGCTGTTCTTCATATATTTTATTCTCCAGGCCTTTGATCATCTTAGTTGCTCTTCTCTGAATTTTTTACAAAGTCTCAACATCATTTTTATAGTATGTTGACCAAAATTGGTTGTAGTATTCCAGGTGTGGTTTTACTAGGGTTTTATAAAGCGGTACTAATACTTCGTATGAACTTGATTCTATGCCTCTGTTTATACAACCCAGGATTGTATTAGCTTTTTTGACTGCTGCTGCACACTGCTTGCTCATAGTCAAGTGATCTTCCACTAGGACTCCAAGGTCCCTGTCACAGTTACTGTTTTTGAGCAAGGTCTCGCCTAATCTGTACTTATACCTTTAATTTTTTTCCTGCCGAAATGTAAAACTTTGCTTTTCTCCACATTAAAGTTCATTTTGTTGGATAAGGCCCATTGTTCAAGTTTGTCAAGATCTTTTTGGATCCTGACCTTATCTTCTGGAATGTTGGCTATTCCTGCCATTTTAGTGTCATCTGCAAATTTGATGAGTTCCCCTTCTAATTCCTCATCTAAGTCATTTATGAAGATATTGAAGAGTACTGGGACTAAGAGGGAGCCTTGTGATACCCCACTGCTTATTTCTCTCCATGTGGATGTAGTACCATTGAGGACTACTCATTGAGTACAGTTTGTCAGCCAGCCACAAATCCATCTGGTGGTGATATTATCCATTCTGCCTCTTTCTAGCTTACCAAGAAGTAGGTTGTGGTATACTTTGTCAAATGCTTTATTGAAATCTAAGTATACTATGTCAACGGCATTTTGCTGGTCTACTAATTTAGTCACTTTATCAAAGAATGAAATAAGATTGGTTTGGCATGATCTGTTTTTGACAAACCCATGCTGGCTACTGGTTATAACTTTGTTTGCTTCTAGTTGTTCACAGATCTGTTTTTTGATTATCTTTTCCAGCATCTTCCCAGGTATTGATGTTAGACTGACTGGGATGTAGTTTCCTGGGTCTGTTTTTTTTTCCCCTTTCTTGAAGATGGGAACCACATCAGTCCTTTTCTAATCTTCAGGTACTTCCCGGTGCTCCAGGATTTTTGAAAGATATGATGCAATGATTCTGAGATAACATCTGCCAGTTCCTTCAGAACTCTGGGATGTAACGTGTCGGGTTACAGTGATTTATATTCATTAAGGTCAGATAGGTGATCTCTTACCATTTTGTTGCTTATTTTAATTTTTGTTTCTAGTTTGTCTTTTGCAGTAGTTTTATTGGTATGTTGGGCTATAATTTCTTTCTGTATGAAGACTGATGCAAAGAATTAATTAAGTAGCTCTGCTTTCTCCCTACTGTCTGTTATTTCCTTGCCATCTTCTCTCCTTAGTGGACCTACAGTTTCCTTGACATTTTCTTGTTATTAATATGTTGAAAGAATTTTTTTTATTATCCTCAATTTCTGTTGCAAGTCTTTGTTCATTCTGAGCCTTTACTTTCCTGACTTCATCTTTGCATGTTCTGACTGTTTGCTTATAATTAGCCTTAGTTATGTGTCCCTCTTTCCAGTTTTTGTACTTGTTCTTTTTGTCATTCAGTTTGTCAGAGAGATCTTTGTGTAGCCATGCTGGTTTCTTCTTGAATTTCTTGTTTTTCTTTTTCAGTGGTATTGGGCTAGACTGGGCTTTTATGATCACATTTTTCAGAGTTTCCCATGCTTCTTGAGTTGTTTTCCCCTTTAGGATTTTCATCCATGGAATATTTCCTAGGTTCTCTCTGAGTTTGTTAAAATCAGCTCTTTTGAAGTTTAAGACACTAGTTGGATTATTTTCTATTGCCTGTGTTTGCATTATATTGAATTCCAGTATGACATGGTCACTTTCCCCCAAGGTTCCGGCAAGTTCAACTTCCTCTATCACTTCTTCTCTATTAGTAAAAATGAGGTCCAGTATAGCTTTACTTCTAGTTCCCTCCTCTACCGTTTGGATGACCAAGTTGTCGGCTAGGTAGGTTAGGAATCTGTTTGATCTCCCACTCGCTGCAGAGTTGGTTTCCCAGTTGATATCTGGATAGTTGAAATTTCCCATTACTACTGTGGTATGCTTCCTACACACATTTGTTAACTGGTTGGCAAAGATTTCATCTATTTTTTCTGATTAGTTGAGTGGCCTGTAAGACACACCTATGGCAATGTCACTTTTCCCCCCCTTTTATATTAACCCATATATATTCTGGAGGGATTTCATCTTTGATCATGTACATTTCTGTAGATATGTAGTGTTCTCTTACATATAGTGCAATTCCCCCTCCTCTTTTTGTAGATCTATTTGTTTTGAACAATTTGTATCCCTCCATCAGTACATTCCAGTCATGGGTTTAAAGCATTGAATATTAAACATTAAAACTTTTTCTAATATTTCCAATAAACTTTTCTGTATACGTTAAATATACCAATCACAGCAAAAAGTAAACGTTAAATATACCAATCACAGCAAAAAGTAAAGTAAGTACTTATTTCCCAATTAAGGATATCCACTGCGGTAATTATGTTTAAGAGAAATAGAAATTTAATATTAGTATAGATAGGGTTGTATACCATAGAATAGATAATAAATTACTGACTGTTAAAATATGGGATGGTAAGGGCTTGAAATCAGAGTTGTGCTTGATACAGCCCAAACTTCAGAATGCTCCATTTTTTAATCATTTCCTCTCCTGTGCTTTGGTGGTAGCTTTGCAGCATAAGCCTAAAATAGAGTGCTACTACTACTGTGCACCTCTGAGGTTAAAGAGGTAGAAACAAATTGTTACTGAGCCTACAAGGCAGTAAGAAAAAGTTTGTGATTTATTGCTCATCTAACTTCAGTACTTTGGTTTTGCCCAATCAAGAAAATGTCATGGGAAATCTTTGCAGCTTTTGCTGTTCTGGGCATGAAATTTGGCCATCTGTCTGCTGAGATAAATTACAGGTATTCTCGACTTACGATCACAATGTCTGCTGCTAAGCAAGACATTTCTTAAGTGAATTTTGCCTCATTTTGACTTTGCTTGCCAGAAAGTCACATAAGGGGATCACATGACCCTGGGACAATACAACTATCATAAATATGAGTCAGTTGCCAAGCATCTGGATTTTGATCATATGACCATGGGGATGCTGCAATGGTCGTACGTGTGAAAAACAGTAACGTCACTTTTTCAGTGCTGTTGTAACTTTGAATGGTCACTAAATGAACTGTTGTAAGTTGAAGACTATCTGTACTTGCATAAGGAGACAAGACAGCAACAGAACTGGCATATGAATCCATATGAGACTGAGCTGTACATTGCTATATGGCTGACAGTAACATTGACCAAGTTCAGGCACCATAAAAGGCCTCCAAGCCAAGTTCCCATTAAAGTCTCTTTTAGCAAGTGATATGATCAGAAGTTGCTCTCTCTCAACCCAATCACTTAGGGAGCTAAATACCCATACAATCCATGTGCAAAAGGACAGAAGAGTCATCAAACAAGCTAATTAGCAAGTATAACAAGTTTTAAAATACTTCAAAGTTTTCTACCTCTTCTCTCCAATGCTTCCACTTAGCATTTAATTATTTTTAATCTTTTACTATATACTCAAATCCAATTATTTTGTAGTTAAAAACCACCACGTTTTCCCCAAGTTACGAAAGGAGAATTAAAGAGCCCATTGATCTCCTGATGTCTAAATTCTCTCAGATCCTGGAACTGGCCCTGACTTGTGCTAACTGCATTCTCTATTATAAAATGACATATGAGTGTCATGATGGCTTCTACTAGAGGTAATGGAAAAATGAAAATGAACTGCATTTCAACTATCAGCTATGTATTTCTTCTTCTAACACTAAATTATGCAGAAATATTCATTCTACAATTCAGATGTTACCCTATAGCAGCCACATTACAGCATATTACATAGTTACAAACAAGCCACAGTTGCACTAAGCCCTTATTGTTCTGAATATCTAATTCAGACAGAGACAAGATATTAAAAATCATCCTCTCAAGCAACTGTTATTTAATTTTATATAATTTGAGAGGGTAGCCCATGCAATAATTAATGACATTAACAGTACCTCAGTCAATCTTTCTATATCATACTGCTTTTTTAGAAAAAACAAAAATGTCCATGGAACAGTACAGTACCTCTTAGAATTTTGACAGTTATTCAGAAAATGCTATTGGTCTGAAAGTGAAATATATAACTATGTTGTAATGTCTAGTAATACAGAGAGAGTGAATAAAACACAAGTTCCCTTTGAAATAATGATCAGTTGGAGAAATTGCTATGGAATTAGTTACTGAGGTTGCTCAGGTTCCATGTTATTCCAGATTGTAGATCAGTTTGTTGAAAATTCAACAGCAGAGACTAAAGAAGCATTCAGTACATGAACTGCATCCTTCTTTTAAATTCAGTCTATCATCAATTAAAAAGAACAGAACTGTGAAAAAGTAAGAAACGGCCGGATGAAATCAAGAATTACTAATAAATCTGTACACAGAAATAGAAGAATGCATCCTCCACTCTCCCTTCCAAATATTCCCCCTATAACTTATATTGGGCAGTATCCCACAATCCCCTTCACTTTCATTTCTTATAGTCCTGTTATTATCTGATCATATGCAATGATTAATGCTTAAATGATGACCATTGAAAAAGCTAGTTGCCAATGGAAACCAAATCCAACCACCAAGTTCTTCAAGAACTAAGGGAAAGCCATATTGCAACATTCAGTCAAATTTTAGTGAATGTAGCCCTTAGGAAGAAAGACGTTATAGAGGAATTAAAGAGGAATTAAACTTGAGGATGGTTGATTGCTTTTCATCAGAGCAATGTAAAAAGCATTTTTGTATGGATTTATACATTAATGTCTTGCACAGTTCTGTTTCTGAAGCAAGTAAGCAAGTCAAGTATAATTATGGAAATGAATGCAGATTATTCCCTTTAAAACACAATTGTACTGAAAATGTGAGGACGTTTAACTTTAGCATCACAAAATGTCAATAATGTGGGGTTTTGCAGAGGTGAGCTCAACATTTGTGACACAGCTATTGCTAATCATAATTTTCTGTGCAATGTGATATATAGAAAAATGCAGCTTTGAGAAAAAGGAAGATAGCTTTTATGACAGAAAATGAAACACATAATAGAGAAAATGGCATTAAAAACCTCCATTATATCACAATCTAAGGAAAGAAATTGAATCTTGTAACAATTCTGCTCAGAATATGCAATCATGTTAGCTTTTTCTCTTCCTAACTCTCAATCTAATTCTAAACTCTGGTATAGGCAAGCTAGTCTTAAATGGCATTGGATATCACATGCATTTTTATAGTAATTATTCTTCATTTTTCAAAGCTATGTAACAAAATAGATGTCAGTGTAATGGAAAAGTGAACATAGACTTGAGTCAGACTGGAATACTAGATGATAAATACAAGGACTGAATTTGTAGGCCAGAGTAAAAGTGTTCATTCATAAATGTGGATGTGTCTCTTACAGGTATTTGGAAGTAGTCAGCCCTGGAAAATTTCACAGTAAGATTGAAAATTTCTAAATAGTGGTTGCTTGGTTTCTTATGTATTATGATAGAAGAACTAAGAGCAAATTTCATTCCATGATATTAACCTTTTTAAGTTAAAGAACTCTTAAATGCACATCAATCAGTCACTTTGCTGCATTGTACTGTTTGTTGGACACTGAGGAAAAAACTAAATAACCAGAAAAAAAGTACTAAAATAATCTGCAAATATGATTGTTCTTAATAAAAATACTTTAGACACAAATATGCTAAATGCATTTTTGAAATAAAATATTTAGGATAGCAAGTAATGCACCAATGCATTAATGAATAAGTAGCTATGATAGATAAAAAGAACTAAATTTATGCTCCTTTGCCCTACATATCTGTTATACGAGCAGAATCCCACTCACCTGTAGTCACAATATTATATTGTATTCCAAATGAATACAACTTATTTCCAAGAAAATTACTATGGATTTTAGCCTTAGGCTGCAATCCAAACATATGTATTAAGTTAAAATGTTCACCGAAGAGACTTTTGTAAAGAGATATCCATACAGTTTTGTATTGCTAATAACCTCAGCCTGTCCTAGGCTGAATATATTCAAATTAGATCTTCCATCCAGAAACAAAATTAATGCCTATTTAAATAGAATTTTCATTAACTTCACTGATATTTTTCTAAAGTAACAGTATTCTAACTCTTCTTACAGAAAGTATTGCAAAATAGAGTCATGTTCTGCTTACCCATGATACTTCAGAAATAACAAGAACATAAATATTACTTCTTTTTATTTATTTATTTATTAACATTTTCCTTTATACAGTACGTATTCAGCAGACTATGTCATTTTTATATACTATGGATCTACATTCTATACAATATATACACTATGTACATTCAATCTAATCCACAATAACCTAATTTGCACAATAACCTTATGTATATTTCCAATTTTTGTTTCTATTGTCTATCCAAATATACCAATTTTCCCAAACCGCATAAAATTCTGAATCATCTTTTTCTTTTAAATATTAAATATTACTTCTATAAGTATTTCTAATTTGGGGCATAATTCCAGAGCTCATAGGAAATATAACTCTATTTTGCATAGCTCAAGAGGTCAGAAAGCCACTTTTTCTTTGTTCTGTATGTTGAAAAAAACCAAGGAGTTGGAGAAATCAGCCATCCCAATGTCCAAAAGATAGAAATGGACACTCATCAAATGTCTTCTGCCTTCCGAGAGTGTCAGAAATCTATTACAAGCTGAATTTAACAAACATTGGGATTGGAATACCTATGTATATTCTCTGAAGTTTGCTTCTGCTATCCCCTCTGGGCATTAATCTTTTCCACATAAGTATTCTACATGTGGTACTCAGTTAATGAGTTTAGAATCTTTATGTGAGAAACTAAGTTGTGAGTTACCCATCATGTAATCTTTCATAGATTTCTCACATCACATTTTAATTATTATGGTCTCATAGATCCCAAAACAAGAAATATAGCTTCTGAGATAAGGTTACAGATCGTATTGCATTTTCCATTCCAAAATGGCATAATAATCATACTTTGTGACACAGCCAAACCTAGGAAAGAAGAAAGGAAAGAAAAATACCTTGATAGACAAAATGAAAGCCCCTTGCAGATGCTTCACTCTTGGCACTAAACCTCAAGAGAATCTGATTGGATGTAGCTAAAGGCAGGGTCTCTCCTATATATGAGAAAAGGAAAGACAGGGAAGGGAGCATAAACAAAATAAATATACAATATTTCTGCATATGTATACATGAAACATTGTGGAAGGAAGGAAGGAAGGAAGGAAGGAAGGAAGGAAGGAAGGAAGGAAGGAAGGAAGGAAGGAAGGAAGGAAGGAAGGAAGGAAATGCCACAGAAGTCATCATTATACAATTTATGTCTTAATAATATATAATCTCCATTATATATTTTATGCATGTTGAACAGAACTTTATAATCAGCATTTGATTCAGAAATATTTATTTTCTTTAAATTTCTTTCTCCTTCACCAGTGAGGTTATTTGGTCTTAGCTCTATTATAAATTACAACAACATTCGTTTATTCATTGATTCGTTCATATCCTGCCTTTATTATTTTTATAAATAATTCAAGCCGGTAAACATATCCAGCACATCTTCCTCCTATTTTCCCCACAACAACAATCTGAGTGGTGGGCTGGGCTAAGAGAGAGTGAGGTCATCCAGGTTGATTTCATAGCTAAGGTCAGAGTTGAAGTCATGGTCTTCTGCTTTCTACCCTGGTGGCTTAATCACTAGATCAAACTGGTGCTCAAAGTGGCAAAAAGCTTATGTTCTCTGCTTCATGTTTGCCCTGGCCTCATTTACGATACTTTATACCATTTCCTTTTTCAATCAAATTTCCTTTCATTTCACCCAATTATCATGTAAATTCTGTGGCCACTAATAAGGCATTATTCCCCATTTTCAATGTTTTATTCCTGAAGAGCTTTTAGAGCTCTGAGAAACTTGACTGAAATTCATCTATGTCTATTTATTGACAGAAGAACCACACTGGTAGAATCAATTGCCAGTGGCAGATTCCTTATACCCATTTCATAGACCTTGATCTGGAAGACTAGGCACCTGCTGGAACAGATTTGGAGTGCACTGGAGAAGAGGCAGGAGAAGACTTACTAAATAAGTGGAGGTTTATTATAAAATATCTTAGATTCCCCAAGCTTACTGATAGCTTGTTTGGAAATTAGCATGCATCTTTTAACATCAGGAACACAGGGAACGATTACACAAATACTTTTTATTAGCAACATAATGATGAATCAAGGTTAATAATTTGCTAGAATGAAACTTGTGACTAATTCTTGATTATCAATTATTATCACAAAATATTATTATTTATTGATTCTAATAATACATTTGATAATCAATTAATTAATAATTAGACACATATCATCCTTAATTTATACTGATTATACTCAATGAAATTGGCTAAATATGGTTAAGAAATTATTGGCTTTTCATGTAATCTGATATTAAATAAAATTTAGTAACTAGTGATGGAAAAAAAAATCCCCCCAATAATCAGAGAAGGGAAAGTGACTGTAAAATAGAAGAATCAATATCATTGCTTTTGAATGAAATTGATATTTATGTCTATATGCATAAAAATTACTTTCTGCCCATTTTCAAAACAAGTGTTAATATCTGGTGTAACATTTGATTGCCTAATAAAACACTCTGAATATATGCAAACAAGGGCACATTCCGTTTTGCTGATTTGAAACTTTACATTTATGAAACTAAATTAGTTTTGGTGTTATTTATGTATTTTTAAAGAGTACTACTTACCTGAATGAGATCCAGAAAGTGAACTCAGAAGTCTAGCTTGAGGATGTTCTCCATCAAATAATTCTACTACATCATTTAGAGCTGTTTGGAAATAGGCAAACTGTCCAAACACAACTATAAAACATGAGTAAAAAAAGGAAATATTTAAAAAACAAATTACATTAGATTTACAATCAGTGAAAATTACTTTTCCGTAAACATCTAGTGGATTTTACTTCATCTCTATTTCCTTTAATATTTTCAGGGATAAATACAAGTTTGATTTTGTTTGATGTTGTGCATCTTATTGTACAGCTGGAGCTTTACTCTATATGAGGTGTCTTTTTTGCACACCACAAATAATTTATGACCACTAATTCAATCATCATCTAAATATTGACATTTCTAGAAAAGAATTAACATGACACTGGTCTAAAAATGTGATAATGGATAACAATTTCTGACACTGTGACCTACATTTTGGAAATATGTGATAATTTCTGTGCAACATTTTTATAGGTTTTATGTCACAGTTTTAATTAGTTACGTTTGTATCTGAAGTCACAAAGTGCAGGAAAATATTAATAAAAATAGAGCTGTTATTATATTCTTCCTGAAGCTTTGCAGTGGTGCTGGTTATTCTGAAGTTTTGTTTTATTTATTTTGGGGAAAAAAATACAAAAAAAAATGTCAGAAATGCAGCTACATTTTAAATGTTAACAAGCTCATGCAATAAATAATAGTTTCACTGTCTCCTGGCTATTTGAAGACCTAGAGCATATTTAGTGGCTTTCTGGACAAACTAGGAGATCTATGTGCTACTTTAAAGGCCACCCAATATATCAGTCCCAGTTGTTCCAAACCTATGACTGGTGGCTCACAATGCTGTTACAAGTAGTCTCTAGTGCATGAGTATATATGTATGTATTTGACTATATGTATATAGAGCTATATGTTTATATGTGTATATCTAAAATCTGTAAGATTTCAGATGAAACACCAAATTCTGACAAGATTCCCAAACCTTGTGAGATTTTGGGCTGATTTAATTAAGAGTTTTAATTATTTTTATTTAGATTTGAGTTCTTGCCTGCACCATGCGAAGGGGAAGGATGTCAGATGAATTGATACACCTTATTATTCCTAATGGTGCTATATTGCCAGTATTCAGTTTATGTGGTAGACCTTAAATTCTTTTGATGCAATAATCCTCCTGATGACAAAATAGTGAAGATAAACACCACCCAATATTCTGTCAAATGATCTCCAAAACATAGCCAAATCTGGGAAAAGAACCTGCAAAAGCAGAGCATCCCTGCTCATGCCAAGTGCTGACTCAGTGGAGTAATTTTGCCTTCCCCCCTTTGACGCTCCCTATCCTGAAGGGAATAGAGAATGACTCCCTTATATCAGAGCTAGAGTATTGGCAAGTGCTTTTCTACCACTTACTGTCCAAATATAGCCATGGTGAGGAGTGAATGCTGCCCCTCAGATGTGAATTGTATTATTTATTTACTTCATACCAATTCTGACAGTCACCATATCTACTATGTAGGAAAGAGCCTTCTCTTGAAGGGCTCCTTGGCAATGGACTGCAGTGCCTAGGATGTAAAATTTGACCCTCATTCACTTGATGTTCAGGAATATATAATAAAAATACATATCTTCTCTCAAACCTTAATTTCTTTCAGTATTCTACCTTAATTCTGATTCTAAGTGCATGTTAGCACATATTTTGCTTTATCTCTATGGGCTGCTCTGTTGGAGAAAAAAAAAGTGCAGGCTGAAATGTAATAAGTCAATAAGCAAATAATAAAACAAATGAGATGCTTCAATTCATAAACAACAATGATCTTTAGCTAATTCAGTCCTAGGATGCTGAGGTGTTATTACTGAAACTTTGTTAAGCAAATTGTATACAAAGAATACTACCAAGAATTAATAACAATAAAGACTTAGTGAAAAGTCTGACTTACCAAATTCTTTAGGAACTGTAATTGAATATTGACAAGTCACCCCAGTAGTGTAGTTCTGAGGATAATTTGGTGATAAAACTACTCCCTCTGATCCAGTATACTGGCCTCCACAGGGAGCTGAGAAAGAATATTTGTAAATACAGAAAAATGGATCAAATTAATGAGTTGTAATTAGAAATAAAAATATAGTATCTTTTCTTGTAATATATAAATATGTTGTATTAGAATTGCAATAGAATTCCAAAGAAGCTAACACTGAAATAAGTATTTGGGGATAATTACTTTTTAGAAAATGTGTTTACACTGAAATCTTGAAATGTGTTCACACTAAATCTCTTAAACGTGCCATTTAAATTACACCTTGTTTTTCTCAGATATGTTTCATGGCTATTCCCTTTAATGATGAAAGGCTGATCCTAATAAAGTTTCCATTTGCCTTCAGTCTGCTCATTGCACAATTAATGTATCAATATTATATAATAATACAAGTTAAAATATGATTAATATCACAAGTAATCATGTTTTATGTTGTTTTATTCTCCATGATTATTGTGCTGAAATTTAAATTTATAAACAAAAGAAGTAAATTTTTGACACAAATTAGATAACTGCCCTATTTTAGCAATCACTCTGTTAACATATCCATCACTTGGCATCTGCAAATACTGACAGTTTTGGAACAGTCATGCAGCATGATTAAATTTCTTTCAGCCAAGAGTTAAATGTGCACTTCACATTGCCATTGTGATTAACAGCAATAACAAAAACAATAATTGAGCAAGGTGTTTTCCTTCAATATTGCCATTCCCATTCACCATCTCCTATACCAAACAAAAGGAATTTACTGCATGGAACAAATTCTGTGGGAGGTGAAATTTTCAAGGAACCAAGGGATTTACGCCAAAATAACATTTCTTCTTTTTATTGCACTAGATAAAACAGCCTACTGCCTTGAGGCCAGAGGAATTAAGATGGCCCTGAACAAGACGGGCAATTTGTTTGAATTTCCCCAACAAAGTATAGTTGTTTTCTTCCTCCTATACTTTTAATTCACTATCAAACTTGTTGTTACCCTATAGCCAGCCAAGAGTTAGTTCTTAACACTTGGAGATAATAGGCTCAAACTAATGATTAAATCTCCTATTGTTTTTATTCAATTATAACAGTCCATGAGAAAGTTTGGGTCAGAACTCAGATCAGTAAATTGGAAACAGCAAATTTGAAGAACATTTATTTGGAAACCTAAAGCTATGTGCCTTCCATTGACTACTGACCTTCCATCTATAAATGATTACAACTTAAAACAAAATTAAAACTCTTTAAGCAAAATACAGGTACTCCTCAACTTACAACCATTTGTTTAGTGAGCATTCGAAGTTACAACTCTGAAAAAAGTGACTTATGAACTTTTTTCACACAACCACTATAGCATCCCCATAGTCACATGATCAAAATTCAGATGCTTTGCAACTGGCATGTATTGATAATGATTGCAGTGTCCCAGGATTATGTGATCACCTTTTGCAACATTCTGACAAGCAAAGTCAATGGGAAAGCCAGATTAATTTAATAATCATGTTACCAACTTAACAATTGCTGTTATTCACTTAATAACTGTGGCAAGAAAGGTCATAAAATGAGGAAAAACTCACGTAACAACTGTCTCGCTTAGCGACAGAAATTTGGGGTTTGATTGTGGTCATAAATTGAGGAATACCTGTAGGCAAATCAATTTGCTCTGGGGGGAAGCCTGCCTAATTCAAAAGTAGTATGTGTAAATACTTTGTATTGGATTCCTTTAAGACAGTGGTAGCGAACCTATGGCACGCGTGCCAGAGGTGGCACTCAGAGCCCTTTCTGTGGGCACATGCGCCATTGCCCCAGCCCCATCTCCCCCCATGGCCTCTTCCTCACCAACAGCCCCTCCCAGAGTAGAGTCGCCCCACGTGGAGCAGTGTAGCCAAGGTTATGGCAGCTGGGCAGCAGGGACAAGACTCTGCCGTCACACCCCATCGCATGCAGATGATGCTGTGGGACACAGGCAGAGGGCGTGGATGCCATGGCGCTGCAGGGCCACCTAGGCAATCTGCTGCGGTGGGCCATGTAGGTGGTGGGTGGCCCTGCGGGTAGATGGGGCAGGGCACAGTGGGCAGGGCAGTTTTGGGGCACTCGGTCTCTAAAAGGTTCGCCATCACTGCTTTAAGATATATGAAATTCCAGATAAAGTTTGTGTTAGAGAGTTCCTAAGCAATTCTGGGGGGAGATCTCTTTTTTACTACTCCCTAGTATTACTGTGTCACATCGTATTTCTATAGTATTATAGGAAATATATTCCATAAGCCACAGTCAAAATTGACAGATAAAAAAATTGAGATCTTCTCAAATGATATGAGGGATCACACAGAATCTCTGAACATTGAAAGACCATACTGAGAGTCTTACTTTGCTATCATTCCTAGACTTCTAAGTTGGGTTAACTGATACTTCTTCCTTGAATTTGTCTCTTTTCATAGATAGGCTGCAAATTTCAACTATGTCACAAACTGTAATTTAAAGGAACGTAATACAAAATAGCTTGATATATTTTGTTTAAATTATATAGCTGCTGCTCCTCACTAAGTTGCTTCAACTTTTATGAGGTAAAAATCAGTGTGAAACAGAAATCTTCTTGCAATTCTTTGGATCTATGTGCTATCTGAAGCCTTATAAGTCAGTTTAGATTTCTAAACCCAGTTACATATTTCAGTCCTGGAGATCTTCATAGAAGATTCAAACTTCAGATTTTGAAGAGGGCATTAATACCTTGTACTAATTTGTTTGGGAATCTACCATCAGCTAAATGGGGAATATTTTTGTGCTACAAATATGTACTTTTTGTCAAATGATCACATAAATCAATACTGCTTTATTATAACACATTTTTCTGTTAGCATCAGATGTTAAAATGTGGGTAAACATAGGCATATATTATGTATGCTTCCATGTAGTTTGGTAAAATATAAAAATAAGAGTTGTAAGTAACAACATCATTTAAGGCAGGGGTCTTCAAACTTGGCCCTTTTATGACTTGTGGACTTCAACTCCCAGAATTCCTCAGCCACTTGCCTGGCTGAGGAATTTTGGGAGTTGAAGTCCACGTCATAAAAGGGCCAGGTTTAAAGACCCCTCATTTAACAAAAAAATAGTCTTTGTGTAGCCAAAACATTTCCCAAGAACTGTACAATCCTTTAGTTTTGAAGACTTTCTGGCTCATTGGATGATTCAATGAACAGATAGCGAAAATATGATTTTCACTGATGTCCTTTGCTCTTCTGTAGTCATATCCTTGCCATGCCAAAAGATCTCTCAATTTCCTATGGTACACTGTGTGTGTGTAGAATAGAGAATCAGCAAAATAAATCTTTCAACCCATTTTCCACTCATAGAAACATCTGCTGAAACAAAACATTCTGAACAGAGTTTGAGTCAGTCTCAAATAACCATTTTCTCTTTTATTTTAAATATGGATTGGTTTCATATCAAAAATCTGAGTATCATGATACTGGATATAAGTAGTGAAGTTATTTATATTATTTTAATAGATAGGCATCTATGGCTAATTTTTAACCTATTATTATCTATTCTAATTGTAAAGTATTGTTCTAATACCTTAATATAAAGATAGCTTAGCAAAATGAAGCTATCTGCTAGCTTTGAGTAATTATTTTCTATATTTTAAACTGCATCAATATTTTATAACACTTATTAATGTTTCATCCTCAGTATTACTATGTTCATTTTTGTTAGTACAAAAGACCTTTGAATGAAACACACTCAATAGCAATGGAAATGATTTTAACATGTAAGGGAGCTCAGGGAAGAAATGAAAAGGTTTTAGATAAATGAGAAATTACCATGAAGGAACATTCCTATTTCTCAGTGACCTTTGCACCACTTATTTAAGACACTTCTGGTTCTATTAGCCTTAAAGCAATTCATATACAAAGTTTCAAAACTCATATATATATATTCAAAAGATAAAAACGAGCACCAGGAGGTAAAACAATTAAATGTTTAATAAATAGATAACCTAGCTTTCGATGGCTGTATTGCTGCCATCATCGTCAGGGTGTTAAAAGCCAGAGGATGGGGGAGCTCATTTATAAGCACAAACGTGCCTGCACACGGCTCATAGACCTTGTTATGGGGCCCGGTCGATTGATCCTCCCATCACTCATGTCAGAAGTATTTCTGAGTTCTAAGTTCTTGCAGCTGATTACTTCTCTGTTGCCTGCGGCTCCTAGGCTGGGAAGTGGGCATTCCATGTCACTTCACACCAGAGTAACCTGTGTAACTGCAGACCGATCCTGCGATGAAATCCCGGATCCAGCTATCTCCCTCCCCCGTGTCTGACATATCACTCTCAGGGGGCATGCCACCCCATCCGTGCTCCCATCTTCCCCTATATATACACCCAATAATAATTCAGCTGCAGGAAAGTCCCTAAAATATGACATTAACCCAAGGGTAGCATCTCAGAGAAAAAACTGCTGGACAATCCTCCTAATTCTTATACTACAGGAGTAGCAACTTCTCTTGTGGCTGCAGTGGTTGATTTTTTGGACTGAGGTGAGGCATTTTTGTCCATATCCCAAATCCATTCTACAAGACCATGAAACTATTTATATGGAGCAACATTCTGTTTGTATTGATCCCTTAAATAAATTAGATACATGACACAATATTTAGGTATCTAACATAGGAAGCTTCAAGTCCAAATCACAGAGGCTTTGGATGAACTGTTTTCAAGATCTAAGTACCAGGCTAGGAACAGCTCCTCTGTGGACTTACAACACTGACTTGACATAGGATGCTGTCTTACAATTGATCATATTATTGTTCACCTTATCCAAAATTCTCTAAGTTCTTACTATTATCAAGATATCTCTGGTATTATAATACTGAATCTACAAAGGTCTACATATATAATATACAGTGCATTTAGAAAGTATTTAGACCACCTTCATTTTGATTAAATTTGTTATATACAGTGCATTCAGACAGTAACAAACAAAATGTTTTGTTTGTTACTTTCTGAATGCACCATATCAGTGGTGGGATTCAAATATGTGAACAACCAGTTCTCTGTGTGGATGCCAAACCTAGACGTCCGTTCTGGGCCTGGGCAACAAAAAATTAGCTATCGGTTTTGACGAAGTGGTCCAAACTGCCTGAATCCCACCACTGCACTGTATATTCCATAGATATAAAATGGGCCTAATGAAATTCTCAAGGTTTTTTAAATTAAAAAAAAAGGAAACTGTTGATTTTTCCAGATTATCCCATGCACATATTTTACTGCAAGCCCTCCTATTATTCCCCCCCCATCAAAACCTCTGTATTTTCTTTTGTAATTTCATTTTAAATGGCAATAGTAGACATGGGAGCTAAAATAAATAAAAAGGAAAACAAGAGTTTTTCCTTCTCTCTTTTATCAGTTGTCCTACCACACTAACAGAATATTGTCAAAATGCCAGAATAGAAGGAACAATGAGAATAGTTGTACTAATACAATATTTCATAACCCCACTCCCCAGGAAACATACATACCACTACAAAATGGCAAGACTCTGTTCCATGCAGGTTTTCCATCAACACCAATCACACAAATGACAGTAGAAGGATCAATAATCTTGTAACCTGAATCACACTGATAAGTAATACTTGACCCAAGTTTAAAGTCTGTTCCAATTCTGGTTCCATTCATTATGTTGCCGGGGTCAAAACATGCTTCCCGTGGTTTTTCTAATGAAAAAGAGAAAGAGGGTTAAGATTCTCTTTAAAATAAAATAGAGGAATCAAGTTGAATCAATATAATACACTCCAGAATGATAGGGGTTACTAACAGTTTTCTTAATTCCTATCTCGCTTTCATCTAGCTAAGTTTGTCTGTCCATCCATCCATCCATCCATCTTTTTCTTCCCCAAGTAGATTTGGATTATTAGAATTTAATCTGATATTACTATTGCAACTGCACATAAAGACAATATTGCTTATGAAGATACATTTCAGACAAATTTTCAGTTATGATTTGGGGTCTGAGATTGCTTTGGTCAGCTTAGTCAGCTGAACTAGCTGAGAAACTAGAAGACTTAATAGTTTTCTTGGATCTATCATATTTTTCAACATCACCAACTATAACATCCTTTTGAATAACCAATCAGAAAAGGATTTGAAAGCTTTTAATGAATATAATATTTTCAAATATTTGCAGGAAAAAAAATAGCTTGCATGTTTAGTTACTGCTAATATTCAGTATACATTTCCTCATAGTTAAGTCCCATTGAACTTGATGGGACTGACTTTTGAGCATATAGTATAGGTTATTATTGCAACAGAAATTACAATTTTCGTAAGTCAAGATTATAAAAATGCCTGCATTTTTAAGAACTTATATTTAGCAGTATCTGTAGAATAGCCACTTTTTGAAAGCTTCATGATTAAATATCAATAAAGATGGCAATATATTTGCTCATTTCTACAATGCTAAAGTAAACAAACAAATTTGTTTGGGGTGGCCTTTTTAAAATCGTGTTTATGTTTGTCATGAACATTTTTATTTATTTTTATTTGCAACGGATTAGGATTTTGCTACTTAGAAAAAAAAATCTTGTGCTGCTTAGAAAAAAAATCTTGTGAATTGTAAGCAATATAGTAATTTAAGCAAAACTAAATAAATTAGCCAATGAGCTAAGCGAAATTGCACTATGGAACATTCTTATGGCAAAAAATTAAATAGCATTATATAGTTGCACATATAATGAATACCTATCAAAAAAAAAATAAAGATATATTTTATATAGTGGAAAAACTCATTTTATATTAAATGAAAAGTATATGCACTCCTTAAACAATTTGTGCCCAAATTGCAGATATGAGTATATTATATATCCATAAATATTAAAATAACTCTCAGTTAATATGCTTTGCCTTTAAACATCTTTTATCCTACCTGTATGTAATTTGACTAATTCTTTAGAGAACCACACATCTTTTTGAAACCAGTGGGATGTTTATAGTTTGTTGCTTTTCAAAACTGGTTTGAAACTGAGAATTTCTCTCCCCTCTCTGTCCCCCATTTGTATGCGGATGGGAAAAAGTAAATATTTGGGAAAATAGGAGAATGTCTAAAGATATCATATCATTCAAATGGAAAATTTAAAGAAAACAGCAGTCAAAGACTGGACTGAACCTAAGAGCAAACCAATCATGGTGAAACAGTTAACTTTCTTTCACTGAAAAACCAAGTTAAGAGCAAGCCTGATTATATAGAAACAAAAGACAAAAGGCACAACCAGCTTGCCCAAAAGGAAGGGGCAGACTAAAAAATAAATAAAAGTTTTGAAGCTTCTCTTATAAATAATGCTAGTCTGTGAATAAGCAGAGATCTAGAAATGCAGTTTGGTATTAGCTTTCAAATTCCTTCAATAAATATTATTTATTCTCAGTTCTTGGATTTTCTTTCTTTTTTTTTATTGAAAATTTTTTACATTTTACAAAAACAAATCCCCTTCCCATACCCCCCCCCCAACCCTACCTCACCTCCCCCCTTCCCAACCTCCCAAACCCTCCCCTGGACTTCCCAGAGCTGAGTACAGGCTTAATTAAAAAAAAAAAACTTAAAACACTTTTAAAACCTAAACAAATTTAAATACAATCATCATTCTATATAAACTCCCTCCAAAAACACAAATTTAAACATTACTTTCTTTGAATATCTATATCTATAGTGTAAAATCTAATTTCTCCCTCTTTCTTTATCCTAAAACGAAAAAATAAACATATAAACCTTTGTTATACCATTAAAACTAAATACTCTTAAAAAACTTAAAGTAAATACATATTTCCTTCAATCTTCATAATCTTCTCTCCTATCCAAAAAGAAAAAACTTAAAAAACCTATAAGTCCTAAACAAATCTAAGCACATTTAATTAAACAAATTATTTTCTCTTAAAAATATTAATAATAATATTTAAAAACTAGAAACACTTTTAAATCCTAAACAAATCTAAATACAATCATCATTCTATATAAACTCCCTCCAAAAACACAAATTTAAACATTACTTTCTTTCCTAAACAAATCTAGACATTTAATTAAACAAATTATTTTCTCTTAAAAATATTAATAATATTTAAAAACCAAATTTAAGCATACTTAAAACTTGAACAAGTTATACTCCCTTCAAAACACAAATTTAAACATTACTTAAAATTTAAAACATTAGAATCCCCTCACTAAAATGAGCAAATTATAATCCCTTCAAAACACAAATTTAAACAATATTATCATTAAAGGTTCAAAACTTAAAACAACAAAATTCCCTTATACGCCTATCCATAATAAACACATTAAACATTTCAATCTTCACCAATAACAAATTCCATCCGTAAGAAACTGCATCCTTATCAGTCTCAATTATATTAGTATTATTATTAATTATTCACATTCCAGTTTTTTCCATTCTCCATTCTTCCATTCTTCCATTTCTTCTCCATTCTTGTATCAAACTCGTAAGAAATGCTGCAAGTTCTGCCTTAGGAGACTGCTCCAAAATTCCTGAATCTCCCATCGACTCCGAAGCCAATACAGGTAAGGGTTCCTTGAATTCCTCCTTGTGTTGGTCTTTACAATTGTAAGTTGTACAAGTTATCCTCTGCCCGTTCCTCTCTTGTTGATGCCCCTCAAACTGAGATTTCCCAATTTCCATTTCAGGCAGCAATTCCACCCTTGAAGATTGCTCCAAAGACTTTGTAGGTCTAACATCTCCCAGAGATTCAGAGACCACTGAATATGAAACTTCCTTAACCTTCTTCTGTTGCTGCTTTTCTTTGGAATTGTATGCTGCACAAGTTGTCTTCTGCTCCTCAACCTGGACTTGTTGAGGCCTCTCACACAAAAATTCGCCAGTTTTCATAAATATAGGCTCTTCAAACTGTAATTCTACATTCTTTTCTTCCAAAGCTTTAAACTTAGTAGATGGCGATGAACATACCCCCAGGACCGAAGTATAAAAATCTTTTGCTTGAGAAACAGTATTAAGTCTATAACATGTCCCCAGGTAGTTCACCACCATTCCAGTCGGAACATCCCATCTGAATAAAATTTTTCTCTTTTTAAGTTCATTTGCTAGAAAAGCAAACTCCTTTCTTCTTCTTAAAATTTTAGATGGGATCTCCTTAAAAATTATAACATCTTGTGAAGCAATTTGAAATCTCTTCTTATAATAGGCTTGCACAATTTCATTGCGTAAAGATCTTTTACCAAAGTAAATTACCACATCTCTTGGCAGATTCTTCTGTGCTGCCACCACAGAGTTAACCCTAAATAATTTTTCAATTTCACTAAGTATTCCCTCTTTTTCTTTATTCAAAATCAATGCAAAGTCCTTTGCAACCATCTCTTTCAGATCTCCTTGCAAAGACTCTCCCAGGCCCCTAATTCTTAAGGCATATTCCATTTGTCCATATTGAAGCATAAGAATCTCATTTTCCATTTCTTTTTCCATACTTTCAATTTTCCCCTCCATTATGTCCACTTTTTCAGCTACCTCTTCCACATGGGAGTTCACCTTTTCAAGAACAGAAGCAACTCCTTCTAAAGCCAAAACAAAATCTTGTCTCAAGATCTTATTATTTTCCTCTAAAATCTTTTTCATTTCTGCCCTAATTTGAATTATAACATCTCCCATCATGTCTTGCAAATCCTTCATAGTTATTAGCTGACCCCCAGAAGAGGGTGAAACTGTTGATTTAGAAGCTGTAGAAATCCCTGGACGCTTTGGAGCCATCTTAAAGAAAAAACTTTAGTCCTTCTTAAAAAATTATAAAAATTCCTTCAAAAATCATAACTCCCTCCAAAGAAGGTCATTATAATAAAAAGAAAAAAGGGAAAAAAAGAAGAGAAAAGGAATTAAAAAAAAACTTTACTCCTTCTTAAAAATTGCAAAAATTAAACAGAAAAAAGTCCTTCAAAAAAGGGTCATTACAATAAAAAGAAGGGAGTTCAAAGAAAAGAAGAAAAAAAAGGGGAGAAGAAAAAAAAAAATTAAATAGAAAAAGTCCGTTCCAAAAAAATACTTAGAGGTACCAAAAACAACCATTCCAATCATAAGAAAATAAAAAGGGAAAGGGAAAGGAAAGAAAGAGAAACACCAAAAAGCCTGCCGGTCAGCATTCTAACTTCCAGAAAAAAAACACCGAGAGATTTGCCGATCGCCATTTTACTTTCCCTTTCAACAAAGAAAGAAAAATAAAAAGAGAGAATAAAAATAGAAACAAGTCTTAAAACTTAAAATCCAAATAAGTCAAAGAAAGCAAAAACTAAATCCTCTACTCAGCTCTGTCCGTTTATAAAAAAAAAACTCACCAGTTCTCTTTAAGCACGGAGGTGTTTGCAGCGGCTCGTTTTGTCCCTGAGGACAAAAACAGCTGGGAAGCGGAGACAAGTCTGAACTCCGTGGGAGCACTCCTTTCACCCCCCCAAAAAAAACTTGGGGGGTGCAAAAGAGGCTCTACCACTATTCAGACACTCTCTACCCCCCCCCTTTGCCCGGGAGGGGGATTTTGAACCGCTGAACAGCTGATGTCTGCTGTTCATAGCGGTTCTTACACTTACCCAGGAGGACGGCTACAAAGTAGCCGCCATCGCGCGCGCAAAATCCACCGGAAGTCCAGTTCTTGGATTTTCTTGTGAGCTATCTAAATGATTTCAGCCCAGCCTCCAGATGAAACTTGAAAGTAGTTACAGAAAAACATTAACCATTTCTAAATTATCATTGAAATAAGTATAAAGGTAATGTAGGAACATTAAACTATGAATAATAATAGAGAGCCCTATTTATATTATTTCTAAATAAGCTGGCTGCAACAGTTTCGATATAAAACACATTTTTGTAATGTTTGAGTCTACTTTATAAAATATATGCAGTACAATTAAGCTAAGAGTAATTTATAAAATCAGTCCAATATAACTAAGAAAAGATTTTTTTCTTAACGTAGTATGCGACCATTTTAATGATGTTATCTTTGAGCACTATTCTAGAAAGTGCCATTAATGATATTTGTCACTATGGGTGATTAGAAATACAATCCCATATCATTATTGCTAATTTTGCTACAAATCTACACAAACTTCATCTTCATTAAAACTGGATATAAAATAGATGAACTTCGTATTGTATAATATGGTAAATATGTATTGTTTAAAATTTACCTTTATAGTCAATGGCAAATCCTGCCATGCCAACTGAAGCATCACTCCGAAATGCCAAGAACAGATTATTGCCATTGCTCTCTATTCTATCTGGGGCCTGGGAACCTTGAAAACTGCCAATCAGAGGGCTGTTAGAATCTCCTCCTTCATAAATATGCAAAAAATCATAACTAGGTTCCATGTTGAAACTGAAATAGAAAATGAAGAAAATAAAATATCTCTGGATTTGGGGGGAAAGAAAAAGGTATCACTGACAGAAATGTTCCAATTATTTTTCCTTTAACATTTGTATTTATTTCTCACAAAAAGATTCCAAACAGCAATCTATACATGGTAATTTATACTCTATAATTCTGTAATTGATTTCCATGTCTTCTGTTCATTCCTTTTTCTTCTTTACTTTCATGAGCCAAATTTTGGCATAAATAGTAGTTCTGCTTCTAAGGCTTTCATCAGTCTTTTCTAGATTATAAAAGAAGAAATGGAAACTTGTATCACAGTGGCCTGATAGTTCCTGCCCCTTCTAATACCAGCAGGAAAGTATTGTGTGGTTGAGCACTAACACTAAATCTCATTTGCCCAACATTGATCACAAATGAGAAAAGTGGAACTAGTAGACACTATTTTCTTTAAAATATGCACAAATATTTGAAATACATTTCACAGAAAGTAGTTGTAACTGTTTCCAGGGCATGGTCTCTCATGAATGCAAGCTAGTCAGACAGATTAATAGCTAATCAGATAAAATGTATTTAAGTCTAGATAAAATAATATGAGGTTTTGATGGAGAAGGGCAGATAAATATTTTCCAGAATATTTCTTGTGCTTTAAACCTTTGATTTTATAGGTAGTGACTTGGGAATACAACCATTTCAATTTAAAAAAAAAATACTTTGTGGTAGACATATAGGATTTATATAGTCAATAGTATATATAAAACACATGCATGCATTTATAAATGATATCCTAATTAAAATTGTTAAGTAATGTTTTTGTTTTTGATTTTTTTTAATACTGCAACTGTTACCCATTAACTGGTTGATTTAACTGAAGAAGAAAGTAGTCAATCACTGGGAATTGAGGAGAAAAAAAGTTGAAGGATTATTATGGATCTTCTGTTATCACTTTGCATATGATAAATAAAATAAAAATGCAAAAAAAATAGTTGAGGTTGATATTTTTATCTTGTTTTTCAATTTTTGCACAGGTACTTCTCATTTAATGACCACAGTTGGGACTGAAAAATTGTTAGGTGAAGCAGTCACTTAATGAAACTGTGACACTGTTTTTGATCTTTGCTTTAAGACCTGAAAAGTCATAAATGTGAAGATTGGTTATAAAGTTACTTTTTCATTAACTTATAACTGTGAGGGAGGCAGTTGTTAAAGTATTGCTTGTAAACCAGAGGTCCCCAACCTTTTGGGCACCAGGGACCGGTTCTGTGAAGAGAGGTTTTTCCGCAGACCAGAGGGGGCGTGGTTTTGTGTGCTGCCTGCATCCCACGGATGGGGCTTTGCTTGTTTGTACAGAATGGTTGCTGGCATGCTACGGACCGATACTGGTCCATGGACTGTGGGTTGGGGACCCCTGCTGTAAACTGTCCAGACTCATTTTGAATTGGGTTGCCATATATATTGAACAAATAAATAAATATAAACAATCAATCAAATGTCCTTAAAAAAATCTCACTTTGAAAGACAACTTGCTCTAAAAGCCTAATGAAATAGCAGCATTTTTGTTGCATTTATAAACTCTAAATACTTAGGGGCTGTCTAGACCTAAAGAATAGCACAAGAAGGATGAGATTGCTTAACCCCTACTCCTCTAACATCTGAAGAAAAAGGGAGTATGTGCCTCAATTCTCCAGCTGACCACAAATCAGTAGGCAGATTCTCCTTGCAGAAAAAAGTCCCCATTAGTAACATAATCCAATGCTATAACTCAAAATCAGAACTTTGAATTGTACTCAGAAACATACAGGTAATCAATGTAATGAACAAAATATAGGACTAAGCTGTTAAAATGGCTTTTACCCAGTAGCATGTGGGCTGTCATATTTCACTACAGGTGAAGTTTCTGGATAATCTTCAAATGCAGTTCAAATGAAGCATATTGCAGTGATCCAGTTTGAGGTAATGAGGGCATAAGGGATAAGAGATGTCCCACATCAAAAAGAGCCACAGGTGGCACACTAGCTAAAGCTGGACAGAATCTGTCCTTGGTGCAGCATCTACTTGGTAATCAAGTCGCATTGCATTTGTCTGATGCACTGAGATGCCTCCAGGTTGAAAAGATTAGCCAGTGACATAACTGTTGCCTGGGGGATGCCCATTTAGGTGCTCCTTTCATTGCTCTGGTAGGAGCTGGAGGAATGACGAGAGCTCACCCCACCCCACATAGCACTCAGGTCTCATACACGGGCTTGCTAACTTCCAAGCCAACATCCTAACCATACGAGCCATTACGCTCCTTGATAATCAAGTAAAAGTTATGAATTAAACTAAGTTTATATTGATCTTGTCTCCTGGTGATCACATCCATTCAGTTTTCTAGCTCGTGTTCTGATAGTGGTTTATCAGTGTAAATTAGACTATTTATAAAATATTACAATATACTGTTTTTCACACCACAAGTATATGGTAAGTTTTTTATTTTTATAAGTTTAATTAATTAATTTACTTAATTCAGCATATAATTATGTAAGAAAGTAAGAAATTCTACTACACAAAACCAGGCTTAGTTTAGAAACTTCAGTATGTTTACATGAGGTTTCATTTTGGTTATGCAATGAATTGTTTATAGAACCTTATTAAAATATTAGTTTTTGCATCTGGGAGTATGAAAGGAGTTAAGTGGAAAATTAAACTATTGAATCCATCTATTGCATTAGCACTTTCAAATTGTGGCAGCTTTCTTTAACATAATTGGTTTTTTTTTCCTCTGATACTATACGAGATAGGATATATCAGGCACTACTATAATTTGATCACAGGAAAAAAGTAGAGAGAGGCAGAAACCATATGCCTTCTGCTGAACATAAGACTAGATGGATCCTTTAGTGACTCATATATTTTTCTCATGTCATTATTTGTTTTATGTGTCATGAAGCACTGATGTAGATGTAAGGCATAGATAGGCAGCAATTAGCTTCCAAATTTCATTTTTTCAACATGCCCCTCCCCCGATTATTATTGTTGAACACTCTTAAGATAGTTTTTCACCATCCTGAAAATTACAATATTTATACCCTAAAGGTGGCATGCTATAAAAATAACAAAACACACCCCAAATACTTCTTAAAAATTCAGACCTCCATTATTCAGCCCTACCTATGGCATAGTTTTAAAAAGTAATTAGCTAGGCTCACTAATATATTGTGCAATTTTTGAATGTGACATTCTAAAAGAAAAAACAACACAATACCTTCTGAATATCAAAGCAATGACAAAATCAGGGTTTACTTTTATTCTCCAGTCACATTCCTTCCCTGGAGGATATGGCTGTGGATAGTTTGGTGATAAAATAACACCTGCTGGACCTGTAAGATTTCCACCACATGCAGCTGTCATACAGGAGAGAATAAGAAAATAAAAAATGATCACATGTCAAAACTGAGGACTGGAAACTGTCAAAATAATTTAGGTTCTTATACATTTCTTTCTGACACCTTATTTTCAAGTATTTATCACAACAATTGTTAAGTACAATGAAAACCTCTTATATAAAGAAATGTGTAAGTACAGTATTTATTCTCTAGTATGAAAGTTCTTCCCTTAGGCATGTGAAGTTCATTTAATAAAGAAGCCCAATAATGAAGTTAGAGCCTCCAGACATTTCTCTGCTTGACTAAATAAACACTGGGAGAGGAAAAGAGCAGAATGGAGAGATGTTTGCATCTACCTGCCCTTTTGTATATATCTGGAAAAAAAGTTTCTATTCTACTACGTTCAAAAAGAGATGTTGAATTTAGGCTAATTCTCAGCCTTGTCTAAATGTTTGCTGCACTGGACAGCATAGCGGAAAGCAAGAACAGAGGGTGGCCTTTGGATCTATTGGGTTCCAGTCTCTTTGTCAAAGGACCGAAATCCTGTTTATTCTCCTTTGCAGTTTTACAAGATTAGACTTTCACAAAGTTGGAAAGCACAACCTATGTAGCCTTGAAGAAGGTGAGAGGCAAAGTACTATGCAGAATTTCCCTATCCAAGACAGAATCTTTTCCTGATTTAGAGGGACACAAAGAAGAAGCCTGTACTCCTTCGGATATTTTCCCAGCTGCCAAAGGATTACAGTCTAAATTGTCAGAGTAAACAGCTAACATAATCTGTAGATTTCTCTCACTTATTCTTTTTTTTTTTTCTGTTTTTCTCTATTCAAATATTTACACCTAGATCTCCAAGCAACAATGAAAATGTATATTATGTTCTGAAGTGATAGAGACAGATCAATTATATGAGATAACTAAGAAAATAAAACCAATATAAAAATAATAAAATCTGTTGGAAAATGACCCTTCAAAGGAGAAAGCAAGCAACAACAGTAACCGAACCATTTCATATGCATTACCTAATACCTGAAGAAAGAGGAAGTGGCTAGTTATGAAGCATCTATTATATTGGAATAGAAGCAGACCAATTTGGTATTAATTGGTCTGCATCTATGCTGAAATGACAATGCTTAATCAATTTGCTTAAAGGTAAGAGAAGGGATATGGGAAAAAGAGATATTTTGTTGTATTTGATAAGATGGGAAGTTACTAAAATTGTTTATACTTGTTATGAAATATATCACTTTACCACTTATGAAAGTAGAAAGACACTTTGTTATGTATTTCTTCTTATTTCTTCTTTTTGTTCTTCCTTTTCTATTTTCTATTTTTTCCTTTTTTCTGCCCCTTCTACTTTTTCTATTTATTCTATTTTTTAGTTTGTATTAGTCTTTGATGTAATTATAATCTTTAATAAAACTATGATTAAAAAACAAGGGGAATATTGCACAGTTCCCTGTCAGCTAAAGAATTAATTTTAAATATACACTTAAAATTGGGGTTCTTGTAAACAATAGGAATTAATATTTATAATATTAACAATAGTAACAATAGTAATCAACCCATGGTGTTATTATCTTTAAAAAATTGGGTCAAATATAACAACATACTTCTTTTTTAGGTTTTTATTCTAACAAAATCTCAAAATTCTTCAAATATTTTCCAGCAAGAGATCATTCTGGATCCTGAAAGACTGTAATATAAGATATTAAACTGTTAATTTAAACTGTTGATTTAAAACATCTTCTGGCATCCTAGTTCATATGAGGACATCTCCAAATGTGGAAATCCAATCCTTATCAAATTATCAAAAAATTCATCTTGTCCATTGCAGCAACCGTTTGACCTACCAAATCAAATTCTTCAGAATTTAAAAATATTCTGAGGTTTTCTAAATACCCAGTCCAGGATTAACAGAAAATAAGTCCCCATAGAGAAGAAGAAACAGATAATCTGTTTCTTCTAAGAATCCTTGGATATGTGGTATCACTGACTTTTGCTTCACCTTGGCTAAATATGGGATGTTGGAGAAAGCAAATAAATATTCAAAGTAGTTGAGTTTGTAACTTCTTAATGCAAGGATCTCAGTAACAGTTCTTTAAGGTGGTAGGCATTTTTTTCTGATAGGAAAAATTATGATTTCAGGAAAGACTGGCAGAGTGGAATCCAGGAACCCTGAGCATGCTAGGTAGGAATCTTATAGGCAAAAAGACCAGTTACATGAATTATGACAAGCAGTTACATTAATCCAAACAGATATTTAAATGGTGGACAAGAGCTCAGGAATAGCATTTCCCAAAATGGTATGAAGACCAGCTTGAATCTGGATAAAAAAAATCATAATGAGTGATGCAAATTGCTCATAATGGACCTCAGTTGTACTAATGCACCAGCTGGTTCTACCAAAGACTATGTCATTTGGTTCATAGCCCTAAAAAGTTGGCTGGGTTTCTGCAAATGAAGTCAGAGACAATCTATTGTTTCTGCTTATTTCTGATTAGGCTTTGTAATGATTATCTACTGCATGGGTGTCAAACTCAATCACATCATGAGATGTATCATGATGTATTGTGTCATTTTTTGCCTTTGCAGAGCCAGGGTGGGCATGGCCTGAAAGTGATGCATCCGGCCCGCTGGCCACTAGTTTGACATCCCTGAACTACTGTATCTATCAGCTTAGTCACTAAAACAGGCATGTCAAAGTGCTGGCCGGCGGGCCGGATGCATCATGCTGAAACCACGCCCACCCCATTGCCAGCAATGGGGAAAAAGTCGTGATATGTCATGTGACATCATGTGATGTTGTGAGTTTGACATGCCTGCACTAGAATATAGCATAATTGTTCAAGTCCTCCTTTAAGTCTGCTTTTCTCTGTCACTACTTCCAAGATTCTCAGGCATGTCCCCTATTTATCTAAACAAAATATGAATATTAATTTGCCCTGACAATTTCTATATTTTGAGAAAATATTTTACAAGAAATCTAAACAATACTTTAGTACCCTAACCAGTTTCCTATTTCAGAAGTATTAAGGGCATGTCTTAAAGCTGACGTCAACTGTACATTGTTAATAAAACCATTCTGGATTAGGGTAAAAAGAAATACCAACAAGGACTACAACTGAACCCTACCAAAATTGTACATTGCTGAAGTTTACATTAAATGCTGCCATGCAATAGGTGCAACCTTTATGTATTCAGTCATATAGCATTGTAAGTTAATATTTGAGGCTCTAGGATCTTCTGTTGATCAGATGGCCTATGTCCCAGATTTTGGTAGTGTATTGTTATTTGAGATAGGATGATAGATTGTCAGCTCTCAACAGTTGCAAGAAAGAATTAGTATTGATTTTGGTGAACCAGTCATAAAAATTGACAAATCCAGGTTTCAATAATAATGAAGATGTTATTTAGTTGGGTAATAAAACAATTGCAAGAAAACAACCAGAGAGCACTAAGAACCCTTTAAATCCAGGTTTTACTGTCTTCTTAAGCTAGAATATATATTGTAATCAGATGCATATTCCAGGAAACTCATATCCAGAGTACCCAATCAAAGGAAATTGAGATTTTAAGAACACATATAAGCTATCTATGAACAAGTTGTAGTTTATCAGTATTTAATAGAGGTTTATCACTTCTCATAAATAAGTTATGAAATTCATAGCTAATGCATGAAATGTAGTATCACCCTAATGCTAAGATCTAAGTTCTCTTCCTCTGAGCAGTTAAATTATCAGCATGTTCCCTCCCTAAATTAGCCCTCATATATCACATTATCCAATTAGTGTGAAGGTCAAAGGTTTTCTTCCTCTTTCTTTCCCAGGCTTTACCCCCACCCCCTTCTGCTCTGTATTAACCCCATAAATACCAGACTGCATATTGTCAAAAGCCCGGGAAAGAAAGAGGAAGAAAACCTTTGACCTTCACACTAATTGGATAATATGACATATGATGGCTAATTTAGGGAGGGAACATGCTGATAATTTAACTGCTCAGAGGAAGAGAACTTAGATCTTACAATCCCTCCGTTATGCCTGTGCCCGACATTTTGCAACAATAAAAGACTTTTAGGAAAATAAATGCCTGGAAGTTCTTTGAAGTGTTTCATTAGCCGGAACCATAACACCTGAATGATCACTGAGAATGTCATGAGGAGTATACTTGAGTTTAACTCAAAGGTGCCCAACATTTCATCTCAATACCTAGACATGTTGGTGCACCAGGCTGCCAAAAGAATCGATTGTTCAGTTGTACACAAGTAATTTTATCTTCTCCTTGGAGTTGATACCCTGGGTCACACTGGAAGGTGATTGTATCTCCAGGCTCTCTGCTGTCTCCATATCTACTTCCATTCTGTGGGGTTCCAGGATCATTACAAGTAGATGCAATTGATGCTTCAAAGAAATCATGAAATGAAATTAGAGACATTTTTTGAATATTGAAGACTTTGTATTGCATCACACATTTTATAACAACAGCATTGTATACCATTATTTGTCTAAGTTTGGAAGGAAAGTTATTAGGTAGGATTGCTTTTCTAGGAAACTGCCTGCTCTAATACATCATATTAGACTTGATTTTCTTCCAATTATCTCTATAAGGAAAAGAGATGGAGAGATTGAATGCTGGAAAATAATCTCAGTGTGTTTGAAATAAATACTGAGCAGGCATAAGATGTATGGACTGCATGCTGCCATTCCACAAATAACCAAAACAAAGAAAAATCATGGTGCAGAAAGCAAGGCTGATTGGACATAGCCTTTCTTTGATTTTATTTTTTCCTTGGAAAGATAAATGTCAATAAACTTGCAATGAATTAATGATAGGAGCCTGAATATTTTAAGACCAGAAATCTTCTGTGGCTAATGGAAATTTAATACCTACCTACACCTAGCAACATTTCCATGCTTTAATAGGTAATATTTATCCAGTACCTCAGATTCAAGCCACAACATGGAGGATAGTGAAGAGGCAAAACTACTCTCATAACTTTATAAACCATGGTTTACAAAGATAGGAATGTTACATCTAAAATTGCCCAATGTTTGGATTAGACTTTATTTTATGCCATAAACTATAATAGGAAAATATATATTTTTTAAAAAATCGTATTTTCCAAAGGTATCCCTACTATTTATTGACACTGAAGCAAACCACAATGATGCCATGTACATAGTGTATTCATCATATACTGTATATCAGACATGTCAAACTCACGACATCACATGACATTGTGCAACGTATCGGGCTGGTTTTGCCACTGCCGGCAATGGAGTGGGTGTGGCTTCCAGATGATGCATCCAGCCCACGGACCGGCAGTTTGACACCCCTGCTGTATATGCTACCATTAAGTACTTGCCTCTCTGTCCTTGTGGTCTGTTGGCTGCTTAGTGTGCTGATGATTTAAATATTACTTGGCTAGACATTTTATGGCTATTTCATATTCTGATTCATTGTTCAAGATATCGCTGTATTAATTCTATTTTTGTATGTACCAATCTCACCTGCAAAACTATAGTTTTAGAGTGTTGAGACCTATTCCGTGCATTTCATGGTCTATGTTTATTAATGCCTATCAGATGGGAACAAATGACAATTTTGTAATAAAAGTCATTCAATACCTACTTAAAAAAGGTAGAACATCATGCAGAGCATGGCTTCTAGAATTCTTTCCAACATCTTTCCTGGCAACAGCAACAGGAATATATTTTAAATGATGACTTGACTGTTTTTTCGAATGCTTGGTTCACTGGTTACAACATCTCAGGGTCACATGACTGCAATTTGCAATTTTTTTGCTGGTTTCCAGTATTTTGTGCTGTTTCTGGCAAAATGCCAACCATTTGAGAGAATGGCTTTGCACTTGCAACCATGTGATTCACTTAACAACTTTCATAAAAAGGTTAGGATATTGGGTCTAATTATGTGGGTGCCTCAATGTATGCTGAAATTGCAGTCCCAATTGCAGTCATAAACTATGGATCTTTTGGTTCAGAAAGTGTTGGTGGGAGAAGAGAGTGGAAGGTGCAAATCAGCAAAATAAAAGTCTGTCAATTAACTTGCAACAAATTAACAATAGGAGCTTGAATATTTTAAGACCAGAAATCTTCTGTGGCTAATGGAAATTTAATACATACCTATACCTAGCAACATTTCCATGCTTTGATAGGTGATGTTTAGCCAGTACCTCAGTTTCTAATAAGATTTCTAATAACTAGCTTAAATACATTTAACCCTGCAGAGTAAAGGTCAGGGATGCATGCTGAACTCCATTTTATATCCTTTTAGACATGATTAAATAGTAATTAAGTTTTAATGAAAAGTGTTAGGCTGATAACAATTAACATAATCACACCAGTCAGTTCATGTCCTCATAGTGTTTTACATGCTGTGCTGCGCAGACAAGACAATGGCTCTTTGATGGGGTCCAAACATTTTGTGATTAGAAGACATTTGCATTTCTCTAGTAAATTTTCTCTGTTTGTGTATTTAATAGCAGACAACAAAGCATATCAAAACAACTTGTGTATATGCAAATAGATAACATAAATATGTCATCATAGAAGACATCAATCTCAGTGTGTATGTGTGTGAGTGTGTGTGTTTTTGAGTATAATCTAGTTTGTAGACTTCCTCTCTCCATCAGAAAACAGAACATGGAACAGATATGTAGTCCAACAGATTAATTTTAAATGTTTTATTTACTTTTTATTTATTTGTATCCCACCCTTATTATTTTTAAAAAATAATTTAAGGGGGTGAACATATCCAACACACCTTGGGCTGAGAGAGAAAGGCTGGCCCAAGGTCACCCAATCAGTTTTCATGGCTAAGGGAGGACTAGAATTCATGGTATCTTAGTTTCTAGGCTAACAACTTAAGTACTAGACTAAATTGGCTCTCAATTCCTTATGAAAATTCCTTGTAAAGATATTTTTTTAAAAAATCCCCCAAACAAAAACAGCAGTAGCTTATTTTCAAGGAAGATAGGTGGGCTGATACACAGCTGTGAGACCATAATTATTTTTCAGCCCTGAGCCATGTGCTTAATAATTGCTGCTTTGCCCTAACACTCCACCTTCCTCATTAACCCATCCAACTTTACATAGGCCCCTGCTAAGAAATCTACAGCAAAACAAAGGAGGAAATCCAATCAGAAGACTAATGGCAGCATCCCAGAAGTCTGAAATCAACACCACCTACGTTCTGTTTCTAATAATTAATTAAACAATGCCTTGTTGCTAAATATTAAAGGCAGGGTTTGGGTTACTGAATTCAATAAGAATGACAAGAAAAAGAACAAGAACAACAAATCATCTCATATTTGCATAGTGATCTTGCTTTATTCTATCTGCATAACAACAAGGTGTGAGATAGAGGTGGGGTTGAGAGAGAATTGCTGGACCAAAGTCATCTAGTAGGTTTTTGTGGATAAAGGACTTAAACACAGGCTGTCTGTTAAACACTACACGACACCGACTTTGCCCATGAAGAGACTCTGGAACATTATCACTACAAACTCTATTTTCACAAAAAGCAACAAAGAAGTATGTAAGGATAATACAAGTTCACGTACTTGAAAACTGGATAGAAAAGCCAGATTTGCTGATAAAGAAGTCACTGTCAAATTGTAAGGTCAGTGAATTGAAAGTGCTGTAAATGTCTTCAGGAAGAGCTGAACCACTCCACTCTTTCAGCAAAATGTTGCTTTCAATGGGACCATCCCAGACTTTGAGGATGTCATGACCCACCTCAGTATCAAAAACAATAAAATGCAGACTGGAAATGAAAAGGAACATGCAATATAAATTAGCCTAATAATCACAGATTGGGTTATTTGCTAAGATCTACTCTGGCGGTCTTAGAATTACTTCTTTTAGGCATCATATAATACTACGGTTAAATACGTAATCTGTTATATGTCAGAATGTGGACATTGGAACATGATGTTGATATCCATAAACCTGCAACAAATCAGGACACAGACTACCTTAATGAAAAAAAAGTCCACCACATCCATACTGCATAATTCACTGTTAAAAAGTGATTATATATATATTTTTAAAAGACATCTGCTGTAAAATTTCCAGGGGGTTATGCTTTTATTGAAATACTCACAATTGCTGGTCGTACAGTAGTAACATTTTAGAATTAAAGATACAAATTAAACATAATATAATTAAATAAACTAAATAAATATTTCACACCATACTAACTAAACTTTAACAACTTATTAACTTTCTAGTAATTTCCAGTTTGTATCTTTTCTGTTCATTTCTCAGAAATTACATCCAAAATGCTTTCTGTGCTTTTCTGTCTCTTCTTCAGCTGAAATATGCTGTGGAAATGTACTTTGCTGTGGAAATGTACTTTATAATGATTGTAATGTCTTTGATAATTTTGAATATTGGAATCCCAGGTATGGACATTGAAAGTCAATAAGATAAAAACAAGCTAAGTTTTCATTAACAACCTATTAACATCATCAGAGCATGTCGTTTAGCCCTTTGCTCTGATGATGTTAACAGGTTGTTAACGAAAGCTTAGCAATTAAAAAAAAGCCTTTTGCCTTACATCCCGGAATTCGTTGTTTTTATCTTATTGACTTTAAACGATTGTAATGTATTGCATAAGTAACCATAACAGGATTATTATGTTGGTCAGCTCTAATACTGCTTTTTACTTCTAGTGATGGCATTAAAATTAGATTCAGCATTCATGTATCCCCTCCTCTCTTTTCTTCCTTTGTAGTTTAAAATCAAAGCAAAAAGAAAGATCAGACTCTGGAAGAATATAATTGCTTAAGTATATAGCTTAATCTTATGAATTTCTTTATTGATACAATGATTTGAACCACGATCCTAAATTAATTTACTGAATCTGAATTCCATAACTTATTATTTATTTAGATTTTGTATTATCTTTTGAATACTGCCTCAAGGTCCCTCTGTCTTGCTCCCTCATCCTGTTTCTCCCAAAAACAATAACCATACAAGATGGGTTCGTCTAAGGAGAATGCGATTGATCCACATGTCAGCTCATCTCATTCAGCTCCATAACCAGGATACCACATTGGTTCTATCTAGAACTGTTTACGTCAATTATCTTCCCTTAGGTTCATTAGGATTCACCATTATCAGTCCATGATTTAGGAAATGTACATTAATCACTTATTTTGCTCTATCCATAAATCTACATAATAATTAATTGTTAATATGTTTTAATTTTTTGAAAAAATGCATACCTAATTGTTCTCCCAAGATCTGCTTCTATAATCCAAGTGCAGTGCAGATTGTTGTCATATGGAGCTGGATAACCTGGAGAAAGGATACGACCAGAAGTAGCAGCATGAATTCGTCCACCACATTCGGCTGAAAATAAAGGAAATAACACTTTTTTTTTAAAGGAACAGGTTCAGATTTTATCTTGTAAAGTATTTGAAACTGTAATTATGTATCATAGTTGATTTAACAGTCTCCATATCTCCTCCCATAACCCTGTGACTGTGAAAAGAGAATATGTGTAAAACATAAAAGACTGTCTCAGTGTGAACTTGACTCTTATTTGTTCTGAAAAGCATTCTGTCCTTGTCTTCTTTAAGGATGTTTTGTGAACTTCACAGCCTAGCTCAGTGATGGCGAACCTTTTAGGGACCGAGTGTCCAAACTGCAACCCAAAACCCACTTATGCATCGCCGGGTGCCAGGTGGGTGTGGCCCATTGGGTGTGGCTGCGGTGGTAACGGCAGACTAGGTGGGACTAAAAATTTGAATCAATCAATTCCAACTTTGCAAGATCTTTTTTTTTCCCGCTAGAAGTTGAAATTGACTGATTGATTGAACCTTTTTTTTTTGCACACAGCGGCGGAGGCCTAAAGCAAAAAGGTTTTATAAAACCCAGCTGAAGGCGTAGGACTGGGGTGATGGCGCACGTGCCCACAGAGAGGGCTCTGAGTGCCGCCTCTGGCACCTGTGCCATAGGTTCGCCACCACTGGCCTAGCTAATAGTCCTGGAATTGCCCTGTGGTTCCCTCATCCAAGTATTAGACAAGTCTGATCTGGCTTAGCTTCCAAGTTCTGGCAAGTTCCTCTAGATGCTGAATTCACTGCAAAATTCAACCTATTATGAAATTACATGACAAGATTTTCATAGAAGGAAGGAATTTGCCACTTTCTGCTAAACTAATAATACAAGCTCTTCCTGTAAGGAAGCAATAATACAAGAACTTGCTGTAAGGAAGAAATTTTTTAATCATAAAAGGTGTCACAAGGACGTTTGCAAAGTTCTATCTACTTGCCACTTTTGATTCTTACAGCACTAACAGTAATTTCTGTTTTCTTCTCGTTACACTCTAAACTCTCAAGCTTGTCAAATCACCAACTTAGAAAGAAAATTTGTTGTGGTTTTCTGGGATTTTTGGAATAGAACAGATTAGTATTTGAATGGAAGACCCGGAAGAAATATCAGAACTATAGACTAGATGAGAAATTCAACAGTAATAACAACAAATCAAAACTTCTCAGAAAAAGGCAATAGCAAAAGAATTCCATATTGTTGCCAATAAAACTAATTGGCACATTCAGCATATTACCCTAAGAAAAGATCTTGATGAAGAACACCTTTTTTTTTTTTTACTCTCAAAGGATTATTACTTGACATGTGGATTTGGTAACTGAAGTCATTCTGACACTATTGCTCATTGTGGGACTAGAAACTCTGGAGTGCAAGAGGAAGCTCCTGGAATTTCTTGATATGGTGAAAATAGAAAATATAAACTAAGGGCAATCCATAACATCCAAGTTAAGTACAGGTAGAACTCTGCAGATATGAAGAAACTAACTCACACAGGAGAACAAACTTCTAAATCAAACACAATACATGGCAAATGAAAATTCAAACTTATGAAAGCCAGATATACTGCAGGTAGCCCTCAGTTAACAATGTTAATTAGGACCACTAAGCAAAGAAGTTTTAAAATACATCATGTGACTGCATTGCTTAGTTATGGCAACCCTAGCAGTTCCCATTGCCATCATTAAGCAAGTTTATTGGGCAATTAAGTCAGGATCTCCTCCCAACTTTTTGCTGGCTTCCAACACGCAAACATTCAGTGGGGAAATCAGAAGTAAGTTGCATGTGTCAAACAACTTGTGAGCAGGCTGGCAGGCAGGCATGTGGCTGTTACAGAATGAAAGAGGATGAGCAAGAGCATATGAATGTTTAGCATGGTGCGAGAAAAGGAGGCTTGGTGTGGTATTTGTTGAGCAGGGGGGCATACAAGAGTGTGTGATGTCCTGGTGTGGTGTGGCATGAGTGCAGCAAGTCTTGGGTGGCAACTGTGGGGCAAGGGAGGGAGCACAAAGGTGTGTAATGGGCTGGTATGGCATGGCAAAAGTAGAACTAGGCTTGAGGTAGCTGCTACCAGGTGTAGGAGATTGAGCTATTTGTGACTTTTCCTGCTGGCTTGCCCTTTGATTTGTGGGAGCCTTCAGTGAAGGTCACAAATGGCAATCATTTGACCATGAGACACTGCAACCCTCGTAAGTGCAAGCTAGTTGCCAAGTACCCAGATCTCAATGCACAGATGCTGGGATGGCTGGAACTTTGAGGACCAGCTGTATGTACCATTCATTCAGCTATGTCATAACTTCAAATGGTTGTTTAAGAAGTGGTTGTTAACTGAGAACTACCTGTAATGAGATTCACTAAGGTTAGAAGCATTCCTCTAGCAATCCCTCTGGTTCTAATGTTAGTAATTTGGTTTTATATTGTCCAGGGAATGGCTCCTCCTATATTACTTCTCAAGTTTCTAAATTTCTTTTAAGAGCTGTAACTATTAGAGGAGAACGTTGTAATTCCCTTTAGCCAAGGCTTCTGGTGTTAATTGTTTGTGATTATATTTTTCTTGTGTTTTCGTTTGTTGCACTTGCATTTTGGTCTGTGACCGCAAAATAAAAATTGTGTATTATGCATTCCTCTAGTTATTGAACAAACTTTCTCAAATAGATCTAGATGCAATGATGTGATAGAAGATGGAAAAGTGCTATCAGACAGGACACTTTTAAGTGCAGATTGTTGAACAAAACATAAATTATGATGTCAAATAAACTAGTTAAAATCAGAATATGAAATATAGTATATATTCTGGAAAGATTGGATCTAGATATATAATCAAAAGATAAAATCAAAATAAGAAACAGATGCATTGTATTTAACTTAAGCAAAAGAGACTTTGGAATCTCTACAGTTTCAAACCTGAAAGATCAAAGTGATTTCAAAACAAACTATTATGAAAGCCAAAGCAAAATGTTAGATAAAAGCCTTGGGCAACAACAAAAGCATAGAATAATTGAATGCAATCTTTCATAATAAAGCAGAAAAGGTTTACAAAAGGTATCTCAATCAAGAATATCACAAATACTATATAGGAAAATAATAAGAAAAAAAGGGTAAGAGTTGTTTTAAAGATAAAGAAGAGTTGTGATATTTAACATAACCACAGAAAAAATGCAACAAAGATAAGTTGTCCAGAAGACAGGCTTAAGATACAGAAGGATCTGGACAGACTTGAACACTGGGCACTAACTAACAAAATGAAATTCAATGGTGAAAAAAGCAAGGTTCTACATTTAGGCAAGAAAAACCAACTGCACAAGTACAGTATAGGTGGCACCATGCTCAATAGTAGTAACTGTGAGAGGGACCTCGGAGTCCTAGTAGACAATCACTTAAATACGAGCCAGCAGTGTGCTGCAGCTGCCAAAAAGGCCAACACAGTGCTAGGCTGCATTAACAGAGGGATAGAATCAAGATCACGTGAAGTATTAATACCACTCTTCAATGCCTTGGTACGGCCACACTTGGAATACTGCATCCAGTTTTGGTCACCACGATGTAAAAAAGATGTTGAGACTCTAGAAAGAGTACAGAGAAGAGCAACAAAGATGATTAGGGGACTGGAGGCTAAAACATATAAGGAACGGTTGCTAGAATTGGGTATGTCTAGTTTAACGAAGAGAAGGACAAGGGGGGACATGATAGCAGTATTCCAATATCTCAGGGGCTGCCATAAAGAAGAGGGAATTAAGCTATTTTCCAAAGCACCTGAAGGCAGGACAAGAAGCAACGGGTGGAAACTAATCAAGGAGAGAAGCAACCTAGAACTAAGGAGAAACTTCCTGACAGTGAGAACAATTAATCAGTGGAACAGCTTGCCTCCAGAAGCAGTAAATGCTCCAACACTGGAAGTTTTTAAGAAGAGACTGGACAGCCATTTGTCCGAAATGGTGTAGGGTTTCCTGCCCGAGCAGGGGGTTGGACTAGATGACCTCCAAGGTCCCTTCCAACTTTACTACTATTATTATTATTATTATAAGTTAAAGGAAGACAGATAGTCTACAGTGGAAACTTTTACAAAAAATATCATAGAATAGATGTCCTGTTGAGATTCTAGAAAGAGTACAGAGAAGAGCAACAAAGACGATCAGGGGACTGGAGACTAAAACATATAAGGAACGGTTGCTGGAATTGGGTATGTCTAGTCTAATGAAGAGAAGGACGAGGGGGGACATGATAGCAATGTTCCAATATCTCAAGGGCTGCCACAAAGAAGAGGGAGTCAAGCTACTCTTCAAAGTGCCTGAAGGAGGGACAAGAAGCAACGGATGGAAACTAACCAAAGAGAGAAGCAACCTAGAACTAAGGAGAAATTTTCTGACAGTTAGAACAATTAATCAATGGAATAACCCTGCCTCCAGAAGCTGTGAATGCTCCAGCACTGGAAGTTTTTAAGAAGAGACTGGACATCCATTTGTCTGAAATGGTATAGGGTTTCCTGCCTGAGCAGAGGGTTAGACTAGATGACCTCCAGGTCCCTCGCAACTTTATTATTATTATTATTATTATTATTATTATTATTATTATTATTGTTGTTGTTGTTGTTGTTGTTGTTGTTGTTGTTGTTATTATATCAATTCTGTGATCATTAAGAGTTGAAACCATCTTAATGGCACATAATTAATTGACTATACAATAAAAGATACATTTGTGGAAATAAAATATTTTGAGGAACTCATTCCACAGGGGAGTGAGGTACGAAGGTACAACAACCAATAGGTGAGAAAGAACTTGCTACAGGTGAAATACCCATGAAACTATTTAAAACTATATAAGAGATGGCAAAATGCTAACAACTATGTCAAGAAATATGCCTAAAATATGTGAATATTAGAAAGGACTGGTACTGTATGTCTATGGAGATTCTCAGTCATCTGAAGAAGAGCTAAAGAAGCTTCTTGGATGAGAAGTGAAACGTCTTCAAAGAAAAACAAGAAAGTCCAGTTGCCTCTTGAAAAAGCACCTTTGGAATGGAA